TGAGCTGCACTGGTCAAATAGACGTCCAGTGTTTTTGAGCCATTGATCACTAACATACATTTGTAAACACACCTGGTCCAAAATCTAGTGAATGTTTTACAGGATTAGTCTCATTTAGGTGCTGTTGATAGACATAAACACTGCATAATTGCATGAAAATATAAAAAGCAATAGCAAGGCCTTTAAAGCAGGGCTTTTATGCAAAGATATCTCTTTGGCTGAAGTGTGTGGATATAACCAGCTTCTAATGGTCCAAATTAATTCATTTAATTGCACACTCTTTGATTGACATACTCCCATTTTGTATGTGCCCCGCCCACTAGTGACCATCTCTCCCTCATTAGCATAATCAACCCTGAGTGAGAAGCAGCTGCTGCCATTAGAGTTTTGAATCTGCTGCTATGCTGACACACAGGCACTAATAGCTCCGCCCTCTTTTGAAAAGAGTACAATCTCATTTGAATATAAAGCGACAGTCACAAAATGGCACAATTTGCATCAAAGGGGCTGTTTTAAAGAAGTATAAAACATTGTCTGTGTTGTATTTTCAGCTGAAACTTCACACACACACACACACACACACACACACACACACACACACTAGAGACATCAGAGACTAATTTTAGATCTTGTAAAAGGGGTTCGTAGGCATCCAAGTCAAACTTGTGTATTTTAATCAATAAAATAGAAAATGCATGTGAAATGATCAATCTCTGCACTTATTCTGACCTTGTATTATATATCAAGGAATAAGGGTATTTTCTAATATTTTGAAGAGCACCTATGATGAAAATCATTCTTTATAAGCTATTTGGACAAAACTGCGTTTAGGTGTAGTGTGTCCACAGTCTTATTGGAGTGATATAAACACAATAAGTCTCTTTTTTGAAATTTCCTTACATTAAAATAGGATCTAAATCCCTACCGTTTTGAGGCCGACCGCAATGTGATATAGGAGTGCGGTTTCCCCGCCCACAAAATTGATTGACAGCTGCGTATTAACATGTCTCGGTAGTAATGCGTATAATCATATCACCAAGACAGGATGTGCGCAAATCAACTGGGACTAAAAGATTTGTTCAGCTCTCTGTGAGCATCAACCATCAGCAAATGTGATCAAGAGTGAGTTTTACAAGTTTGAAATGTTTTTAAATCAGAGCATGTTTGTGATGAATAACAGTCTTTATCACCACAGCCGCCTATCAGTACAATTACTGTAAAAAAGAAGATGCTGCAATCCCAGTTTGTGGACATTATATCAGGTTTATTTTGGACATTAGCAGGTCATATTTGCTTGCTTAAACACTGCAAAATTAAACATGTGCGCTCTGTGTGTGTGTGCATGAACTCAGCAACAACATTGTGTGTGACTGATCATTCTCATTGACTCATTATTTTACAACAAATACATCAGATAACAGGGCTCAAAATTAGCCTTTTTGCTTGGTAGCACCGGTGTTCTCAACTTTAAAAATGTAGGTGCATCAGCCAAAATTTAGTCGCACCCAGGGCCGGAGCAAGCTGAACTGCCACTCTAGGCAGAGGACGATCATGCCGCCCTCAACCCCAATGTAAAAACGAAAGTGACCGGTTATGTAAATGAAGTGAGGTGTCGCGGCCTCTTTTCCAGCGCACTATGCGCGGATATAATTGAGGACACGCGGGTGCTGAGGGAGGGAGGTGTCGCGGACACTGCGCTCTCTATTCTGCCGCCCTATGCGCGGATATAACTGAGGACGTGCGGGTGTCGCGGACCTCAATTCTGCTGCCCTAAGCGCGGATATAACTGAGGACATGCGGGTGCTGATGGAGGTGTTGCTGACGCCGCCCTCTCTATTCTGTCGTCTATGCGCGAATATATTTGAGGACGTGGGTGGTGAGGGAGGTGTCGCGGACATAACTGAGGACGCGGGTGGTAAGGGAGGTGCCGCGGATGCAGCCCTCTCTATACTGCCGCCCTAGGCGGCCGCCTAGTTCGCCTCTATGGACGCGCCGGCCCTGGTCGCACCTATAAGCACCGTTACTAGATGTTTTATACAAACATATTTCGTGCATTTGAAATCAAAACTAATCAAACTAACAAGCAAAAAAAATATTTATTTGCATGCGTGAGGAAAATATGTCTCAACGAAATCCCGTTATCACAAGAAAATAGTTTTTTTTTAACATAACTGAGTGAGCAAAAGATAAACGGAGCGCTCACCGGCCCTGCACACACTGCTGGACATGAAAGAATCTGTTAACGGTATAACTGTGCTGTTCTCACGGGTGCTGTCTGATATTGCACTGATGTTTGACATTTACTGTACCTTATTATATGCATACGTCATGTTAATAGCAATACCGGTCTTTTCATGAGCAGCGATGTTAGCTTACTCAGTGCAAACCCGTTTGCGATGGTGTACGTGGTGTTAAATTTGGCGTTTATCTGGCGATTATATGAAGGATTAAACAGAAGCTCTCATGCTAGATGTGGAAAACGGTTACCTGAAAATTCCATCCCACAGACTTTTCATAGCAGACTAAAAGGAAGTCTTTTATCCACTCTTGGAAAAGTGTAGATGGTGGTGGATTAACATTCAGCACATGGTCACTAGTAAGATGTGTCATTATTTGTAACTTTAGATGTCATGGTTTCTACAACAAAATTTGTCAGTACATATTTGTACTTAAAGGCTCCTTATTAATATCTCAAGGGTACATTTTAGTACCTAAGAAGTACAAAGGAGCACCTCTTAAATTTTTTAGGTGCTAATTTATACCTTTGAGGTACCAATATATACCCTTTAAGTCCAAATCTGTACCTTTCAAAAAAGGTGCCACCCCTGTGACGGCTCTTGTACCTTTATTTCTGAGAGTGTTCGTGTTTGTCACTGTGCTGTTTATCTGTCGCAGTCGAGGCGGAGATTGAGGCACACTCTGACAGGCACAGAGGAACAGTGGGCGGGGAGAACCACTATTAAAGGCACAGGCCACAAAAACAACTACAGTGTGATCAAAGCGGAGAATTCTAATGTTCTGAAAGGTCTAATAAATAATCTGATGGATGTTTTGAGCTGAAACTTTACAGACACATTCTGGAGACTCATCCTAAATCTTAAAAACGTAGTAAAATTGGTGCCCTTTAAATGATTAATCTTCTCGTTGACAGTTTTTTGAAGGATTGTGGCAAAATATAAAGATTTTCAGTAAGAATTAATGAGCGTTGTCGGCGCAATAGCCTAGTGGTTAGCTTGCCGACATATGGTGCAAGAGCACGTCAGGGCGTTGCGAGTTCGAATCCCGGCTCAACGACATTACCCTACCCTACCCTCTCTCTCTCTCTCTCTCTCTCTCTCTCTCCCACTTCGCTTCTTGTCTCAATACTGTCCTATCTAATAAAAGAGGCCAATCTTAAAAAAAAAAAAAAAAAGAATTAATGAGCGTTACAGGGGAAAACTGTAAATCTTTTAATACGACATGAAAAGATTTCTGTTTTACATATGACTGACAAGATTTTTGCTGTACAAACCATTACACTGAATGATATTTTGCTAAGTGTCTTCTGTAAATGAAGGTAGAAATGTGTTATTGTCATTTACCGCCCAGAAAAATCAGAAATTACTCCTATATAAAATCATTCTAATGTACTTAAGAGGGAAAACCAAATTGGAAGATGTATTACATTTTTATTGCTTTGATGATCTTCATATCATGAAATATGGTGTAATTCATTTTAAAGGAATAGTTCATCCAATAATAATAATGTATTCATATTCACAGCCTTCAATTGTTCTAAACCTGTCTGAATTTCTTTCTGCTGTTCAACACAAAAGAAGATGTTTTGATCAATTTTGGAAACCGCTAGCCATTGACTTGCATTGTAGGAAAATAATTTAATATTTACATAGATGTAAATGGCTACTGGTTTACAGCATTCTTCAAAATATCTTCTTTTGTGTTCAACAGATGAATAGAAACTCCGATCTAAAAGATGAAGGAAATGAGTAAATGATGACAGAAAGAGCATTTTGAACTGAACTGTGCATTTTATTTTTAATAAAAATAATAATCATACATTTTATTCGTAGTGCGCTTTTCTCAGATTTAAAGCGCTACAAGGCAAACAAAGCAGAACAATAAGAACAGTCAAAAAGACCATAAATAAAACAATAAAATGTGAATGATTCAGTACAATTGGATGATTAAGTAATCATTGAAAAGAAATCAATCTAAGTTGAAAGCAACGGTTAAAAGATCAGTCTTGAGAAGTTTCTTAAAACAGCCCAGAGAAAGCCATTTTCATTCATTAACAATTAAACCGAAGCTGGAATGTGTGAAAGATCTGTGATAGATTGCAACATACTGTCATAAGAGATTCATAAGTTTATTCATTTATATTTAGATAATGAAGAAATTATGGAACATGAAACAGCAGTTTCACTTGTTTAACACTGGTTATATTATACAGAAAGGGAACTGCAATGCATCTGAAACTAAAGCAAAGCTTTGAGATTGTGGGAAGACTCTAGCAGGTGCTGTTGATGATAATTATACTGTATATTCATTTTTTTTCTTAAAATGCAAGTCAATTCAATTCATCTTTATTTCTCTAGAGCTTTCACGATGTAGATTGTGTCAAAGCAGCTTAACACAGAAGTTCTAGTAAACTGAAACTGTGTCAGTCCAGTTTTCAGTGTTTAAGTTCAGTTTTGTTCAGTCAGTGTGGTTTAATTTGCACTGCTGTAAGTCCAAACACTGAAGAGCAAATCCATCGATGCGCAGCTCCACAAGTCCCAAACCAAGCAAGCCAGTGGTGACAGCGGCAAGAAAAAAACTTCACCAATTGACCAAAGTGAAGGAAAAAACACACACAAAAAAAACAGTTTGGCACGACCATTTCTCCTCTGGCCAATTATTTTGTGCACAGTTTAGAACTAGCAAATGCTTGATCACCTTGTTTTGTTTTGAATCATATACAATGCAGTGTAATCACTTATTCTGTCTTCTGTCCTCCACAGCTCGGACATGAGTGGAGCCAGTAACACCCTGGCACGGGAGTTCCTGACGGATGTGCACCAGCTGTGTAGTGCGGTGGCGCAGCGGGCGGAGGATGAGGAGGAGAGTCACATGGTGGCCCTGGGAGAGTATCTGGTGCGCGGGCGTGGATTCCTGCTCCTCAGCACGCTGGAATCTGTCATTGACCAGGTGTGTCAACATAACCTCAATTTATCATAACACAATCTCATATATGTGTGTATTACAGGGCTGCTCGATTTTGGGAAAAATCATAATCACGATTATTTTGGTCAGAATTGTAATCACGGTTATTCAAAACGATTATCAGTTAAAGTCAATTATTAGCGCTCCTGAGAATTTGTTTTTAATAAATATTTCCCAAATGATGTTTAACAGAGCAAGGAAATTTAACAGTATTTCCTCTAATATTTTTTTTTCTTTGGAGAAAAGCTGATTTGTTTTATTTTAGCTACAATAAAAGCAGGTTTAAATATTTTGAAACCCATTTTAAGGTCAATATTATTAGCCCCCTTATGCAATATAATTTTGATTGTGTGCAGAAGAAACTACTGTTATGTTTCTTTATCTATATATGTATGTTTATCTTTCTTTCCTTCTTTCTTTCTTTCCTTCCTTCTTTCTTTCTTTTTTTCTTTCCTTCTTTCTTTTTTCTTTTTTCTGTCTTTCTTTCTTTCTTTCTTTCTTTCTTTCTTTCCTTTTTCTTTCTTTCTTTCTTTCTTTCCTTTTTCTTTCTTTCTTTCTTTCTTTCTTTTCTTTTTTCTTTCCTTTCTTTTTCTTTCTTTCTTTCCTTTTTTCTTTCTTTCCTTTTTTTTCTTTCTTTCTTTCTTTCTTTCTTTCTTTCTTTCTTTCCTTTTTTCTTTCCTTTCTTTTTCTTTCTTTCTTTCCTTTTTTCTTTCTTTCCTTCTTTCTTTCTTTCTTTCTTTCTTTCTTTCTTTCTTTCTTTCTTTCTTTCTTTCTTTCTTTCCTTCTTTCTTTCCTTCTTTCTTTCTTTAAAACAAATAAAATAATGATGCTTTATTTTTAAAGGCCTCTTTAGACCTTGACTTTTCTTTCTTTCCTTCTTTATTTCTTCCTTTCTTTCTTGCCCCCACACTGCAAAAACAATACATTACAGAATGTTTCCCTTTTTATTTTCTTGTTGCGCTCATCTCTGGATAATTCCCAGAGAAGTCATGGAATTGTTCAATCAAAGGTAGTGAAGGGTCCATTATTGAGGGAATGAATTCCTCTCCGGCTGCAAAAAGGACACTGCATTGGCATTACATCAGAACAGAGCTGAATATTCTGCTGGAATGTGTTTGAATAAATGCTGCAACACTTGACTTCAAAACTGCTTTATGTTTTATTCATTGAGTTAAGTATGACTTTAGTGTTTAATATGGTTTTATAGTCCAGATTAAATTAATCGAAAAGTGTATTATACTGGGTGAATCTCAAAGAGCTAATATAAAAAAATATGATTGTCTGTGAAGCTTGTTATTAGATTCACATTGATGTGTTCTTAGTGTGTTGTGTTTCCTCTCCATTTATTGGATTTCCAGCACCTTGCTGATCTAATGAATGGACCCTGTGAATATATTCTAGCTGTTTCTTTCTTGTTTTTAAATGCTGAAATGCAGAAAATCTATTGAAAAGTCATTGTTATTGCAGTGAAGCCCTATTTACAGACATTCATCTGTAGACACACTGCACCAGAGCAACACAACGTACTAGAAGACTCTTGTTAGTGGGGATTGTTGTTTGGCATGCTTGAATGCAAACAGCCTCATGTATTGAAATTGAAAATGTATCTCTTTGCTTTATTTTAATGTTGTAGAACTAAATAAATAGCTAAACCAAAATACCTGAACCAAAAATAAAAAAAAATTTGTTACTTAAAATAAAACAAATCAAAATTGGTAACGTGATACAGAACTAAAATGATTACGAATAGAGTCAAAATTATTATAAATGGTTATATTCTAACTAAACGTGAAAATTTTGTTTTATTATTTTACCATTTATTCCATTTGTATTGCCATTTTTTGGCGATAAACAGGTCATTACCATTATTCCCAATGTAAATAGTTCCTTAATTTGTTAATACCTTATTTTTAGGAATGCTCCGATAAATTGGCCTGAGATCTGTATCGGCCGACAATCACATTTAATGGCGCTATTAGTATTAAAGAACCAATCGCAGGTGTTTGTTTATGAGTTTACAAGCTAAGGAAGATTCACATGCGCACCGCGGTTATACACCTACAGCGCTACAACATGTGAGGTGGTGAATAATCTGTAAGCTATCGATGCGATTGCATCACAGCAGCTAAAATATATACAGATGTGGTGCGACCTCTGTTTACAGTTTACTGGTGCGACTCACTTGAGTGATGGTCTCTTTGGTATTGATCATTGTATATCCAGTGTTTTGAGGTGCTGTGATGCGAGCGGAGAGATCTAGTGTCTCATCCAACCAAATGACCTCCCGGTAGCTCACCGAGTCTCCCGCATATTCAGACCAGATGATTCCTTCAAATTAGATCAAGCATCCTGGAAATCATGGAGATGAGAGTGAATGAATAAGAGAACAGATTGCGAGAGGAAGAGCATGTACTGTGCATCGCATTTGCTAGGTTAAATAAAAAGAGCAGTAAAAGTCTGAAGTGCAAATCAACCTCTCTCATCGGGCGATCGAGCTGCTGTGAGACTGTCTGGAGCTGAGGTTATTGTGCCGCTATCAATAGTTCATTCACTCATTCGTTTTCTGTCTGGCTTAGTCCTTTTATTAATCAATGAACCACCAACACATCCAGCATATGTTTTACGCAGCAGATGCCCTTCCAGCTGCAACCTATCACTGGGAAACACCCATACACTCTCATTCACACACATACACTACGGACAATCTAGCTTACCCAATTCACCTGTACCAAATGTCTTTGGACTGTGAGGTAAAACGGAGCACCCAAAGGAAACCCACGCCATGATGGGAAGAACATGCAAACTCCACACAGAAATGCCAACTGACCCAGCTGAGGCTCGAACCCGAGACTTTCTTGCTGTGAGGCAACAGCGCTACCCACTGAGCCACAGCGCCGCCCTCTATCAATAGATGTAGATGAGCATTATATTTGAAAGGCCTTGCATGGCATGTATTTAGGCCTTTTTACATACAAGAACTGAAAGTTTTTGACAGTTTTTTACTTGAATATTTAATAATATAACTTCTTGTAATATACTCCTTACAATAAACTTCTTTCATCATTTGCCATGTTTTCAGATTGCATTGTCGGTCAATTTTCTTACAATTTTTAAAATCTGTTTTATTTATTATTGTCTGTTAAGCTGATGCTAACCATGACATGTCCACACTAAATGGTTGTAAGTGAGGTATTTATTCTCTTAGGTAAGGAGAGATCTCCACTTAAATATCCTACTTAGAGGGAAAATGTGCTTTATGCAATGTAAAAGTGATTTAAAGCTTAAAGCATTAGAATCGGTACTATGGCCAATCACCATGACAAGGAATCAGTTCTCTGTGGCCCCGTTTACACTAGTGAGTTTTTGTTTTAAAACGGCGTTTTAGATTAAAAACGATCCGCGTCCACACTAGCGTTTTACCTAGCGTCTCTGAACATATCTCCGTCCACACTACGCCACCAAAAACGTATATCATGTGACCATTCGCCCACTCTGGGCATGCGCGTTCTAGAATAAACAGGAAGCATGCGTCTCGCTCAGCATTTAGTTATTGTTAGTCAACAAACGCCGGTTGAACAATGAACACGATGGCAAAGAAAGCAAGAGAGGTATTTTTGTGGACAGATGATGAGGTCGAGTTGTTACTAAACATAACAAATGAATAACTGCACAAATGCGCCTAAAACAGACAATAGTGCAAACAACGCTCCCATTTCTGTGTCCATGTTGTTGTTTACAGTACTGTCTTCCGGTAGCGTTAAAGCCATGTGTTATAGTCATGTGATAGGGACTTGACGAATAAGAGGAGGATACGCAATGACACAAAAGCCCCAATCAGGTAGCGAATCTCAGCAGCCCCGCCTCCGTTTTCAGATGTCTCCGTTTTCCTCATCCACACTGAAACGGAGCAGCAGCGTTTCAGAATGAAAACGGCCTCTTCAGCGTTTTCAAAACGCTCCGTTTTCAACGTTCGAGAACTCCGGCGTAGTGTGGACGGATGGCGTAACCGTAGCAAAACTTATGCGTTTTTAAACGAAAACGCATTAGTGTAAACGGGGCCTGTATTGGCTGCAAAAATCCTGATCGGAGAATCCCTACTACTTACGTTATTTTGCTGATTTGTTTACAATGGAGAGTCTAAATAATGTTCTGTTAGTCTGTCAACATAATTATTTGCATTATTGATGGAAGTGACAAGTGGTTTATTTGATCCCATGCTTCTTCACTCTCTTTGAAGTGAGAGTTCTAGTGAATCATGTCTGGAGTGGTTCTTACTCACAAGACACGGCCCTTTTCTCTGAACTCAGCACTGCTTAACTCTCTCTCGACACAACATCAATCGCCTGTGTGTTTGCATAGTGGTGGGTCAATATGGGTCCCCAGCCATTTTGCTAATTACCTCATGAGTATGCTGCCAGATCCTTGTTTACCTGAGGTCACACAGCACTGTGGCAGCAGCCCCCTGTATTTGCTTTTAATTCACACTTGTCAGAGTGCTTTCTCTTCTCCTTGTGAGGAATGCTCTCTCGCTCTGGGAGGAGACTCTGTATTTAGAGGCTCACTGTCGTAAGCCATTGCAAGAGGTCCTTCTTAATACAGTTTTGTCCTGTCATACAGTTGTCTGCAGTTCTTCCATCTTTTTCTGGATACTAGCTCTACAAGAGATCTCTGTGAAGCAGACGTGAGAAAAGTAACTGCTTCTAGGAGACTTTGATTGGATTGCTTAGGCAGAGTGAAGAATTCTGTTTAAATCCTGAATTAACCTCTCAAACCTTTTACTCAGGAGTTGACCTGTCGGGAAGAGCTGCTTACGCTCTTATTGTCTCTGCTACCTCTGGTCTGGAAGATTCCTGTTCAGGAGGAGAAAGCCCCAGGTAAGAGTCACGATAAAGAGCTTTAATAATGCATCCTATTAACAGCCTTGTTTTTGGCAGTGCACTAGACGTATACTGTAACCCACCTTGAAACTTGAATTAAGTAATTGTGTTAATATTAAATGAGATTCTGACATTGCATTCATTTTGAAAGATGATATACTTGTACACAATATGTTTTATAAAGCAAACGATGGAGGTAATCTTGCGAAGACTCTATGAATTGTTAAACAGCTACGTGCATGAACAACAAGTGAAACCATGAGATGGCTTAAATTTTGAAACAGTACGATTGAAGGAAAATGGAAAGGATAAGAGTTCTCATCGAGCTTGAGGCCTAAGGTATTTAGAGCAGGCATGCTAATCTTTTCTAGCAGCTACTTTCCACATTGTTGAGTTATTAGCTCCTGTAATTGTGTTGTAAACAGACCTCCGGAGATCATCATGACTTACTTTTAATAAAACCAGAATTAGCCAGGTTGTATAACCAGTTGATACCAGTTAGGAATACCATAAACATAGTTTTAAACTATTTTTACTCGTTTTTTTAAATCTTAGATTTCACCCTGCCTTCACTACTCGAGGTGTTTCTTTGCCAAGAGGGAAGGACCATCTCTCAAAAGGCGGGGCAGGATCCATGTGATGTGCAGAACTCTCCGAAGCGTTTATCTGGCTCCTGGAAGTCACGTCGCTCACGTAGGACAGCTCAGCGGTACTCTGTAAGGGATGCACGCAAATCTCAGCTTTCCACGTCAGACTCTGAAGCCAACTCGGACGATAAAACCACAAACACTGGGAGCAAACATCGCAGATTCCATAGTACGGCCATTCATGTTAGTTGCCAGCTTCACCAGTCCAACAACTCCTCGCAAACAGCACCGCAACATCCCACTCTTGATGCAATGGGCACTATTGAGCCATCACAACCTCACCTGAGACTTTTTAGATCTCACACAATGGATCCTAACATGCTATCAGACCCCACCACTCTCTCCATCTTCAACCGCATGGAGAACTCGCCTTTTGATCTCTGCCATGTTCTTCTGTCCCTTCTTGAAAAGGTCTGCAAATTTGACATGACCATCAATCATAACCCAGGCTTGGCGGTCAGCGTTGTTCCCACCCTCACAGAGATACTCACTGACTTTGGTGACTGCTGTGGTCCCAGTGGTGGAGGGGGAGGTGGGATTGAAGAGTTAGCTGGAGGCTGGACTGAGGAGCCAATTGCACTTGTTCAAAGGATGCTTTTACGCACAATTTTGCACTTGATGTTTGTTGATGTTGGTCAAAATGAGACACTGCCTGATAATCTACGCCGAAGCTTGACTGACCTCCTTAGAGCAACTTTAAAGATTCGTACCTGTTTAGAAAGACAAGCGGACCCTTTTGCTCCAAGGCCAAAGAAGACTCTGCAGGAGATTCAAGAAGATTTTTCCTTCTCAAGGTACCGTCACCGGGCCTTGCTACTGCCAGAACTCTTACAGGGTGTCTTACAGCTACTGCTGGGCTGCTTGCAGGCCTCTGCTCCAAACCCTTTCTTTTTCAGTCAGTCGCTTGAGTTAGTTCATGAATTTGTGCAACACCGTGGCTTGGAGCTCTTTGAGGTAACAGCTCTACGCCTTGAGGCCTTAGCAGAAGCTCACAATTCAGAGATTAGCAATGAAGCATCAGAGCATCTGCGTTGTCTGATAGCTGATGTGCTTAAAATAATAAGTGCGGTCAAGAGGGCCAAGTCAGAGCAGCTACACCAGTCTGTTTGTGCACGTCGTAGACACCGTCGCTGCGAATACTCACACTTCTTACACCATCATCGTGACCTCTCAGGGCTGCCGGTATCTGCTTTCAAGCAGGCAGCTCGACGAAATCCCTTTGAGGAGGACTCCAAGGGTAATGATGGAGAAGTGCGGTACCCTGAACGATGTTGTTGCCTTGCGGCTTGCGCTCACCAGTGTTTGCGTCTTTTTCAACGCCTCTCGCCCTCAGGTCCTGCTGTGCTTCAGGTGCTTGCAGGAGTGCAAGCTGTTGGCATCTGTTGCTGCATGGATCCAAGATCGGTAATTGCACCAATGCTCCAAGCATTTCAGGCTCCAGGATTGCGGAGCTACCAGTCCCATGTGTTGAGTGTTCTTAGTAGACTTGTATTAGAACAGCTTGGAGGAGGTCAACCCTCGGAAAAGGCCAAGCTTGCCTCATGCAATATTTGCACATTGGATAGCAGCCAGTTACCTGGTCTTGAAGAGACTCTGCAGGGATGTGGACCTAAGAAAGAATTAAACTTGTCTACATCCCCATCACCATCCTATCGTTCCCAAGGTATTCTTCCCAGCGGAGGAGCTGAAGACATCCTATGGAAGTGGGATGCTTTGGAAGCTTATCAGGAACTTGTATTTGGGGAGGACTGGCATTTGAGTCAACAGATTGCCAGTCATGTATGCCAGCTGACTTTGCGTGGCAATGCAGTGGTGCAGTGGCAACTCTACACTCATATTTTTAACCCTGTCCTTCAGCGAGGTGTGGAATTAACCCATCATGCACAGCAGCTTGGTGTGTCAACTACCTGTAGCCAGGTCTGCAGTTACCACACACATTGTCTCCCAGTTGAGGTACTGCTGGTTTATCTACAAACTCTGCCTGCTCTTCTGAAGTCAAGGTATGATCGTTTTTACTCTCTTATTCACTGTTTTTATTCTTTAAATTAGCAAATAAATGGTTAGTTCACTCAAAATGAAAGTTATTATTAATTATTTTGTTCAACTTCAGAATACAAAATAAGATATTTTAGTGGAAATCTAATTGTTCTCTCATCCTGCATTGACAGCAATGGCCAAAGCTTGACAACAAACCCTCTCTGAACTAACTCAGAATGCTTGATTTTTGGATGAACTAACCCTTTGAACTAAACTGTGATTCCAAATTATTTACTAAATGTATAACTTCTATTGTTTTGTTCCATCTTAGCCGGGTAGTACGTGACCTGTTTCTGAGTTGTAACGGACTGAACCAAGTCACCGAGTTGATCTACTTGGATTGCACTCGTCCATGGGCGCTAAAAGTGTTCGAGACACTTATTTTAAATGCATGGCGAAATCACACCGAATCTGCCGTGCATGAGCTAGAAAGAGCCGAAGCTCAGGAAAGGGAAGCTGTTCTTGGACTCGTGGAGGAACTAAGTACACGTGGCACCGGTGATGCCCCCCAGAGCCTCACCAAGTTTTACGAAGGCCTGAAAGAGGCATGTCCTCCTCCAAAGGGCAAAAGTGAAACAAGCGAGTTTTCTGGAGTAGGACGTAATCGAGGCGAAGCACATTTGAACACCATCAACCTTTTCCTGTGCGTTGCTTTCCTGTGTGTGAGCAAGGAAGCAGACTCAGACAGAGACTCGGCTAATGACTCTGAAGACACCTCAGGTTATGACAGTACAGCTAGTGAACCTTTAGGCGGGCGCCTACCTTGCCTGTCTCCAGATAGTGTGGCTCTTCCCTCTAAAGAGCAGGTCCGGAGAGCTGCTGATGTTTGGTCAGTGTGCCGTTGGGTCTACATGACCAGTCCAGTGTTCCAGAGGCAGTTCTTCAGGCTGGGAGGTCTAGACGTCTGTTCACGTTTAATGACAATGGTCATTCAGAAACTCACATCTAAAAACAAAGACTGTAAATTTAAGAAAAAGAGGGAGAGTAAAGGCAAAAGCAGTCCGTCTCGTGAAGACTCACCTACTCGATGTATTACAGGACACTTTGACAATATGGTGACAAATGCAGGTACAGCAGAAACCCAGCATCCTGAACTAAGTGACACTGTCAGCCTCTCTCAGACAGAGAGCAAGTCAAGTGATCCAATGCACAGGCTTGAAGAGGAATGGCCTTTTCAGAGTATTCGACTCCTGGAGGCACTTTTGGCTATCTGCCTCCACAGTGCCAATTCAGCCTTACAGAGGCTTGAGCCAGATCTTTCCTTTCAGGTACAGTGGAAACTCTTTCTACCGTAGCTCTGTTTTAAACCCCAGTTAGCTGCTTTATTAGGAACTGTTCACACAAAAAAGAACAAAATATAGTTCCATTTTAGCGTAAATGTTAGGGTAGCCCAAACTCGGTGCTGGAGGGCCGTTCTCCTGCTTAATTTAGTTCCAACTTCCTTTAATACACCTGTCTAGAAGTTTTCTAGTATACCTGTTGACCTTATTCTTTATGCTCAAGTTGACGCAGCCATTGTGATCATTTTGGCTGGAGACTTCCTCTCTCATTCAATTCCATTGATTATTAGACTTTAAAAACTGCTTGTTCTGCTGCTTATTGTTACAAACGGATCTTTTCTTAATATATTATTCCAATTTTATTTATAGTCATGAACACACTTGTTTGTAGAGTATACACTCTATACACTAGTCAAGCCGAATTTGCCTTTGCCTTGATTCACTCACCAAAGTCTCTACATTGTCTTCTATTCATCGGGAGACGGTACATTTTAAACTAAATCTGGTCCCACTTTATATTAAGTGTCCTTAACTACTATGTACTTGCATCAAAAAATAAATACAATGTACTTACTGCGTTTATAATGTATTTGAGAACACTTGTGGTGCTTTTGAGTTGGGATAGAGGTTGGGTTATGGACAGGTTTGATGGTATGGGTAGGTTTAAGGGTGGGTTAAGGTGTAAGGAATGGTCAACAGTGTATTTACAAATGTAATTACAGAAGTTAATTACAGATGTAATTACATACAGGTATTAAATCAAGCACAAGTACACAATAAATACATGTATTTACACAATAAGTACATTGTAACAAACTATTAATTCCTGTGTAAGTACATATTAGTGAAGGCCACTTAATATAAATTGGGATCCTTAATCTGATAAATTTAAACCATTTAAACTGATACTTTTAATTTCAGTTAGCTTTTTTGTAGCTTAACATTAAAACAAACCAATAATAGGTTGCATTCCATTTGAAACAACAATCTCTTAACCATCACCCCATCACTCGCTCTCTTTTCTCAGATGGGATTGTGCCACGGGCCCTATTTTGGGCATGTCTGTCATAGGAGATTTAGTTGTCTTTTTTGCAGTTTTGATCACATAACTTTACACATTTACATTCCGTCTCCATTATTTTGATCACACCAAATAAAAGTCCTGCTTTAAACACACCATCCTCAGTCTTCCAGTTGAACTGAATGAACTGTATCTAAAATATATTGATTGCATTTTCCATCGCGCTGCACCCTGTGATTTCCTTCTTCATGAGGGGTAAATGTGACTCGGGTTTGGAACAGAGCTGCTGATTCACATTTTGAAGCGAGTCACCGTCTCGTTTTAGATGTGTGTCATCTTTACATGTTTTTTTTTTCTCTTATAGCTGCAGTCTGTAGAGGAGACCCTGTGTGAGGTCAGGGATCAGCTCTCTCGCTCTGGAGTGGTCAATTCTGAGCTGGCCGTTCCTCTGTTTGATTCCTTACTCCGTGTGGCTCTGGCAGAGATGTTCTGCAGTCCCGAAGTCATTGAGGAGAAACCTGACAAGGTAATTGGATTGGCTTCTTTAATAATTGTGTAGTGTTTCTGACAGAGTCTGAGTTTGGCCTTCTTCATATTCACCTGCTGTTGAAAACTCATGAAAGTAGGACATGCTGTAAAAGGTGCCATATACGGCATTGGTTTAATAAGTTAAATAGTTCTCTGTTATGTACAAAGTAGATTTATGGCTTCGGTAAGTTCTAAAAAATCTCTAGAAACTAATTGTTTACTCCATTGATTGCCCATAAAAAAAGGTCCATGTTTGACCATATATGGTTTGTATCATGAGTAAAGGCTGATTTATACTTCTGCGTCAAACACCGGCGTATGCTACGGCGCTGACGCATAGCCCTTAACCGTGGCCGTCGGCGTCGCTGACGTGCAGCTCTCAAAAAATGTAACTACACGTCGCAACGACGCGTAACACAAGCTCTGTGATTGGTCGGCTTGGTAGCGCTGACGAGTCTGGGCGGGACCGAGAGCCGCGTGAATGGTGCGAGCCTGATCGAGCGATTGTTTACAAGTGTGGAGTCCCGTGAAGGAGCTCCGGATGGAAAGTTTTGTTTTGTGTTTACCTCATAGTTAAAGTTGCTGCACGTCCGCCGGTTCCTGCCTCAAAATGAGCGAGTTTGAGCCACTTGTACATCCCGGAAGCGTTCAGGAAAAGCAAAAAAGCAGCGAAGAAACTCGACACAGAGGAACATTTACACCTCACTGCCAACTAGTGTTTCAGAAGTGTTAATGCAGACCAACAGAGACAGCGCACAGGAGTATAAATGCACAGCCACTTGCGTTGCATGCGCCGTGGGTTACGCCGGTCACTTGACGCAGAAGTATAAACCAGGCTTAATAATGTGCCACACACACAGAGCATGATGCACGCTGAACACGCACAGAAATAAACCCAATCAGAGGAATGATAACCTATTTTTCAATAACGATTTTCATTATATAGGGCACCTTTAAATAAAATATAATTGTTTAAAATATTTCATGCCCTTTATGTGGAAATATTGCAATGTTTTTTTTTTTCTGTGGTAAATATTGTGATATAAATACAGTTTCACAAGATAGTTTGAATAGCACTATTTGATGTTTCTCTGGGGAATCTAATGCTGTGTTTACATCAGATGCGGCATGCACGAATCAGGCTATATCGTACAGATCAAAACCCACAGTTCAGAATGCTCGTGACCCGCGGATTAATAACTTTTTTGAAATTGTAGGTGAAACCAATATTTGTAACAATTGCAGAGAGATCCCCTCTCGAGTCATTCAAATCACGTGTATAAAGCAGTGTGGCTTCCCTGTAAAATATAAAGATGACGGAATAAATGCTTTCTTAGGTTATTAATTAAAGGTGTTTTCTGTCACTGTTTAGCCTGCATTAATGCACTCAGTTTAAAGCTGCACAGTTAATCATTAAAAGATTGTGATCTCGATTCAAACCAGCCTAACAAGAATAATAAATGATGGTTTGCATATGGTAATTAATCCTTCGAAGTGCTGCATTCAAATCTGTGTTTGATTGAGAGATTTAGGTTTTTACAATTTTTCAATTTGTTACAGATAGCTAAATAGCAGGCGAAGCAGTAGCGCAGTGGGTAGTGCTGTCGCAAGAAGGTCGCTGGGTCGTTGGTTCGAGAATCGTCTCAGTTAGTGTTTTTGTGTGGAGTTTGTATGTTCTCCCTGGGTTCGCGTGGGTTTCCTCCGGCTGCTCCGGTTTCCCCCACAGTCCAAAGACATGCGGTACAGGTGAATTGGGTAGGCTAACTTGTCCGTAGTGTATGAGTGTGTGTGTGTGATTGGTTCCCAGAGATGGGTTGTGGCTGGCAGGGCATCCACTGCGTAAAAATGTGCTGGATAAGTTGCCGGTTCATTCCGCTGTGGCGACCTCTAATTAATAAAGGGACTAGGCTGACAAGAAAATGAATGAATGAATTAATAATTAAATAGCACAGCAGTACTGGGAGAACAGTTTATAGTTCAGATATAAACACTGATGATGTTTATGGTGAAGATTAAACTCTGTTTAATGAAACTTGATGCTGGTGAATGTTGTAGCAGTTACATTGTGTAGCCAACAGGGGGCGAAAAACAACCATCAAAATTATGTCACTGAATCTGTTTTCAAAAATGATCCACCTATAGCGAAACATGAAGTTTCTTATGTGAATTGTTGAATCATTAATTGAAAATAAATATGATATGCTGTACATGATGTTGGATTTCTATATTTAGCATTATCCACAACAGCAGCAAAGATCATTTTTCCTATTAAATGTTTTCCTTTTTTCAGAAGGTTTTTTCTTGATTTTTATTTTTATTAAAATTATAGGTTCTAAGTTCTGGTTGTTCAAACCAGGGGTTTTTGCAGTAATATTTCTGTACAATGCGAAAACAAAAAATGACTTTTCTCTCCTCTATTTTTTTACTTATGCAAAAAAATTGGTCCAGTCCGTGACTCAAAAACCGAAGTGTGATACGAACCATATTTGTGATCCTTTACACCTCTAGTAGATTTGTTCAGTGCCATGTCTGAGTCATCTAAATCCTTTCAGTACTATGAAAACTGGACTGACACAGAATCAATGTCAATCTACTAGAACTTCTATGTTGAGCTCCTTTGACACAGTCTACATGGTAAAAGCGCTTTAGAAATAAAGATGATTTAAATTGAATTGAATTGAATTGAATTGAAAAGAGGTGCAGCAGCAGCCCTGTGAGTATATCAACTCCTCCAGAAACTGTACCTGGCTTTCAGCGGTGCTTTAGTCTGAGCTGAGCCCAGTTTGATTCACTCTCCTACATGAGCAAGCTCCTGATTGGTTAACGTGGTGCAAATGTCTGCTAAAGTTCAGATTTTACAAGTCAAGCAAATTGCACAATTTACGCATTAAGTGCATCAAACGTGCAAAACGTCATTCGGGCAAATTGCATCTTTGCATTGACTTATGTAAATCACTCGCGCCTGATGCTTCATCTGTGTCTGGTGTGAACGCATCATCGCAGTTTCCAGGGACAGAAATTGAATAACTGCAATGCAAAAAATGCTTTTCTTACTTTTTGTCTCGTTTCTAGTGCAAATATCCAAAAAGTCCAAATCAAGAGTTTTGTTTCTAAAAGCGAGCAACATGTCAGTGGAGAAAGTCAAATAATGTTGGTTTTGCTTTAAAATGTAGATATGTGGACTAGAAACAAGACAAAAACAGTAGTAGGAAACGTAGGAAAAACTTTCTTTTTTTTGTATAAAGTGTTTATATTCCGTATAATTAAAGTTAAAATCAAAATTCAGACTCAACATTGTGTATCTTGTGATAATGGATGTGCACGATGCGATATCGATGTTGAAACAATATATTGTGCAGCTCAAGCATAGAAACAAGTCAAAATCACCATCTTATTTTAAGCAAAACAGGCATGACACGGTGCCTCAGTGGTTAGCACTGTTGCCTCACAGCAAGAAGGTTGCTTGTTCGAGTCCCAGCTGGGTCAGTTGACATTTCTCTGTGGAGTTTGCATGTTCTCCCTGTGTTGGCGTGGGTTTCCTTAGGGTGCTCCGGTTTCCCCCACAGTCCAAACACATGCACTATAGGAGAATTGAATAAAACTGACCGTAGTGTGTGCGTGCGTGCGTGAGTGTGTGAATGAATGTGTTAGGATGTTTCACAGTACTGAGTTTGCAGCTGGATCGGCTGCGCAAAACATATGCAGGAAAAGTTGGTGGTTCATTCCACTGTGGCGAGCCCGGATTAATAAATGTACTAAGCTGAAAAAAAAATGAAAGAACGAATAAACGTAAAGCAAACAGTTTGATAGGATTAGTGTTGGAGGAGGATTTATTTTTGTGTTGTTTATTATACTATACGCTACCGGCCACTTTATTAGGTACACCTGTCCAACAGTTTGTTAATGCAAATTTCTATTCAGCCAATCACATGGCAGCAACTCACATTTAGGCATGTAGGCATGGTCAAGACGATCTGCTGCAGTTCAAAGCGAGCATCAGAATGGGGAAGAAAGGGGATTTAAGTGAATGTGGCATGGTTGTTGGTGCCAGACGGGCTGCTCTGAGTATTTCAGTACTGGGATTTTCACACATGTGAGAGGGTATTTTGTAATGTGTTCTTCTTTAAAAACGCAGGATTTTCTGGTTTCTCTGCTTTTGTAAGCCTTGCTGCTTTGCTTTTGCAAGATTTATATAATTGGCCTCTCAGTAATCTTCTCAGTTGCATGATCCTGAAAAGATTGAGGGCTTTTCTTCTCAACAGTTTGCTCTTTAAGTGGAACACATCACTGAGTAATTCCCAAATAAATCTTTATCATTTGGACACAGTAACGTTTACTTTGGTGCCCGAGTTTCTCTTTAATAAGTAAATCTGCTTTCTGAAATGACCCTTGGCGAAACAGGAATGGATAAGCAGCCTTTTTGTGTGTTTTGTGTGATTGAGCACCGTGGGGCACACGGGTCTATATTTTATGTGGAAACAGTCAGCTGATTTGGTCCTGTGACTGAAAATCATATATTTTTTTTTTACTTTCTGTAATCACAAACATTTTCTTTCAAACAACGAGAACAACAGAAGCAAAGCTATAAGGATATCCTTTTTAATTGTATTAATTGTTTTGCACGAAGAGCTCATTTAGAAGGTAAGAGTCTGCTGTCTGATTTGCTGTAATCTGTTTCACTACTGTTCGCTTTAAATCTTGATGTTTGACGTTGCGCTGTAGGGAAATGAAAACACTCAAATGTGGAACTGGTACATTTGTGTGTGTTTGTGGAATTGAGTGAGAGTGATTTTGCCAATTTCTTGCTAATTATGTTGTTTGAACACACAGTCCTTTGATTTTAGTACTGTATTTTTTTTTATTTTACTTTAAATTAGCAACAACTAATAAAACTTTATTAATTATTATTAATATTATTATTATTTGTCTCTTTCCAGATATTAGGAAGATGTGTGCTTTAAATAGATTTAAATACAATTTTACTGCCGTGTTTGGACAGCCTTGTTTTATTTTATTGTGTTTTATTTTAATTCTTCTGTAATCTGATCTACATAATGCTTCAGAAAAAACGTAACGAAAGTTCTAGCGAATATTCAAAACGGGAAGCGAGCGTGTATCACAGCTATGTTTTTAAACACCAGCTTTTAATAGCAGAATGCTCTGATGATCACACATGCCCTATTTGGTTACCCACATGTACTCTGTTGCTAAATTTGGTGCCACCTATTGATCACAAACATTCTGAGAGCAGTAAAAATAATAATACAGTGTATATATTTTACAATTGAATGATCATTAATGAATTGTTATGCTGTATTGGAATATATTGTTCATTTCAAATTCTATAAATTTGAATAGTAATAATAATAATAAGGTGAGCCTTTATAATAACTACACACTATGAATCATCTATTGAGCATTAGCAAATAGTGAATTCATTATCTGTTAAGCAGATAAACTCTACATTAACAGATGTTAGTAAACTGCAGACATAAATGCTGTGTTTTTGACTTATAACAAGGTACAGTTGTACGCCTGTATATGCAGGAGTCCTTAAGGTAATTTCAGTGGCTTTTAAATACCTTCTGAGAATATTAAGACCTCATCATCACTTCAAGTTCTAATCAGTATCAAACATTTAACTTAATAAACAGTTGTTAATAAACAGTTGTAGTTGAATAAATCAATAGAGCACAACCGTGCAACACAACTTAGATCAGCTTGGAGGAAACAAAGCTTGAAAGAATAAATTATGCGGTTGTTTTCAGTGACAGTGACACTGTTTAAACTCGTCTTTCTCCAACCAGGAGTTCGCAAACTAACATTTTCCCATCTGTTTCGCTCTATGGTTTCACTGCATGTAGAGTGTCACAAATTACATGACATCACTCTGATGGGGGGGTTTGGCCGCACGCACCCTGGCCTGAACCAATCGCGTGGATCGAGCACACCTTTGTTGATATTAGGAGGAAAATAAATATATTTATGCTTTTTTGCAGTCAAACTCTTTGGACAACGCTTGAAAAAAAAACGCCATTAAGACTTTTTAATACCTTTTAATGGCTTTAATTTTTCCATATCTGATTTATCAACTTTTAATACTTTTTAAGACCCTGTGGACACACTGTATAAGCACATACAGGGCTCAACAATAAGACTGCCCCATGGCCCAGGGCCAGCGTTAGGGATGTTCAGGACAGTAGAGAGAATTGTTACTGGCTCGATCAGGCCAGTGCTGCCTTGTCTCAAAATTTTAATTTGCCTGCGACTATTTGTCACTTGCGTGCATATATTAGGTCTTAGAATCAAGAAATAATTTGTGCTTTTAAGTCTTGAATGAACCTTTTCTATGAAGTCGTAAACACCATATTGCTTTTTGGTTCCTTTCATCGGATCGAGTGTTATGAGCACATCATTTTTTCCACAACTTGGTAAAAACCAGTACAGTGAAGAGACGGCAACATCAAATAATGAGGCTAAAAGAATATGTCTGTTTCTAACGTTGTGGAAACATGGGTTCAACACGATAAAAATATTTTGCATAGTTTTCCATCACTTTTAAGTCAGCCACCTTTTGTTTTGCAATAAAATGCCTGCACATTTTCCATACTGCTTTATTTTACTGCTAAATATTTTAACATTTTTAAGATATTTAAATCCTAGATTCACACATTTCACATTATTTTTGACACATTATTTAAAACAGGTGTGACCAATTCTGTTCCTGGAGATCGACCTTCCTGCAAAGTTCAGCTCCAACCCTGATTTGAGAGGAGTTGCTGATTTTTAAAGATCATTCAGAATGTGTAAGTAAATGATTAATGAACTATTCAAATGAACATTTATTTATCTTATTATTCAGGCATACAGTATATTAATAGTTCATTTGTATGTTAATAAATGCTTTATTAACTCAACTTCATGATGTTTTGTGACCGAATCTAAAGTGAGGACTATTAATGATCTATAAAACCCTTATAAATGACAATTAAAGACTTGGCTACATTCTTAACAGAAAAAAAATAAAAATAAAATAAGCCACTTTATTCACTGCTATTGATTTGAAGATACACAAATGAAACTGTATCAAATCAAAAATAAATCTTTGCAATCTTAAAATAAAATGACTGTGCAGTTTATACTTAACTAAATAACATTGAAATGTTGTAAATTATTAAATTGTTGTTGTTGTTGTTTTATCCAATTGTATGTTACATTTTGACACTCCTGCTATTCGCCAATGTTTAAACTTTACAGTAGTTTAACTTTAGATAAGATTGCAAAGATTTCTTTCATTTGTTTCCTTCTAAATGTGATTATAAGTCAAGAATACAGCATTTGTATGATTCAGTGTGTAGTTATTTTAGTGTTGCCAATAATAATAGGGTTTGTATTTTAATAATAGTATAATAATAATAAAGTGTGAATATGAATGTATGTGCGTATAAATAACAAGCGGTAGTAATGTTTTATCTGCATTAATTTAATTACTTTATACTATCCATCGCTTCATAAGGTTGTAGTATAGAAGCTGTATTAATAATAATAATAATAATAATATAGTAAAATGCTTACTTTTTTGTATTTTTTTTAATAACTAATATATCTTTGCATGTTAGTTGTTAGAATTAATTATTTCATCTAGTAATAATAAGGTTTAAGTTTTTATATAATAATAATAATGTGTGTTTGTGTAAATACACATAGTAATGCTTAATCTGCATTACTTTATATTATCCATTCCTCAATTCGGTTGTAATAATGGCAAAAAAAAATTAATAAATAAACAATAATAATATAATTATCATGCAATAATAATATAATAGTACTTATAGTACTGTAGTCGCCACAGCGGAATGAACCGCCAACTTATCCACCAAATGTTTTTACACAGCCCTTCCAATCACAACCCAGCATGGAGAAACACACATACACTCTTGCATTCACACACATACTCTGCAGCCAATTTAGCTCATTCAATTCCACTGTACCACATAACTTTGGACTATGTGGGAAACCAGAGCACCTGGAGGAAACCCACACTAAAACAGGGAGAGCATGCAAACTCCGCACAGAAATATCAACTGGACCAGCCGGGATTTTTAGGATCATAATAATTCAAATGTTTGTTTTATTACCTTATAAAAATTCATACTTTGTTTTCATTTCTTCATTTATATTTACTATATATTTATATGCGAGTTGTATTAAATGCCTCCCTCCGTCTGATGAGTGTTGAACGTGTCTCTGCAGAAGTGTGCGGTCAGTGAAGCGACTCCTCCAGCCGGTGATCTGTCTGAGGATGTGGATGAGGCTCATGTGAGTGCAGTTCAGCCTCTGGGAGAAGAGGAAGGCTATGACGCAGACAGCGAGAGTAACCCTGAGGACTCCACCCGGCAGGAGGAAGGTACAAGCATTACTTTATCTTAAAGTACAGGCTACATCGGTCTTGTATTTAAATGTTAATTTAATAATGTGCCCCTTTTGTAAAGCTGCTTTGGAATGATGACTGTTGTGAAACGGGCTATACAAATAAACTTGAATTGAAATAGTTTACTCAAAAATGAAAAGTTCCCCATTATTTACTCAGACTCAAGTGATTTTTTAAAAAACTTTTATGAGTTTCTTCTGTTAAACACAAAACATACTAGATATTTGAAATAATGTTAGAAAAATCTGAAATTAGCTGTCTTTCCATCCAAAAGTTGTGAATAATGCAACATTTTCAACCAATGAGTTAAAGAGAACTAAATCATGACTTCCTGATTATCTAGAAGACCAAGTCATTTTACACATTAACCGATCAATAAAAGAGAGTTGTCTGTACATCTATCTATCTATCTATCTATCTATCTATCTATCTATCTATCTATCTATCTATCTATCTATCTATCTATCTATCTATCTATCTATCTATCTATCTATCTATCTATCTATCTATCCATCCATCCATCCATCCATCCATCCATCCATCCATCCATCCATCCATCCATCCATCCATCCATCCATCCATCCATCCATCCATCCATCCATCCATCCATCCATCCATCCATCCATCCATCCATCCATCCATCCATCCATCCATCCATCCATCCATCCATCCATCCATCCATCCATCCATCCATCCATCCATCCATCCATCCATCCATCCATCCATCCATCCATCCATCCATCCATCCATCCATCCATCCATCCATCCATCCATCCATCCATCCATCCATCCATCCATCCATCCATCCTTCGTTCTATATTAACATCAATAATAGGAATTAGGGTTGGCCCGATAGACGATGCCATCGTCCATCGTCGATAACCAGGGCCAGATGAATCTGCGGACGTTTTTTTACTATTTCTGTTGAGAATTTCTGTAAAAATCTGCGGATTTCTGCGGAATTATTTTGGGAGTATCCAGCGGAGTATCATAACTAACACCTTAATACATGAAATAAAAAGTAATACCTTATAACTTATACCTTTTATTTAATGTTTAAAATGCAAATCCAATTAGATTCATTTCATTTGGTAAACAAAGCAAGTCACTCATATAATATCTTTACTAAAAGACAGAACATATTATTTAACAAACTGTGTTGTACATAAATCAGATGAACTTTTTCATGATACTCTATAATATTGCTGTAATTAATTAAAAAACTCAAGTAAATAAACAGAATTAATTATGGGCTAAAAATCTGCGGAATTCTGCGCGTACAGATTCCGTGTGGGCCTACGGATAACTGACAAACTTCAGGCTGCTGAGCCGGCATCGCGATCCATCGCCCCGCCCCACATTTATATTGATTTATAACTTATTATTTGCATGTCATCTTAACAGCAATACTGGTTCATGAGCTGTGTTAAATTTGACATATAGCTGCTGCTTGCACGGCTGACAGCATCGTGAGGATTAAATGAAGGATTATACAGCACCTCTCACGCTTAATATGTGTAGATTCAGAGGCAAACGCTGTTACCTGCAAACCCCGTCCCACAGAGTTTACAGTGAGTGGCTTTAGTCACTTTCATAGCGGACTTGAAGCCACTGGAAGTCTGTTATCCACACTTGGAAAAGTGTAAATGCTGGATTAACATTCAGCACATGTCATGATCACTAATAAGATGTGCCATTATTAGTAACTGTAGGTGGTTTCTAAAACAAAATCTGTCAGTGTTTGTCATTCTCTCATCTTCAGCTCTTCACATTTCTGCGGTTGTAGCTCCTGTCATCTGAAGGCAGAAGGCATTGACGAAGTGATTGACGGCTGATATTAACCAATCATTCGCTTTCAGTTCTAGAACAGTGGGCAAATAAGAACACAAAGGTGGGGCAAGCATTGCAGGCTTTTTTTACTTCAGCAAGTTCACATGACAACTGTTTTAATCTGTCCCTAAGCGCTGTGTTTGGCGTTTTTAGGTGCATTCTGTATAAATGTCTCCTAAATTTGCACTGGTGGTGAGGATTTTACAGTGAAAACAGTGAAAATGCACTCGCACAAATGCTTCCAAATATATTTTAGGGTTGCATAGATAAAATTTCAGGCGCATATGCAACCAAAGAGGTCAAGCCCGAGCATCTTTACTTGTTATTATTACCTCATAATAATAATAATAAAATAAGGAAGTTATCATCAATCACAATGCAAATTACAGTGAACTCCAAACAAAGTCTCCTCCACCTGCTGTGGGAGTAAAAACGATAGGCTACAATTAATTAATTCATTATGAATTAATTGATATTTACCAATAGCCCCTTTCACACATACAGACCTTTGTTGTATGTGTGAACAGGTCCATTTTGAAAATACCGGTAAATTTGTTCTGGCTATTTTCCGGAAAGAGAAGTTGTAACATTACCGGCAATTTGCCGGAATGCTGCGCTGTGTGAATGCAGAAGGAAGATTGCCGTAATAAGCGCGTGCACGTCTAGAACGTGCTGACGTGAGACGTCTGCTTTAGCCAATCACAACAGTCAGACGCATTTACGTCCGCGCGGTTTGTGTGAATAAAAGCCTTTGAATATTTTTCCAGATGCATTTAGCTGCTAGAAGTTAGTCAGATCACGTTTATATGTTCTTCTTAATGCCAACTGTGTAAATAATCATCGATAAGATGCTTATGATAAGCCGTTGTTTGTTTACCTTCAAGCTTTGCGTGTGCCTGTGAAACAGCCTGTGAGCGCCTGCACACACACATATTATTAACATCTCGACATGCGAAAGTGATCCTGCGAAAGTTGTTTACAATATTGATCATCCACAGAGTTTGTAATTTAGTCAAATGTTTACAAACACAAGCGCAGCCGTTTAAAGCTCATCTGTGGTGAATGATGTCAGAATTTACCGGTATTTTGGAATGGATGTGTGAATGCTCTTTTCCGGAAAATTTCCGTAACGTCCTCGCCTGTGTGAACAGCGCTTTTTTCAATATACCGGTAAAGTCGTTCCGGAAATTTTCCAGATATTTACCGGTATCACTGTGTGAAAGGGGCTAATGACCACCCCCCCTTCGCCCGCCCATGACGATGAGGCCATCGTCCATCACAATGTTTTACTTTAGACATCGTTCGATGCCAAATTGGTCAACATCGCTCGACCCTACTAGGAATAAAAAACACTATGGAAGTCATTGGCTTTTTTTCCAGGATTCCTTAATGTATCTTCATTTGTGTTCAACAGAAGAAACTTAGACAGGTTTGGAATGAGTGGAACATGAGGAAATGATGACAGAATTTTCATTTATTTGTATTTTTCAATGCTGAAATGAAGTGTAGAGTAATGAACATATCTGTTAGCCCTGATGTAAAGTGCAGAGTCACTGAGAGCAGGAGGAGTTTGTCAGCGAATGATCTAGAATGCCGGCTGGTTTGAGCCGGTTAACATCAGGTAAAGGCTGAGTGAAGGTCTGGTCAAGCGGTCGGTATGTGATCCTGTTCCTCAGTCACATGTAGACTTGGCTCTCTCGCCCTCAGAATGGTGTCATTGTTTCCTTCGGCTATGATGCAAGTCCGCCGTGTTGAGCCGTGTCTTGTGACTGCAGCTTTTGACTGATCTTTTACATACACACAAGTGAGCGTGGTTTTGTAAGTTCCCTCACTTTTGCTTAAGAGTCACTATGTATTCAATTCATATTTTTTTCTCTAGCGCTTTTGCAATGTAGATTGTGTTAAAGCAGCTTAACATAGAAGCTTTAGTAAGTTAAAACTGTGTCAGTTCAGTTTTCACAGTTGACTTTCAGTTTAATTCAGTTCAGTGTGGTTTCATTTACACTCCTGATAGTCCAAACACCGAAGAGCAAATCCATCAATGCGCAGCTCCACAAGTCTCAAACCAAGCAAGCCAGTGGTGATCACCATGTAGGTGATCTCATTTATAAAAAAGGGCATTGAAGGTTAAAGTCAGTGTCTAGTGTTTGTGTTTGCAGTCCAACTGCTCCTGATGATGATGTGTGTAAATCTGAATGTGTTTTTCACAATTATAGATATATTATATCATCTAATACTGACTTGATGCTGACTGATCCACATGCATTATGTCCAAGTTTACACCAAGATTTTACTGTAAAAATGGGCTGATTTACTTGGGGAAAAAAGAAGAGAGAATATGTTGTTTTAAAAGCAAATAGTTGACTTTTTTTTTTAAATAGTCTGTAAATCCCTTTAATTTACACTGAAATTACTTACTATTTTATTTTTAAACTAATTGCTTTTTCCCAAAAGCAGAACCAATTAAAAAATAATAATAATAAATATATATATATATATATATATATATATATATATATATATATATATATATATATATATATATAAATATATATATTGAACACAGTTATAAAAACAGCACTAAACCAAACACATTTTAGTAATCTGAACATATTTTTAATAACTTTAACACTTATTAGCACTTTTTATTCTTCTGTCATTCCTAACATTTGTAATTTCAGTCAATGTAAATGGAAAAAAGGGGCATTGAACATGTTGTCTGTGGATTTTTATCTTCAGATTTACAAAATATCATTGCCTCTTTATTTCTAATAGCAACAGCAAGACTAAAATGGACAATATATCATACCTATCAACATTGGGATGTGAAAATAAGGCATATGCCCACCATAATAAGGGATTCCCCTTCAAATCGCGTGTACAGAATCCGTTTGGAAAACAGCATCTGTTTATCACTATGGAACGCGTCAGCTGACAGTCATGCACCATTATAAGACTATTTTGAGGATTGTATAGTGCAACTTTGCCGTCGCCCATCCGTTACAATAGGATTGGCGACGGCACCTGTAATCAAAAGGAAATGGAATCGCGCCGTTTTTAATATTTATTTATAAATCCTAAACAAAGCAAAAGCACAGAACAGCCTCACGTTTTAGAGAAAGGGGCGATCCCTGGTGGTTTGGCGGTATGGGTTGCAGTATAGGGAGGCTCGGCTGTTCAGAGAAAGACTGAAAATACGGAAGAAATACGGAAAAATACCTATACGGGATGATAGCGGGATAGAACTGTCAAATACGGGAGAATCCGGGGAAAAACGGGAGGGTTGCCAGCTATGCAATATATATCTAACTGAAGAGTTGGCGGGGAACAACGGAGTTGAGGATCCACGTGCAGTTTATTAATAGGAGTAGTCAGGCAGGCAACGGTCAAGACGGGGGCAAACAGAAACGTTTAGGAAATCCAGAATCGTAGTCAAGAAACAGGTGAATGGTTAGGACAGGCAGCGAAAACAACCAAAATAATAAAACAAAACACAGCTAGACAAGGCAAGACAAGAACAGAAAGAAAAACTTTTGTGATGTTACAATAACAAGACTCACTCAAAGACTGTGTTAATATGGTCCGTCTGATTATGCCATCATGAGCTTCCAGCTGTGTGAGTGCAATCAGGAAGAGAACTGGAACTGCTGTGTGTGAGGTGCATGATGGGCTTTATGGTTCTTATTAGTGGCAGATTTGTAGTTTTCTAGTTATCTGCAATTGCTAGATCGCTAGTGATCGTGACAATATAAAATAAATTAAAAGTATCTATTTATATTATCTCTATTTATATTTATATCTATCTATCTATTTATGTCTGTCTGTCCATCAGTCTATCTATCTATCTATCTATCTATCTATCTATCTATCTATCTATCTATCTGTCTATCTGTCTATCTGTCTATCTGTCTGTCTGTCTGTCTGTCTATCTATGTCTGTCTGTCCATTCGCTATCTGTCCATCAGTCTATCTATCTATCTATCTATCTATCTATCTATCTATCTATCTATCTATCTATCTATCTATCTATCTATCTATCTATCTATCTATCTATCTATCTATCTATCTATCTATCTATCTATCTATCTATCCGTCTATCCATCTATTTATCTATCTATCTATCCGTCTGTCTTTCCGTCTGTCTGTCTGTCGTCGTTATCATCATCGTCATTTGCCATTTTTTCTTTAATTTATCATCTGTTTGTTCTGTAATAGTAGTTAAGTCATTCTGTCTGTCTCTTATATATCTATCCATTCATCTTTGTATGGTATCTAGTCATCCTTCTCTTTCTGTCTTTGGATCCATCTGCATGTATGTGAGAGTGTGTGTAAGGAAGTGCTCTGTGTGTTTGTGTGTGTGCGTGTGAGGCAGAACTTCATTAATAAAAAGCACCCAGAGCTTGCGCAGGAGCTTCAGGCTAGTTCACAACTAAATCATGCGGTTCTTGCGTGTGTGGCACCTCCATCAGCTTAATTTCTTTTTCGCGGAGCTGAGCGCCATGAGCTTCCTCTGGTACATACAGTTCTTGCTCTTCAGCTCTTCTGTGCGTACACTTGCACCACATCCAGTCATTCTTTTGCTGCTGTACTGTTGTTTATAGTCAGTGTTGTGTCTGTGACAGGGCTAAAGGTGGAGGCTGGAGTCTCATTGAGGGAATGTACATTGGGGATGGCAGGAGTGCCTCAGGGCTCCGTCCGCGGACGTCTGCTGTTTCCGGAGATCTGCCTGATGGAGCTGCAGCTGTTGGCCAGCGGTTCTCCAGACTTGGAGGTTTTGGGTCATGTGTTGCAGAGCCTGTTAGCCGCTGTGAAAGGCCACCACAACAATGCAGCGCAGCTCTACCAGCAGGTCAGAGTCATTTCTCTTTTATTCATGGGTGTCGTTACATATTGATGCTGTACAGTGAGGCGTCCTATTCCAGAACGCGTAATGTGTAATATACCTGTGGTGTCTTAAATGATAGAAAGTAATCAGCTGAAATAGTATACTTGAAACCAAAGACACGTCAATCCACATTACAGGAACAAGATGACCTTTTGCGAATCTTTTAACAATAGGTTGATTTCAATCACGTGGTTTTGGTGACGTGCAAAATTCTGAAGGAGGACAGGAAGTCAAAAACTAAGTGGAAGACATGGAGGAAAGTCCATATTTCTGTGACTTATACCATATTTCAACGGAGATATGAATAGAAACTAGCCATATACAGTTGAAGTCAGAGTTATTAGCCCTCTTTGAATTGTTTTTCTTTTTTAAATATTTCCCAAATGATGTTTAACAGAGCAAGAAAATTTTCACAGTATGTCTGATAATATTGTTTCTTCTGGAGAAAGTCTTATTTGTTTTATTTCGGCTTGAATAAAAGCAGTTTTTAATTTTTTTTAAAACATTTTAAGTTCAATATTATTAGCCTCTTTAAGCTTTATTTTTTCGATAGTCTCCAGAACAAACCATCGTTATACAATAACTTGCCTAGTTACCCTAACCTGCCTAGTTAACCTAATTAACCTAGTTAAGCCTTTAAATGTCACTTTAAGCTATATAGAAGTGTCTTGAAGAATATCTAGTCTAATAGTATGTGCTGTCATCATGGCAAAGAAAAACAAATTATTAGAAATGAGTTATTAAAACTATTATGTTAAGAAATGTTTTAAACAAAATCTTTTTGTTAAACAGAAATTGGGGGAAAAAAATAAACAGGGGGTCTAATAATTCAGGGGGGCTAATAATTCTGACTTCAACTGTATGTTGGGATGATCCTTGTATCATCAACTAACATATATTTGACTGTCATCGAGGCGGTAGATACTGTATAAGCTATTACATTACATGAAAAATACTATAGTAAATACTGTTTGGATGCATACTATATCTAATTACTTTAAATAAACTGTTGTACTAATTTTATTGTAGCTGTGGTACAACACGACTGTAGTTATAAGCAAATTTTTTAATAGGCTTCAGTTTTCTACACCATAGTTATACACTATATATTATACACATAGCTAGGCCTGTATATAATCTTTATTGGTGCTGTCACACGAATTATCGCATTCAGAAAAGTTTGTACACTTAAATGTATTGAATAAATGTTTATTACAAGCCGCCTTTTCTTCAGTTTTTCAGCCATTTTTTTAAACGTTCCCCCCCTTTATGAGCTAACACTTTGAAGTCTGTAAAAGCTGTTCGGCATTTCTTATTTTGGCTGATTTAAACAATTATAAACAACATAAAACACAAACTTTTTGATGTTCTGGTAGCGATTCCTATGTGGAAGAACCACTTCCTGCCCTCCATCTGAATTTCATCAATGACGTCATGTGAAAACAGCCTATTGAAGATGTTTTTGTCATGACAGAATTTTTTTGTTGTAAAAACCTTTAGCCCAGGGGTGTCCAAAGTCAGTCCTGGAGGGCCGGTGTCCTGCTGAGTTTAGCTCCAACTTGCTTCAACACACCTGCCTGGAAGTTTCTAGTATACCTAGAAAGAGCTTGATTAGCTGCTTCAGGTGTGTTTGATTAGGGTTGGAGCTAAACTCTCCAGGACACCGGCCCTCCAGGACCGAGTGTGGACACCCCTGCTTTAGCCCATCATCATTTGATTTTTCTGAGGAGTAAAATCTGATCAGTCACATTAATTATTGAATCATTCTGTATTTGTTTTGGTCAGGGTGGCGTGAAAGTCATTCTTACTGGATTCCCGAACATTCTCAGCCAGTCAGATGCCTCATATAAAGGTGTGTGTTTATCTCAAACTTCCGCCAGTGCTTACTGTATTTCTTCAATGTGTGTGGATGTTAAAATTTATTTTTAATTTCATATTTTAAAATTTAATCACAAGCAATAACAGGTTGGTTGTTCATACCATTTAAAAATTATAATAAAGTATAAAATGTTGCACATTTAGGCTATTGTTATGTTCATCCACTCTGGTATGTTTTTAATAACAATATTTTGGAGTTTACCGCAGATATATATTGAAGTAATCATTCCAGTTTTAAATCAGGGTGTCCACTAGGTCTTAAATTCAAAAACAAAATTTTGGGCCTTAAAGTCTTAAATTCACTGAAATATTGTGTTGCAGGTGTTAAATCATTTTAAACAGGTTTTAAAGGTGCAGTAGGTGATCTGCCACAATGCTAACCGGTTAGCATAATATCTTTGAAACACAGTCCCTCCCCTGCCGTCCAAAGCCACACCTCCTGAAACAAGAACGCACACCTTAAAGATAACAGCAGAACTCTCTCACGTGCTGTCCTAAAGCGAATCTGCTTAGTGGTTGGCCATCAGCGTGCAGGAATTACACTTATTTCTAAGCCATACTTGCATGCTTTTTCAGAGCGAATATTTAAAGTAGCATGGTAAACAATATAGGGAGCGCGTCACAGGCTGTAATTTTTCAAAAATGAACCAATGTGAATATAAAAGCAACTTCAGCTCAGTAAAGCAGGCTATGTGGAATAGTGCTATTTACTGATGTTTTGTTGTTAAACTAAATAAAAATGTACATTATGCTGTAAAAGGACCTTATGAATCTAAAATAGTCACATCAATCTTTCAACGGGAGATTTCAGTGGCTGAACAACACTTCTGTGCATATAACCCATTCACAACAACACACTCTACATCAGCTCTGCGTGACTAATATACTTTTGAAACAGAACATGACATGTCTAACAGAAATACTTCAGCCATGGTGTGGTCCTTCCTCCAGCGTGCAAAACTAACTCCACTACTGATTTAGGATTGTAAAGTTTGAATTCAGCATTTGTTTTTATCGCTGTCACTCTCTCGTGTGCACATGACCACGTGGCGCATGTGTACGCGCAAAAAATGGCATATCTGCGTGAACAGGGGTGTGAAGTTCATTTGCTGTGCAGTTTCATTTGCTTTGATCATTTACTGTAATCATTACTATTGGACTGTGAAGAGATTTTCAACCAGCACAACAACACATGTTTCTGAACACAATCACCTGCTGCACCTTTCAGTTTGCGTTGTCCAAGTAAAGCTACCCAATCGGGCTGACTTCCATCCAATCACCAACAATACTTCTCAGTAAAACCTTTTATTTATATATATATATATATATATATATATATATATATATATATATATATATATATATATACATTTTTTAACGCAAAGAGATTCACAACAGCAATTCACAACATTCCCCATCAAATTGCCTTGGGAAAGACAACAAAAAACAATGATATGATTCCTCATGATAATACCGCGCTTTTAGGAAAAAAAACCTTAGTGTTTAACCCTGTATAAGACTATAATTGAATTCTTAATGGTTTTAAAAGGGTCTTAAATAGTCTTAAATTTGACTTAAACCTTGCAGAAACCCTGTAAACATCGTCATAATCTCTCTATGCTCTGTCGTACCCATCAGAGTGCCAGACAGTACTGATGGAGCTGCTTGTTGCCATGGTGAGTGACAGGATCACAGCAGAGGAACTTGCCCTGTTGACCCGCCTCTTCCTGGAGAAGACTCCGCCCACTGTAAGTGCAACCTTAGTTAGCATTTAAATAATGCCACAGTGAATTTATAAACTGCATCAAACTGTTTTCACAGAAAAGGACAAGATCTGACACAATCATAACACAAATGCAATCAGTCTGATCAAACAAGAGGGTTATTTTTAACTCTGTCAGGAAGTGAACACGCAGATACAAGATGTACTTTTAGTAATGCCAACACTGATATTAATCAGCCTGTCTGCATTTACTTAATTTGATTTATTATTCTCAGTTTTATTCCTTCTCTCTCACCTTTATTTCTTTTGTCTCGTTTTTAATGCTCTTATTTACTAGTATGTGGTTTATACTAGTTTTGTTGACGATTGCTTTACAGTACAGTCAACGTGTGTTCTAAGGATTAACAAAACTACTTTTTTATAAATCTCTTGTGAATGGGTTGTCTGAATTTAACTTCATGTTGACAGTCTTGCAGTATAAACGTTGTTGACTACTAATGGAGTCTCCTGGTACTGTTGTGTAGATGGCAGTTACTGTAAGGGTGCTTTCACACCTGTAGATCGATTCTTTTCTTCCGAAACAGGGATTACAATGGTTACAATGTTTATTTTTGTTCTTGTCATGGTTCATTTTCACACGGCAAAGTTTCTAAACGGACCAAAATAGTTTAAACAGGTCACATGCGAGTAAACTGTCCTCACAATAGTCAGTTTCAGGGTTTATTTTTCTAATTTATAATGATAAGCAATAAGACATTATAAGGGAAAAGGTGCACTTTAATTTTGACACTCACAGACATCGTCACCAAATAAATCAGAGAGGTCAGATGTACAGCCTCATTCAAAATCTATTGAATCAATCAATTTATTTAAAATTAAACGGAAATGTTTGTAGTTTCTGCCAAGCCGACTCTACATCATAACTTTTCAATCCAGATGGACGGGGCAACCATTACTGCATCCAAAATGGTGAAAAGCCTTGAAGTAACAATTGATGACCAACTAAACTTCTCTGACCACATTTCTAGAACTGCTCGATCGTGCAGATTCGCACTCTATCATCAGAAAAGTCCGACCCTTCTTATCTGAGCATGCAGCTCAACTCCTTGTTCAAGCTCTTGTTCTCTCCAGACTGGATTACTGCAACTCTCTACTAGCCGGGCTTCCAGCTAACTCTATTAAACCTGTTCAGCTGCTTCAGAACGCAGCAGCACGAGTGGTCTTTAATGAACCTAAAAGAGCACATGTCACTCCGCTGCTCATCCGTTTGCACTGGCTGCCAGTTGCTGCTCGCATCAAATTCAAAGCTCTGATGTTTGCTTAGAAAGTGACTTCTGGCTTTGCTCCTCCTTATCTGCTCTCACTTCTGCAGATCTATGTGCCCTCCAGAAACTTGCGTTCTGTGAATGAACGTCGCCTCGTGGTTCCATCCCAAAGAGGGAAGAAATCACTTTCCCGAACCCTCATTCAATCTGCCCAGTTGGTGGTATGAACTCCCTAACTGCATCAGAAACGGCAGAGTCTCTCGCTGTCTTCAAGAAACGACTAAAAACTCAACTATTTACTCTCCACTTTTTTTCCTAATCTGCAATTGCCTCTCTGGCTCCACCACTAACTGTATTACAGAAGAAAAAAAAACTAATGTTTTACTTCTTACACTTTACATACCTGAAACTTGCCTACAGCACTTATTCATTGTTGCTCTTATAGTTGTGTAAATTGCTTCCTTGTCCTCATTTGTAAGTCGCTTTGGATAAAAGCATCTGCTAAATGACAATGTAAATGTTATTTAAACAAGTGTTGGCTATAATTCTGCATTATAGGCTAAAATTAAAGAGAGAAATAACAGATGAATCGAGACTGCATCAGATCATGAAGCAGATCAATGTTGATCTTTCTTTCAAGGGGTCAGTGCAGAAATAAACAAAACAACAGGCCTAACACAAAATATTATAAGATTAAAACATGGAACAATCATCAGATGGTAATTTTGGTCAATTAGCCTGATGGATAAACCGATCTCGTTAATATTTCAGCATGCTTTCACTTTCGTATTTGACATGAAACACACATTTACTGGTGAGAATGATGACATTGCGCCCTACTCATATTTCTCTCTTCATATAGCCGTATATATGCCTATTGCACTTCCATAATACACTGATATAGCCTGGTTCAGATCGTTTTGCTTTCTCACTACAATCCATTTACTCCAGAGTTCAGTCATGATGAGACCACCTCATTCAGGCGGTCTCTGGCCGATTGTTTTGGCATTAATCTTAGCACGATTGCTGGTTTTAAATATGCCAACTGAACTGTGTTAACTGGGCAAAAGAGACAAACGTCTAGGTGTGAAAGCACTCTAAGACTTATTAGCATACAGTCAGCATACTAAAACTCCATCTGAGTAATCACATCGCTTGCCAACAATTACTTAAAGCAAAACAATAACATAATTTTACAATAGCAATCTCTATAATCACCTACAGTAGTCAGTTATTAAAGACAAGGGATTGTTCATCATGTATATTCATAATTTCACACACAGTATGGTGTGTTTGCTTGATGGTACTAAATCTAATCGTTGTATTTTGAAGCTCTTTTCTTGGCAGCCAGACAGCTACTGTATTCTCTTCATCAATAGTCAGTAATGGCCCTGTGAAATGTGCTTTTCCCATAGGTGTGTTGTTAATGGAGGCCCATAGGGAGTCGTAAGTCAGAGTCTGTACCTCAGAACTGATGGCAGTGTTAGTGCACTCTCTCTGTAGTGGTAGACAGAAACATGCTCCATCAAACAAAAAAGCCCAAGACCGGTTACTCACTGAAGCTAAGCAGGGCTGAGCCTGGTCAGTACCTGGATGGGACACCACATGGGAAAACTAGGTTGCTGTTGAAAGTGGTGTTAGAGAGTCCAGCAGGGGGCGCTCAACCTGTGGTCTGTGTGAGTCCTAATGCCCCAGTAAAAGTGAAGGGGAAACTATACTGTCAGTAGGCGCCGTCTTTCGGATGAGATATTAAACCGAGGTCCTGACTCTCTGTGGTCATTAATAATCCCATGGCATTTCTGGTAAAGAGCAGGGGTGTAACCGCAGTCTCCTGGCCAAATTCCCGCCATCGGCCCTTACGACCATGGCCTCCCAATCATCCCCATTCACCGAATTGGCTCTATCACTGTCTCTCCACTCCATCAATAGCTGGTGTGTGGTTAAGCACTGGCGCCGTTGTCCTGTGGCTGCCGTCGCATCATCCAAATGGATGCTGCACACTGGTGGTGGTGTGTAGAGACCCCCCCCTCATGATTGTGAAGCACTTTGGGTGTATGGCCATACACAATAAATGCGCAATAAAAATACACATTACATTCAAACCAAACCATCCACTTGAATACTGATATATGTCATGTAACACGTTCTGCAGTGTTGAAAGCGAAGGAAGATTTTCATATTTCCTGCTGCATATTTTCTTCACTGAATGCCTGATTATGTGTTTGTTTGGATCATTTGCAGGAGATCTTGCTACGAGGCGTGCTTCAGATCGTGGAGGCAAACACAGACACAGAACCGCTATACTTCATGTCCTTTCCCATGATCCCTGGCTCTGGGGGTCCTGGCCTGAGCCCCTCCCCTGGGACAAGGCCTCATGGGGCGACTGCTGGTAAGGGTGGTGTAAACACTATTCTGAGGGGTAAACTACCGCTCGGCCGTGGTGAAGCAGACATGAGCCGACCTGGTCACCTGCGCTCCTCGCCCTGGCATGCTGCACCCTTCCACCTGCCCTTGGTGGGACAGAACTGCTGGCCTCATATGGCTAGTGGATTCAGCGCATCGCTGTGGGTGCGGGCTGGGAAAGATGAAGACGGACGATCTAAGAAGGGTGAGAAGAACGTTATTAGCTTTATGTACTTACTCGGGCTGTGCCATTAATCTAGGATGTCTGCAGGGTCATTCTTACTTTAATTTTCCTTTGGCTTAGTCTCTTTATTTAATCAGGAGTCGCCACAGCGGAATGAATCGCCAACTTATCCAACATATGTTTTACACAATAGATGCCCTTCCAGCTGCAACCCAGGATTGGGAAGCATCCATACACACTCACTTATACACTACGACCAATTTAGTTAATCAATCCCCCTATAGCGCATGTGTTTGGACTGTGAGGGAAACCGGAGCACCCGGAGGAAAACCCACACCAACATGGGGAGAACATGCAAACTCCACACAGAAAACGCCAACTGACCCAGCCAGGACTCAAACTAGCCACCATCTTGCTGAGGTGACAGTGCTAACCACTGAGCCACTGCGTCACGCTAAATAATATTGTAATTAATTTACAATAAATTTCCAGCAGTTTGCATTTGTTCCTCTCTGCAAAGCTCAATTTCACGTGGAAATCATTATATTATGTAACGTTTGCACTGCAGTATGGGATGTGCTTGATTTATTGAAGAATATTAGATTTATTCATGTTTCTAAAAGTGTACGAGAGACTAGTGCTGTTCATGTGAGGAACAACACACACACACACACACACACACTAACACACACAAACGTAAAGTCATTTTTTTAGATCATAGTGGACAAACATAGATGACCTACTCATTGTTTTAGGATAATTATGGTTACATTATTTACCAATAAAGACTATGATTTTTACCATAATCAAGCAGTGCTTGTATTTACAGCAGGGGTCTCAAACTCAATTTACCTGGGGGCCGCAGGAGGCAAAGTCTGGGTGAGCCTGGGCCGCATAAGGGATTTCACAAAAAAAAAGTCCTCAAATGTCATTATTAACAGTTTTAATTATTTCTTCTGAACATGCAGTGTCCTGAACATTAATAGAACATTAAGTGAAGATTATGAACAGTTCTTCTGAACATGGCATCTTTTGCCTACTCCTTACTGCCAGAGACTTGTGCTTCTTTTCACAAATTTGAACCACTTTTGGCTTTAGAGCGGAAGCAGTTGAGACCCTCAGTATGGCTTGGGGAAACTCACTCAAAACTTCCATTCCCTCACCTAAAAAAAAGGCGTATATATGTATAAATAAAACACCCCCACCCCACTCCAGTCACATCAGTCTGTGCCAGTCTGTATCTACCTATAATATATATTAGAGGCAGGCTGTAGCTAGGTAGGTGGCAGGCTGCAGATAGGTAGCTAAGTGGCAGGCAGGGGCGGGAACAGCTTACCTTGGTTCTGGCCGGCGCGAGTTCCCTCCTAACACTTCCCGCCCGTCACAGCGTCTAACAAAGGGGCGGGGTGCGTGGTGACGTCACTGGCATCCCCGCCCCTTTGTTTACACGGCAGGCGGGGAATGCCAGTGACCGCTGTGTACGGATAGAATCAGCGGAGCGGGGAGCGCTCTCTCTCCCCGCTCCGCTGATTCTGTCAGTGTACAGCGGTCGGCGCGGGCCACAAAATATTGCACTGAGGGCCGCAAATGGCCTGTGGGCCGCGAGTTTGAGACCCCTGATTTGCAGTATTTTGTAAATATGGATATTGTGGACTAGTGTTTTAGTGCAGTATTTATTCATATAAGATTTTTTTAGTTAAAGTTAAGTTATTATTAGTTTAAGTTTTGATTTTAATTAGTTTTATTTCTAATTATCTTTGATTTCTATTGCATTTATCTTTATTTATATTTTCATTTTCACAAGTTTAGTTTTAAATGTTCCGATATTTTTATTTCTAATACCAGTACATCATTTAAAAAAAAGAATGGTTTAAGATGGGTGGCACGGTGGCTCAGTGGTTAGCACTGTGGCCTCACAGCCAGAAGGTCGCTGGTTCGAGCCCCGGCTGGGTCAGTTGACATTTCTGTGTGGAGTTTGCATGTTCTCCCCATGTTGGTGTGGGTTTTCTCCTGGTCCTCCAGTTTCCCACACAGTCCAAACACATGCGCTATAGGGGAATTGATGAACTAAACTGGCCGTAGTGTATGAGTGTGTGTGTGAGAAATAGTGTTTATGGGTGTTTCCCAGTACTGGGTTGCAGGTGGCTGTGTAAAATATTATGTAATATTAGTTGTAGGTTCATTCCGCTGTGGTGACCCCTGATGAACAAAGGAACTAAGCTGAAGCAAAACCTAATATTGGTTTATGATATGTTATTATAGTGTCTGCTTTAATCATTTTAGCAGTTGGTTTATTTTTATGCTTTGTCTGTAATACATTTTTTGTTAGTAATAAGTACCTCTGACACCTTTTTGTTCTATCTTTTTTATTTTTCAGTTTGCCAAAAAAAATGTAAATAGTTTTTTTATTGAAGGTGTTTGATGACTTGTGTGTGTTGTAGAAGATGAAGTGTGTGTGGCAGAGGAGTCTCCTCACGGTTCTGCACACGTCACAGAGCAGCAGACGGAGCGCTGCCTCCTCCATGTGCTCTCCATGGGCTCTAAAGCACTGATGCTTCAGGTGTGGGTGAACATCTCCACTAGAGCCTTCACCTTCAGGTCAGTGACTTGCACTGTGTACTCGTTTGCTGTCAAAATGATGCCTCAAATGCAGATGCTACAGGGGCTGGCTTTACACTCCACTGCATTTAGATTGCTGTTTTGTTATTGAATGCCAGTGAACACCATCTATTCTACTCATTGTGGGTCAGGAAGTAAGATCAGTTTAGTGCTCTTCTTCATTTGTTTTGTTGTTTGACTCACTAAATGCATAACAGCATTCCTGTAACTCAAGCTGTAGATGGAAATTAAAATGTATACTTTTAATCAAATGTAAGGCACTTTGAATAAGTGTGTTTTGAAAATGCATAAATCGAAATGTAAAATTTATTCGGTTAGCAATTAGATTGTGAATGCTGATATTTGTTGATAAAAATTATTTTCTGGCCTTTTAACTCTTCTTGTTTTGTTTTAGTTTTATTTTATTTTTATTTTTTTTAGATTTAAGTCTACAACACGCTTAAACATGATGTATTCATTCATTTATTCATTTTCTTTTCGGCTTAGTCCCTTTATTAATCTGGGGTCGCCACAGCGGAATGAACCGCCAACTTATCCAGCATATGTTTTACGCAGCGGATGCCCTTACAGCTACAACCCATCTCTGGGAAATATCCATACACACTCATTCACACTCATACACTACGGACAATTTAGCCTGCCCAATTCACCTATGGCGCATGTCTTTGGACTGTGGGGGAAACCAGAGCACCCTGAGGAAACCCCGCAAACGGGGTTTACATTACATTACATCAAACATTACATCACCAACACATCTTTTGACCATGAGAAGAAGGTGTGGCCTGAAAGCCCCTCCCATTTTACATCATCACCACATGGTCCAGTGGAAGACATTTACCAGACGTCCCAATATTTTGTTCTTTGATTGTTTTTATTTTTATTTTTTTATTTCTTTCTCTGTTTTCTCGTTTGCACGTTTTCCCCTTGTTGGCATGGGTTTCCTCCGGTTGCTCAAGTTTCCTCACAGTCCAAACACATGCGCTATAGGGGAATTGAATAACTAAATTGGCCGTAGTGTATGAGTGTGTGTGTGTGTGTGTGTGTGTGTGTGTGTGTGAATGTGAAAGTTTATGAGTGTTTCCCAGTACTGGGTTTCGGCTGGAAGGGCCTCAAAGCCACTCCCATGTTACATCATCACCACATGGGCCAGGGGTATTTTGAAGACATTTACCAGACGTCACAATATTTTTTTTATCTCTGTTCTCACGTTTGCATTGACTTGTATGCAATGTACTCCTGCAAATACTTAATTACCCCTTTACTGTAAATCTAACATATATTTATCACCGCCTGTTTGTTCGTCATGCCCTTAACATGCATCACAGTGTGTTTTTTGGTTTTTTTAATTAAGGCAGGGGGCAGCACATTAGCCCAGTGGTTAGTGTTATGACTGATGCTGCGTTCACACCAGACGCGGAACGCGCATCAAGCGCGAGTGATTTACATGTTAAGTCAATGCAAATGCGCGAATAGACATCCTGCAGCAAGATACGCGCAAATGACGAGAATTGCGCAAATGACGCCGTGCGCATGGTGCAATACGCGCGAATGGCAATGGAACGGCGCAATTGAGCATTTGCGCGTTTGATTCGCTTAATGCGCGTTTCACGCGAATCACTCGAGTTCGAAAATCTTAACTTCAGCGGAAATTAGCGCCGCGTTTACCAATCAGGAGCTTGCTCTTGTGGGGGCGTGATTGTGACGTATCGCCTGTTGTCGGTGTCCCAGGGGAAATCCTCCAGCAGACACCGACAAGAAGTTCATCCAACTGGGCTGGGCTCAGTCAGAAGCACCGCTGAAAACCTCCATCAGCCAGGTTCAGTTTCTGGAGGAGTTTATGAGCTCACAGAGCTGGATGCACCTCTGAAAGGATGTAGTGGACTCAGACACGGCCCTAAACGTATCGACGCTGTTTTTCAGTCTTCATAAAGCACATAAACACTGTTATTTTCTTCATAATATACATGTTAGCCATTTAGCTATGAAGCTAGAGTCACCGGGCAGACAGAAGCCCTGCCCATCACGCGAATCCGCGTCTGTTCTGAAGTGAATTTGACGCTCGAATGAAGCGGGGTTTGACGCGCGAATGAAGCGGGGTTTGACACGCGAATATCGCGATTTATCTGCGCGTTCCACATCTGATGTGAACACAGCATTATGGTGCGGAAGCTATCCGGGCGTCTCAAGTTCGAATCCCGGCTCGTGGACTTTTCTTGATCCTACCCTTTTCTCTCTCCCACTTCACTTCCTGTCAAACTCCTGTCAAATAAAAAAGCAAAAATACCCAAAATAAATCAAAAAAAAAAAAAAAAACGAAGAAACTCTGCGTACATATGGACATGGCCTTAAATTAGACAGAATTTGGTGCTGCTTAATCTTAAAGTGTCTCTTGATTTGTGAATGCAGGATCTGCATTGATCCCAATGATGAGATGAAGGCGGGTCTTCTGGCGCAGGCGGAGTCTGGAGATGAAGTGATCCCAGCAGGCAGGTGGCAGCATTTAGCCCTGACCTACACACAGCAGCCCGAGGGCAAGAAGAACATCCATGGTCAGCTCAGCCTCTGGGTGTGTGGCATCAGGTCAGTGTGCAGACGCAGAGGATGAAGTCAAAATCAGCTTTATTGCCATTCTGCTACATATGTGGAGATACAGAGGAATATAATGTAGTGTCTTGAGATATGGAGCGATTGTGTGCTAGTGTCTGGGGAAAGTGTATGAGATGAAGGAGTGTGTTTTCTAACATAACATGTCAAGCCAGCTCACACTCAGAATTGAAATCAGAGCTGCAGACAACAAAAGCTACGCTGTGCATGTTTAATCCATCTTTACTCTGTGTTATTGCAGGAAGTGTGATGTATCTCTAGACTTCACTCTGCCCAGGAAGTCCAGTTTGTCATCAGATAGCAACAAGACCTACTGTATGCTTGGACACTATCAGCACTCCGCAGAAGAGCAGGCCAGCCCAAGTGCACGCTGGGATATGGGCACACTGATGCTCTTCAATGGTATGAAACCTAAAAACACCTGTAAATATTGCCTTTATATAATATTAAAGTTCTGTTTAATGGAGAGCATTTGTTTCAACACATTTCTAGACAATAACTCATTACTAATAGCTAATTTAATTAGCCATGATGACCGTGCAAAATAATTTACTAGTCGTTTTGTAAGATGCTTAAAGGTGCTGTTGTTTTTTCTAAAGCATAAATATATATTAATAAAATGTTTGCAGATATTTCAGAAACATGCTAAGTGAACATTCTTGTTTATATGTAAAACAATGCTAAAGTCAAATATTCCTCTTTGAGAATGTGAGTTACGTGCCCGAACGGCTGTCTGTTTTGGTCTCTTTAACCCGCCCAATGCCACTTTAGCCAATTGTATTCTGCAGTCCGGGTTGCCCTCATGGAAAACAGCGTGTTTCATTCATTCAGTCAGAAAGGCTCTCAAAGCATGTGCTTGTAACCGAAATGCGACCTTCGGTGGAAAGTAGCAGACTCTGAAATGAGGCGCAGATTCAGTTACACATGAGTTTATGAATTAACAAATAGTATAAATATTACGAGCGTAAACATTAGGCGAGTATCCTATCAACATGCTACCTGAATAGATTTGCAGTTTTAAGCAATTTGGCTGTTTGCACCAGACGAAACATGACAGAAATGTAAATACAGCCGTTCAGAGGCACAGAATAGTGCACTCACTGCACTCCAGCCAAATTTATAATCTAATTATTTAACCGTTTATTTTATTCTACAGATCTGAGGGTGAATTATCTGCTGCTGCTTTCTTTCATTCATTTATTTTCTTATGCTGCGTTCACACCAGACGCGGCAAGCGCGAGTGATTTACATGTTAAGTCAATGCAAACGCGCAAAAAGACATCCTGCAGCGCGATATGCGCGAATGACGTGGCGCGAATGACGAGAAATGCGTGGTGCGCATGGCGCGAATGGCGTGGTGCGAATTGAGCGTTTTGCCCGTTTGACGAGCTTAATGCGCATTTCGCGCAAATCACTCGCGTTCGAAAATCTGAACTTCAGCAGACATTCGTGCCGCGTTAACCAATCAGGAGCTTGCTCTTGTGGGGGCGTGATTGTGACGTATCGCCTGTTGTCGGTGTCCCAGGGGAAATCCTCCAGCAGACACCGACAAGAAGTTCATCAAACTGGGCTGGGCTCAGTCAGAAGCACCGCTGAAAACCTCAATCAGCCAGGTTCAGTTTCTGGAGGAGTTTATGAGCTCACAGAGCTGGATGCACCTCTGAAAGAATGTAGTGGACTCAGACACGACCCTAAACGTATCGACGCTGTTTATCATCCTTCATAAAGCAAATAAACACTGTTATTTTCTTCATAAAATCCATGTTAGCCATTTAGCTATGAAGCTAGAGTCACCGGGCAGACAGAAGCCCCGCCCATCACGCGAGTCCGCGTCTGTTCTGAAGTGAATTTGACACGCGAATGAAACAGGGTTTGACGCGTGAATGAAGCGGGATTTGACGTGCGAATGAAGCGGGATTTGACGCGCGAATGAAGCGAGTAACCTCAAATGTTCATGCGGCTATTTACGCGCGAATAGTGCGATTTAACCGCGCGTTCCGCGTCTGGTGTGAACACAGCATTAGTCCTTTTATTAATCTGGGGTTGCCACAGCGGAATGATCCGCCAATTTATCCAGCACATGTTTTACGCAGTGGATGCCCTTCCAGCTGCAACCCATCTCTGGGAAACATCCATACACACTCATTCACACATACACATACAGCCTACCCAATTCACCTGTACCGCATGTCTTTGGACTGTGGGGGAAACCGGAGCACCTGAAGGAAACCCACACCAACGCAGGGAGATCATGCTAACTCCACACAGAAACGCCAACTGACCCAGCCGAGGCTTGAACCAGCGACCTTCTTGCTGTGAGGCGACAGCAATACCTACTGCACCACTGCATAACCCTGCTGCTTTCAGCATATGGCAATAAATGTCATGTAAAATGGCATTCAAACTCACATTATCAGCATTTAACACTGAATAAAGCACATGAGCTGTACCTGAGCTGATCATTGTCGGTTCTCTGTTGTTCACCTTTGAAAAATAGAAGCCGTATCGTATATATATATATATATATATATATATATATATATATATATATATATATATATATATATATATATATTATATATCAATTCGAGGTGTTGGTTAGAACAAAAATTCCTTCTATTGCCTGCCGATGTTTTTACTTAGAACACAATTTAAATCAGCCTTTAGGCTCAATAGTCAGACTCGCTCCTGTTGATGTCAATCTGGCAACCTGCGCTTGCCTTTGTTTTGATCCAGGAATGCAAATCCTTGTTCAACCACTGGGTGTCAAACTTACATACTGCACCTTTAACTTGTGTTATTGGACAACAGTGGTTTATTCTGTAGCCGAAAACTATATATACTATTTTATAGCACTAATAATATTGATCTTCATAGTTTATAAGAACACACACACTTTTTTTATTCCAGCTCATCTCCAATAAATCTCCAGAAGAAAAAAAAAAAAGTGACAAATTTCAGTTTAGTTCAACTATCCAGTACATACAGTAACATGATCCATACAGATCAATATGTTGCATTTGTTGTATGTTGCATTTGTGTTCTGTATTAGCTGGCAGCTGGCCCTCTGCAACTCTCACATGGTCGCCCACTGAAGCTAAGCAGGGCTGCGCCCGGTCAGTACCTGGATGGGAGACCACATGGGAAAGCTAGGTTGCTGCCGGAAATGGTGTTAGTGAGGCCAGCTGGGGGCGCCCAACCAGCGGTCTGTGTGGGTCCTAATGCCCCAGTATAGTGACGGGGACTCTATACTGCTCAGTGAGCGCCGTCTTTCGGATGAGACGTTAAACGGAGGTCCCGACTCTCTGTGGTCGTTAAAAATCCCAGGATGTCCTTCGAAAAGAGTAGGGGTTTAACCCCGGAATCCTGGCCAAATCTGCCCACTGGCCTTTGTCCATCATGGCCTCCTAACCCTCCCCATATTCAATTGGCTGCATCACTGTCTCCTCTCCACCAATCAGCTGGTGTGTGGTGTACGGTCAGGCGCAAAATGGCTACCGTCGCGTCATCCAGGTGGATGCTGCACACTGGTGGTGGATGAGGAGATTCCCCCCACTGTGTAAAGCGCTTTGAGTGCCCAGAAAAGCGCTATATAAATGTAAAGAATTATTATTATTATTATTATGATTTATTAAGTTGAATAAATGTTGTAGAAGTATTGTAATAATTAATTGATGCTCTTTGTGGCTAGATTAATTGGTAACACTTTACAATAAGGTTCATTACTTAATGCATTTACTAACATGAACTAATCATGAACAACACATGTACAGCATTTATTAATCATAATTGAACATTTACTAATGCATTATTAACGTTCAAGTCTGTGCTTGTTAACATTAGTTAATGCACCATGAGTTAACATGAACTAACAATGAACTACTGTATTTTCATTAACTAACGTTAACTAACATGAACAAATACAGTAGTAAATGTATTGTTCATTGTTTGTTCATGTTAGTAAATTCATTAATTAACATTAACTAATGAACCTTATTGTAAAGTGTGACCGATTAATTATATAATGCTGTTAGATGTAGCTTATTGATTATGCTAGCTCATTGGTTAACTAATCTGATTAAATGTTACCTTGAGAACAAAAAAATAAGTAAATAAATATGCAATATAGGGCGGCACGGTGGCTCAGTGGTTAGCACTGTGGCCTTACAGCAAGAAGGTTGCTGGTTCGAGCCCCAGCTGGGTCAGTTGGCATTTCTGTGTATAGTTTGCATGTTCTCCCCATGTTGGCGTGGGTTTCCTCCTAGTGCTCCGGTTTCCCCCACAGTCCAAACACATGTGCTATAGGGGGATTGAATAAGCTAAATTAGCTGTAATGTATGCTTGTGAATGAGTGTGTACGAATGTTTCCCAGTACTGGGTTGCGGCTGGAAGAGCATCCTCTGCGTAAAACATATGCTAGAATAGTTGATGGTTCATTCCGCTGTGGCAACGGCTGATAAATAAGGGACTAAGCCGAAGGAGAATGAATGAATGAATATATATAATACAACACTGGTTTACAGATCATTTGTTTGCTCTTTAAAAGTCAGCGATGTTGTTGATAATGTGGGCTCTTCCTGTTTCTGGTGGTTTCCATGCGTGAGCTACAAATTCTCTGCATTCCCTTCACATAACACACTTTTCTTGACAGAATGGCTGTTCTGTTGCTGCTAATAGGTCATGAATGGCCCCAGTCCAGCCGTTCCCGACCTGTGAAACGCTCTAATGTGGTTAGACGCTCCAGAGCCACTCCATGCCTTTTTTTTTTTTCTTTGTTTATTTGTCTTCGGATCACAGCCTGCGGGTCAAACGTCCACTACACTTCTGATTGATTTCTCACTGTTTTATGTAGTCTTGAATTCAGCACCTTATTTCTTTTTTTTTTTCAAGAATGTTGGTTGTTGTGTGTTTTAGGCTCTAGAATTGACACGACCGAGGCGTTTTACCTGTACGCCAGCGGTCCTGACCTCACCTCCATCATGCCCTGCAAATACGGCAAGCCTCATGGCACACTGTCCAAGTACGTGACGCAGGAGGGTCTTCAGTGTGAGCAGATACGAGAGCTGCTCATGAGGAATGCAGACGTTGACATCTCGCCTCTTGTTGTAAGTCACTGCACCTGTGAACATGACTTTATTTTTATCATTTGAACATCATAAAGTTCTGCAGAAGGCTTATATGCTAATATATTTGACAGCTACACAGTTCAGTGGCTTGTTTCTCTCTGGCACTGAAAAGCAGGCAATATTAATCGTCCATTATTTGCTGCTTGTTTAAGTGCGTCGTCTGTGCAGTTTTACCCACTGACATCTTAATTACCAGTGATTTTCTGCGCTCGCCTGCTGTTCCAGGTGTTTATATGCTAATGAGTTAGATGCACAGTAATTACTGCTCACTGAAATTCACTAAAGCACAAACCTCATGCTTGAATTTGCTTCATCTTCGTCTGTGACAATAATAATCCAGTACAAATATTTAACAAAACCAGTGAACAATGTATGAAGAGTTCAGATGCAGAAACCTCTATGTGCCGTCTGAGATTTCCATAGTAAATGAACATTTTTCTCAACCTCCTTTGTTTATGTTAAGATATTTCACTTTAAAGAACAGGAGAAGGACTTATTCTTTGTCATAAAAGTGATATTACTGAACATGCACACAGGCGCCTGATAAAAAAGCTCATTTTAGAGGAAAATTTTAGATGGCATTTAGAGATTTTTGCATCTAAACTCTTTATATCTAGCTGGATTTAACATCAACATCAACCCTGGGAATACTGACATTTTGAAACGTTTATATTTTTAAATGTTTTTGTTGTTGAGGATAATATTTGATTTATCATATCATACTATGACTTACACTTACAGGCCACTTTATTAGGTACACCTGTCCAACTGCTTGATAACACAAACTTCTAATCAGCCAATCACATGGCAGCAACTCAATGCATTTAGGCATGTAGACATGGTCAAGACGATCTGCTGCAGTTCAAACTGAGCATCAGAATGGCGAAGAAAGGGGATTTAAGTGACTTTGAACGTGGCATGATTGTTTGTGCCAGACGGGCTGGTCTGAGTATTTCAGAAACTGCTGATCTACTGGGATTTTCACGCACAACCATCTCTAGGGTTTACAGAGAATGCTCCGAAAAAGAGGAAATATCTAGTGAGTGGCAGTTCTGTGGGCGCAAATGCCTTGTTGATGCCAGAGGTCAGAGGAGAATGGCCAGACTGGTTCCAGCTGATAGAAAGGCAACAGTCACTCAAATAAGCACTCGTTACAACCGAGCTCTGCAGAAGAGCATCTCTGAACACACAACACGTCCAACCTTGAGGCGGATGGGCTACAGCAGCAGAAGACCACACCGGGTGCCACTCCTGTCTGCTAAAAACAGGAAACTGAGGCTACAATTCACACAGGCTCACCAAAACTGGACAATAGAAGATTGGAGAAACGTTGCCTGCTCTGATGAGTCTCCATTTCTGCTGCCACATTCGGATGGTCGGGTCAGAATTTGGCCTCAACAACATGAAAGCATGGATCCATCCTGCCTTGTTTCAACAGTTCAGGCTGGTGGTGGTGTAATGGTGTGGGGGAGATTTTCTTGGCACACTTTGGGCTCATTAGTATCAATTGAGCATGGTGTCAATGCCTCAGCCTACCTGAATATTGCTGCTGACCATGTCCATCCCTTTATGACCAGTGTCTCCATCTTCTGATGGCTACTTCCAGCAGGATAACGCACCATGTCAGAAAGCGTGAATCATCTCTGACTGGTTTCTTGAACATGACAATGAGTTCACTGTACTCAAATGGCCTCCACAGTCACCAGAGCTCAATCCAATAGAGCACCTTTGGGATGTGGTGGAACGGGAGATGTGCAGCCGACAAATCTGCAGCAACTGTGATGCAATCATGTCAACATGGAGCAAAATCTCTGAGGAATATTTCCAGTAGCTTGTTGAATCTACGCCATGAAAGATTAAGGCAGTTCTGAAGGCAAAAGGGGGTCTAACCCGGTACTAGTAAGCTGTACCTAATAAAGTGGCCAGTGAGTGTATATAAGCCTATAATTTTTTGTTTTATTTTGTTATCAGCCATTCTGTACACATTGAATTAAGTCAATGTTAAAGAATACTGTTATTTTCGTAGCTGATAACCATGTACGCTAAAAACATAATAAAGTTTGTCAAAAACAAAAGTCCTGCTGTTAACTGCAGATCCTGGACTTGCTGATTCCGACACGCCAGTATTTGAGTGATTTATTAATGCGTACTATCTGACCATCTGAGATTATGCATGGGTATTAACGTTACGGTTAGGATTTTCCACAGTATTACAGCACACTGTGAGATTGACTGTTATCTGTTGTACACTTTTAACAACTGCTATAGCATTTGGATCCAGAAACTGTGACGCCTGATGTCAGACTTAGAAGCCTTGTGAAATTGAAAGAACGTTTTTCAGATGTTAGTATCAGTGTGTTTTAAGGACATCTTTAAGCTTGTGTGCTCCAAGGCAAGTTTATTTATATAGCACATTTCAAACACAGTGGCAATTCACAGTGCTTTACATAAACAAGAATAAAAGAGACAAGAGTAAGAAAATAAAACCAAATAATAAAAACGATTAAAAAAAACAGATAGAAACAGATTAAAATGTGTTACAGGGTATAAAAGAAAGAAAAAGAAGAGAAAAACATAATATTGTGATCTGTTGGACGCAGCACAGTGCTCATTCAGTAAAGGCTCAGCTGTGTCAGATGTGTTTCAGTCTTGATTTGAGTGTGTCTAATGTTGGTGCACATCTGATCATTTCTGGAAGCTGATTCCAGCAGCGGGGGGCGCTGTTAGTAGCTGAAGGCAGATTCACCCTGCTTTTACCGAACTCTTGGAGTTTCTAGTTTATTTGATTCTAAAGATCTGAGTGATCTGTTGGGTTTTTATTCAGTGAGCAAATCTGTAATGTATTGAGCTCCTCGGCCATTCAGTGATTTATAGACCAGTAATAATACTTTAAAATCTATTCTGAATGTAACTGGGAGCCAGTGTAAAGACCTGAGGACAGGTGTGATGTGCTCTGATTTTCTGGTTCTGGTCAGAATCCTGGCCGCAGCATTCTGGATGAGCTGTAACTGTCTGACTGTCTTTTTGGGAAGGCCAGTGAGGAGTCTATTACAGTAATCCACCCTGCTGCTGATAAAAGCATGAACAAGTTTCTCTAAATCCTCACTAGAAACAAAGCATCTGATTCCTGCAATGTTTTTGAGATGATAGTATGCTGATTTACTGACTGCTTTGACATGACTACTGAAACTCAGATCTGACTCCAGAGTCACAGCAAGATTCTTGACCTTATTTTTTGTTGTTTGAACTTTAGTGCCGAGCTACGCATTCACCTTGAGAACCTCATCTCTGTTCCCAAACGCAATGACTTCAGTTTTCTCTTTGTTTAACTGAAGAAAGTTTTGGCACATCCAACTGTTAACCTCATAAATGCACTGGCAGAGGGTGTCAATGGGGCTACAGTCATTAGGCAGTAAGGCTAAGTAGATCTGAGTGTAATTAGCATAGCTGTGGTAGGAGATTTGGTTCTTTCCCATTATTTGGCTCCAAAACAAATTACAAGATATAAACCTGCTTTAAACATCCAAAGTTTGCGGTTTGTCTCTTCTACCTACAGTAAATGGATCAACGATTTTATATTTTGATGTTGTCTCATACTTTAGTTTCTCATAAAATCTTCTGACCAATCAAATGCTCTCTAGTGTCTATAATGCCCCGCCCCCTTCTTCTCATTTGCTTTTCATTTGATGCGCTTGAGCTCATCTACTTTCATTGGCAGAGCTGTGATAAAACCAAATGCTGTTGGTTGATTTTTTAAAAGGGGAGGGGCTACTCTCTCACCCTCTCTTCATGTTTCAGTTGAGATTGCATCAAATTTCGAAATAAAAAACGACCTAATATTTTTATGAATGAAATCCTGATAGCTTGTCATTAAAATCGATGAGATCTTCATTGCAGAATTGCAAATATAAACAATATAAATACTGCTAAATATCTCAGTGATGTCTTAGTAAGATGATTTAGTGATCCACACTGTACTTTCAAAATGTGCAAATGCAATCCACTGATGACTGAACAACACAAATAAAGGTGTGTGTGTGTGTGTGTGTGTGTGTGTGTGTGTTTGTTTGTTTGTTTGTTTGTTTGTTTGTTTTCCAGGAGAGCTTAGCAGTAGTGTACACCCCCAGCACGCCGTCTCTCTACACCATATATGAGCCGGTGATCCGTCTGAAGGGTCAGGCTAAATCAGCAGTGATTTCCCAGCGGCCCTTCAGTGCCAAAGAGGTCCAGAGTTCCATCCTGGAGTCTTCGTTTCTCAGGACCATGATGCCCTGCCAGGCTTTCGGCCTCCACAGCGCACTGCACAAGATCGGCGGCACTGGCTCCATTGTCTTCCTGTTTGCTCGGGTATGTGTTTGTTTTCATATTTGTGACTAGTAGAGACTTGGAGACTTTGTGTGTGTGTGTGTGTGTGTGTGTGTGTGTGTGTGTGTGTGTGTGTGTGTGTGTGTGTGTGTGTGTGTGTGTGTGTGTGTGTGTGTGTGTGTGTGTGTCACGGTACTTCTGTTTCAGTAGATTTGTATATATTATGAGCTGACCTTTTGTGATGTTTTTGAATGCAGATTTTCAAGAACTCTGAATAATCTGATTTGTTTACAGTAGTTTTTAGTGCAGGTACAGTGTGCAATGTGAAGGGGACGCTGACAAGGAAGAGCAGATCCAAATGCGGGTTTATTAAACATCATAGTCATAGTCATACAACAAACAAACGCTCAAAAGACAGGCAGCTGACAGGGTAAAACAAACAAACAAAACAAAGCAAGGTACTGTTAACACTGATGGCAAGGCAAGGGAAACAGGTCATAATGTTCACAGTGACAGTAAAACAAGACTCAGCAACTGTGTGTGTGTGTGTGTGCGTGTGCGTGTGCGTGTGCTGCCTCAGTCTTTAATCAGTCCATGAGCAGCTTCAGCTGTGCTGTGAGTGTTTGCAATCAGACAGGATTAGGAACCGATGCATGTGTGCAGTGCATGACTGGATCTTGTAGTCCATATAATGGCGGATTTGTAGTTTTATGCTATCTGTGCATTTACCAGCGATCTGCCAGGATTAGTTCGCTTTTGATTGTGACAGTGCATAAATGAGCACACCTCCTTTAAAAAATGATTGTTTTTATCCGTTTCTCAGCGAACATAGAGACTATAATTTGGCTCATTTAAACAAAAGAATTTTATCAAACAGTTATATTCAGCAAAATACAAGCTTGAAAGATAACACATTTAAATTTAAAATTTAAACAGATTATTGCAAAAAAACTAAATTACAACTAAATGTTTTTTTCCTCTTGATCCCCCACATATTTTATGTTTTCCTCAACATATTAATTTGGGTGCAGTAACTTTTGGACAGTGATGTTCAGTTTTTTAGTTAGACTAGGTGCAGTTTTGGTTTTGATACTGGCTAATCCAATGTATAGACACGAATATGTTATTATAAATCATCCTGTAGAAAATATGAATTTAACAGAGAGATCTGTGAGGGGTGAAATCATTTATGCTAAGCACTCCATGGGTGCACTCACACTAGGCACATTTTCCGTGAACCGTGCCGAAGCGTGCTTGCCCCCCTCCCCTCTCCCATGACGGCCTGCACTCACACTGTATTTTTTACCTTTGGAGCCGGAGCACGCTTTCATCATTGATGATGCGACTGTTCAGTTTAACAGAAAAGAAGTGCTTTCACTCAACACTTAGAACATTGCATTAGTAACATGGTATTGTATTATTTTTAGTGGTTTGGAATGCAGCAACACGCAGTTGAACATTTTGACTTGCATAAGTGTTCAAAGTCCTTGTGCTGCAGGTATTAGGAGGTTTTCCTGAAGGCGCAGCTGACGTGCAGGCAGGGGTTTGTGTCTTTAAAGGTTCACGAGTACTTTAAACCCTCGTAATTTTTTTGAGATGTTAGCAGATGTGTGTGTGTTGAGCATCAGTGAGGACAATGTTAGCACCTGTTAGCTTTAATTGTGGGAAAAACTGGATAAGGGCGAGGCAGTGGCCCAGTAGGTAGTGCTGTCGCCTCACAGCAAGAAGGTCGCTGGTTCGAACCTCGTTTCAGTTGGTATTCCTGTGTGGAGTTTGCATGTTCTCCCTGCCTTCGCGTGGGTTTTCTCCGGGTGCTCCGGTTTCCCCCACAGTCCAAAGACATGCGGTACAGGTGAATTGGGTAGGCTAAATTGTTCGTAGTGTATGAGTGTTTGTGTGAATGTGTGTGTGGATGTTTCCCAGAGATGGGTTGCGGCTGGAAGGGCATCCGCTGCGTAAAAACTTGCTGGATAAGTTGGCGGGTCGTTCCGCTGTGGCGACCCCGGATTAATAAAGGGACTAAGCCGACAAGAAAATGAATTAATGAAAACTGGATAATTTCGAGCGTTTGTCAGCTAATTTCTTCTTCCGCGTCTAAAATTATTTTTGGGGCGGATCAATATCGGCGACGTATTGCAGAATTGCAAGTGAAAAGATGACTCGTCGGTTTCTCATTAATATTCATAGCAGAGTTTCCTTATCCTATGAGAAGAGCCGGCTACTTAATTATTCATGACTGCGTGTGCTTTGCCAAGGCAAAGCAGACCTGCTAGTGCCAAGCTGTGAGATCCTACGTTGATGATTGGGTGAGAGCGCGTCCACAGACACAGTATTTAGCCGTTCATGAAGGGTCGTTTGTGTTTGTTTCCATGATCCACGGGGATTGTTGCATATTTTTCCCCGTGATGCTGTCAGGGCCGATGTGCAGCAAGCATGTTTGACGGGAGAGCAGTACGAGAATTGGAGAATGGCGGACGCTGTCTTTTATCAGGAGTTCGTTCACATTTAGACACATCGCCGTGCTGCTGTGTTCGCCTGAATCCTCCAGATTACCAGCAGGGGTAATGGTTAAAATAGACAGGGCAAGAGACCTGCTGCACTGAGTCTGCATTCAGACCCGGGGATTATTTCTTTGCATTTTAGCTTTGTAAACTATAAAATCAGGCATCTCCTCACGGTTTGTTTCATTTTGTGAGCCGACTGACAACAGTTGTTCGCTTCCCTCCTTCTCCCCCGCTCTGCTGGCCACGCCTCCTCCTGCTCTTTGCTGGCGGAGCTCCACGCCCATTATCATGCATCTTTTGAAAACATTCTGAGGTAGACCTGATCCGAAAGTAGGGGGTGTCATGGCCCTTTAATAAACTATGTTAGTTTGTGTATATTAAAATGTAAGAATGATTAATAAATCCATATGTAACAGTCCCTTAAATGTGACTTCATGTCTTCAGTTTTGCGCTCGCACTACAAGCCTACCATGCCAAACCCCAGTTGAACCACAGTCTAGGACAGTGTTTCTCAACCACGTTCCTGGGGGACCACAAGCTCTGCACATTTCCATGTTTCCTTAACCAAACACACCTGATTCAGTTGATCAGCTCTTCAGCAGAGACTGAAAAACCTGTAATGGGTGTGACAAACTTCCAACTTCCAACTTCTTCCAACAAAGCACAGAGCATGGTTCGGACAGCGTAGTGTGAGTGCACCCTATGTTAGGCATGGGCTGGTAAATGATTCTGAAGCTATGATGACATTAATAAAAATAGCGAAAGATAGCGATCACAGCTCTATAATATGTTCTTTTTTTTAATGTCTTGGTAAAAACAACAACTTTTATTCCTATTGAACACAAAAAAATATTTTATTTTAGGAAGCATTGAATTTGTTTTGGAGCAGTAAACATGTCAGGCTAAATAATGAAAATAAATGATTGACCACTTGCTGTCTTCAATAGTTTCAAAAACACAGATTTCTTTACAGCTTGTAAAGGCATCTTTGATATTCTTTTCTGTGGAAATAAAGTCAGCCACTGCAGTGTTCAGCTCTACAGCAGGCTTGCATGTTTATGTATAAGCGATGTTTGCTGAATCGTGCACTGACCAGCACCTTTTGATGTGGAAGCTCCTTTTCTGCTGGAGATACTGCTGCCCTAAAAACATGTACTATAAAGACAAACATACATATATTACAGGAACAATATGAATATGTATTCAGCATCACCTTCTTATTTCCAATACAGGTTTTTGGGGTATTTTTGCAGGCAGTGTAATGTGTCTTTTACTCATACATAATTGTATTTTTGGTCAGGATGTTCTTTTGTACAGCGTGTTCCTTCAGACATCTATTAACAGTAGCCTTGTGTTTTTCTCATTCTTACAATTATATCAAGAACACTATTAAGAAGCACATTTTACTATTTTAAAACAAATGTCCAGTTCACCAAGAGTACACTCAACTGCTTAAAGAGCCCATATTATACATGAAATAAGGTCATATCTTGGTTGTAAGGGTCTCCAACAACAGTCTAATATGCATGCAAGGTCAAAAAACACTTTCATGGTCTTATAATCTGCATTTATTTTTATCTAATTATCCCAGCGACTCCTGTATGAATCGTCCAGTGATTCATTTGTTCCCAAACCCCTCCTTAGCGCGGAGCTAATCTGCGCTGATTGGACCGATGACAGTCTGTCGCGATTGGTCGACTGCCTTCAGTCAGAGAGGGAAATGGCCAATAGCTAATCAGCAATTTAAAAAGTAATCACAGTTCATACACGCTCGATAGTGTAGGCGTGGACTTTAGCTGCCACACTATGGCCAGTGGATAGTGCCACGGATAACCGAACGAAGGAGACAGTCGTGTACTCGCCATACCACACACACACAAAAACACACACACACCTCCGGATGACAACGCTCCCGCTTCAGCCCGCACCCGCCAGGTTTTAGCCTGAGAACCCGCTCCGTTTTCTGCCCGCCGCGCCCGGTCCCGCTAGAGCGGAGAACACAACCAAATATCACCCAGTATACAGTCACACACAGCACAAAGTACACAAAGCTCGTTCGTTCGTTCGCTCTCTCTCGCTCTCTCTCTCTCTCTCTCCCCGCGCCAGATTTCTGCGGCGCGGGAATACATTTCCGAATAAATCGCGGGAGCAGAACTCTAGCACGGAGCTCCATAAACAAACAGCACGCGTCGCGTTTTTAACGTGACTTTGCACGCGATAAGATAATATATCCAGTTAACCTGATACAGTACACGCGGTTACAAGTAACAAATCACAACTAAATACATTTGCAAGCTAGAGTAAACGAGGCAACAACTTTAACCGCACGTACTTACACTTGAGAAATGTAGGAAGAAACCCATCCTGACGTCCATCAGTTACTCTTTACTGATCCTTCCTTTAACAAACTCAGATGAAGTATTCTTTGTAGCATGTAGCTTCCAGAAGTTTCCAACTGCTTGGTTATAATGCTGATGTTTCATCTTTGGGTAGAGACTCAATATATCCATCTGCAGTGTGACTTCAATCGACCGGCATGTTTGTGTGCGTGTGTTTGTGGGTGTGCGTGTGTTTGTGTGTGTGTGTGTGTGTGTGTCTGGGTTACTGCGTCAGAGGGCGGGGCCTCAGGTTTGAAATCTCCCGGGTTTGCGCGTGCACGTGAAAAACTTTGTTTCGTTCGTACGTCATGGCGAAACACCTAATGAGTCGGTATCAAGGCGACTCGTTTGAAGCACTATGATTCGACTCTTTTATAGATGAATCAACAGTTTTAAACACTGTATTCTTACAGATTTAAGCCTTAGCTGGATACTTCACTTCACTTAGAGCTGTGTTACACACTACATGGAGGGGAATTTTCAAAAACCCATAATATGGGCTCTTTAAAACAAAAGAAAAAGTAAAAACATTACTGCTTAAAATAGGAGTTGTTTTGAACTTTCTGTTCTTACAAAATATGAAGCGGCATTATTAAGTTATCACATGCACACTTACTGGCCACTTTATTAGGTACACACTGTCCAACTGCTTGCTAACGCAAATTTCTAATCAGCCAATCACATGACAGCAACTCAGTGCATTTAGGCATGTAGACATGGTCAAGACGATCTGCTGCAGTTCAAACTGAGCATCATAATGGCGAAGAAAGGGGATTTAAGTGACTTTGAACGTGGCATGGTTGTTGGTGCCAGACGGGCTGGTCTGAGTATTTCAGAAACTGCTGATCTACTGGGATTTTCACGCACAACCATCTCTAGGGTTTACAGAGAATGGTCTGAAAAAGAGGAAATATCCAGTGAGCGGCAGCTCTGTGGGAGCAAATGCCTTGTTGATGAGGCCAGATGTCAGAGGAGAATGGCCAGACTGGTTCCAGCTGATAGAAAGGCAACAGTAAGTCAAATAAGCACTCGTTACAACCGAGGTCTGCAGAAGAGCATCTCTGAACACACAACACGTCCAACCTTGAGGCGGATGGGCTACAGCAGCAGAAGACCACACCGGGTGCCGCTCCTGTCAGCTAAGAACAGGAAACTGAGGCTACAATTCACACAGGCTCACCAAAACGGGACAATAGAAGATTGGAGAAACGTTGCTGCTCTGATGAGTCTCCATTTCTGCTGACACATTCAGATGCTCGGCTCAGAATTTGGTATCAGCAACATGAAAGCATGGATCCATCCTGCCTTGTATCAGCACATTATATTGTGGTGGTGGTGTAACGGTGTGGGGGAGATTTTCTTGGCACCCTTTGGGCTTATTAGTTCCAACTGAGCATTGTGTCAGCGCCACAGCCTACCGGAGTATTGTTGTTGGCTACTCCCAGCAGGATAACGCACCATGACTGGTTTCTTGAACATGACAATGAGTTCACTGTACTCAAATGGCCTCCACAGTCACCAGATCTCAATCCAATAGAGCAGCTTTGGGATGTGGTGGAACGGGAGATTGGCATCATGGATGTGCAGCCGACAAATCTGCAGCAACTGTGTGATGCTATCATGTCAATATGGAGCAAAATCCCTGAGGAATATGTTCAGTATCTTGTTGAATCTCTGCCATGAAGGATTAAGGCAGTTCTGAAAGCAAAAGTGGTCCAACCTGGTACTAGTAAAGTGTACCTAATAAAGTGGCCTGTGAGTGTACATATCTATATATCTGCCAGCACCCATTTTGCTGAAAAACAACACTTTACAATAAGGTTGCATTAGTTAATGTATTTACTAACACAACCAAATAATGAAGGATACATTAATTACAGTATTAAATGTCGTAAACGTTAGTTAATTAATATACAACTGTTCATTGTTAGTTCTTCTTAACTCACGGTGCATTAACTACTGTTAACAAGAATTAATTTGTATTTTAATGATGCATTAATACATAATGAGCTATGGTTAAATGCTGTACAAGTATTTGTCATTTTTAGTTGATGTTAGTTAGTGCATTAATGAAACCCTATATGTTTTTTTAGTAGGATATGTGGTGACCAAAAAAACTGTGGAGCAGTTCTAATTAAAACACCAACAGATGCTCAGTCCTGGGTCTGATCCCAGAATTCTGCCAATAAATAAATAATTAATTATAGTATTTGATCCTGAAGGATTGAGTTAATTTAGGTTGTTCAGTTTGGAGCACGTCATGTTCTGTTGCAGCCTTTATTAATAAGCATCATAACAAAAGTGTTGTTTTCTGAGGCTTTCTCTGTTCTGTGTTTGAAAGTCGAGATGAAAACAGCACTTCCCTCTTCTAATGTGGTGTATTTGAGTGCATTTAGCATCAGGAGCAGCTGAATAATTGCTTAATCCTGTCTGTCTCTCTCGTAGGCGGTGGAGTTGTGTGACTGTGAGAAAACCCAAGCTCTGGCGCTGCAGGTGCTTCTGTCTCTGGTTAAAAACAATCAGCATCGCACTCATGAGATGGAGTGTTATCACGGTTATTCCATGATTCACCAGGTGCTTATCAAACCCAAGTGCATTGTGGGATATCACATCCTAAAGGTGAGTTTTAGCATGTCAGATGTAGATTACATGCCAAATACAATTCTCTTAGTGATTATATAAAAGTGAGTACAGAGTGGGGAAATTGCTGTTTATTAAAAATTAAGCAGTTGTGAATATAGGCTTAATTTTGATGGTCTGTTTGTTGAATTTAAGTTACATTGCATCTACATGCTATACAATTATAGTGTGCATGTTATTTGATTATTAGCAATTGTAGGTCCTGTAATTAAAACGTAATGTACAGTTGAAGTCAAAATAATTAGTGGGATGTTCTGTAAAATGTTTATTTTTGTTTTTCAAATATTCCCAAATGATGTTTTATAGTATTTGCTATAATATTGTTTCTTCTGGGGAAAGTCTTATTTCTTTTTGTTTGGCTGGAATAGTTTATATTGTTTTAAATTTTCATTTATTTATTCATTTTCTTTTCGACTTAGTCCCTTTATTAATCTGGGGTCGCCACAGCGGAATGAACCGCCAACTTATCCAGCATATGTTTTACGCAGCGTATGCCCTTCCAGCTGCAACCCATCACTGGGAAACACCCATACATTCTCATTCACACACATACACTATAGACAATTTAGGAGAACATGCAAACTCCACACAGAAAAGACCAACTGACCCAGCCGAGGCAAGAGCGTTACCCACTACGCCACCACGTCGTCACTGTTTTTAATTTTTAATAACAATTTTAAGAACAATATTATTAGCCTCCTTTAGGATATTTATTCTGGGTCTGCAGAACAAACCACTGTTATACAAGGACTTGCCTAATTAAATTGACTTGTTTATTTAACATAATAACCGAGTTAAGCCTTTATGTCAATGCTAGTATCTAGAAAAATATCCAGTCAAATATTATGTACTGTGCTCATGGAAAAGATGGATGGTTAGCACTGTCGCCTCACAGCAAGAAGGTCGCTGGGCCAGTTGGCTTTTCTGTGTGGAGCTTACATGTTCTCCCCGTGACATAAGCTAAATAAGTTGGCGGTTCATTCTGCTGTGGCGACCCCTGATAAATAAAGTAAGGGGAAATTAATAAAGGAAAAAATAAAGGAGTTATTAGAAATTAGTTGTTAAAGCTGTTATATTTTTTTTAAAAATTGGAAAATTATTTAAAATTTAATAAATTTTTATTTTATTTAAAAATGTTAAATAATTATATATATATATATATATATATATATATATATATAATGTGTATGTGTGTGTGTGTATATATATATATATATATATATATTTAAAAGAATAAAAAAAAGAATTCAGATTTAAAAAGCTGGGCTTATAATTCGACTTCAGCTGTAATTAATTAAAAATAATTAAAAATTATTTTAAAACATATTTTGGATCAAAGAAAAGAATTTGATCAAAAAATTGAATTTGAAAATTTGAAGCATAAATACTGCAGCAGTAATTTCTTGGTAAACAGAATCCATTATATTTACAAATACCAAAAAAAAAGTTTATATTACATCTGTGCCAGTGTTATTTTAGTACCATACAAATGCAGTTCTATTAATAATTTTAATTATATATATATATATATATATATATATTTTTTTTTTTTTCTTTTTTTTCTGTAAAATAGCTTTTACCTGCAGGGTTCAACGCTACAGATTTTTTCTACTGGTCCGATCGGGCAAGTGGTTTAGAGTTTTACCTGCCCTGCCAAAATTTTAACTGGCCCCACCAAAAAAAAAAAAAAAAAGGGAAGTTAATGGCTATTTTTAAGCCACATATTTTAAATAATGTGTCAAAAATAAAGTCTATGAATCTAGAATTTCAATACTTTAAAAAAAACTGTAATAAAAGTGTTATGCAAACAAAAAGAGCAGTATGGAAAATGTGGAGGTATTTTATTGTGGTTTGAAATTATTTAACAAAAGGTGGCTGACTTGTCAAACTGACGGCAAACTTGCTCACTTAATTTTTATTTTGTCGTGTTGTTCCCATGTAAATGTCTACTGCCAAGACGTTAGAAGACATTTTCTTTTAGCCTTATAATTTGATATTGCTGCTATGTTGCTGTTTCTACGCTGTACTGGTTGTTACCAGGTTACAAAAAAAAATAGCATGGTCAAATCCATCAGATAAGAGGAACCGGAAAGTAATATGTTGTTTACGACATTACAGAGAAGGTAGCGTGTAAAGACCTAAAAGCACAAACTTAAAGTGCACGCAATTGACAAATAGTCACAGACAAGTTAAATGTTAGTGGCAAGGCAGCACTGTCCCAATCAGGCCATAATGATGCGGTCTACTGTCCCAAGTGTCTCTCACGCTAGCCCTGGGCCACCGGGCAGTCCTTATTGTTGAGCCCTGACCTGTGTTTAGTTTTTTAGTACAGTGTTAAACTAAATGAAATCTATTGGAAACGAGCTGAACTTTTCTTTCTTAAAGAGGATCTGTTCTGCCTCTTTTTACAAGATATAATCTCTGATGTCCCTAGAGTGTGCATTTGAAGTTTCAGCTCAAAATACCACAGATAATTTTGTCTAGCTCTCTGAAACTGACCCTTTTAGGCTTTGATCCTAATTGTGGTGTTTTGGTGACTGTCACTTTAAATTCAAATGAGATTGCGCTCTTTATAAAAGAGGGCGGGGCTACAAATGCCTCTGTGGCAGATTCAAAATTATAAAGGCAGACACAATCGTGTGTTTATGCTAATGAGGGAGAGATGGTCGCTAGTGGGCGGAGCTTTCCCCCTCTGATGACACGTACAAAGGGAGAATGTCAGTCAAAGTGTTTCTGCAGACTGTTTCTATCAAGTCTGATTATAATAAATACAATTAATTCATTTTACTATTCGAGGCTGGATATATTTGCTGTGTTTAAACCCTTTAAAAAAAAGTCATTTTTGCAAAATAGGTCCCCTTTAATATATATTTAATTTCAACAAATGTTAATATTGTATTTAAAGGAACAACAATGCTTTTATTGAACTATAATAGCCCTGCTACATTACTGTGCTTTTACTGAATAGCACACCCTGCTGGTTTTCACCATTAAGGCAGACTGACAGATTATTTTATTCTTTTTTCACTCTATTTTCCCCCAAACAATCTGTTAGAAATATGCACCCTGTCCCAACTGCACGCTGATTTTGAACAAATGTATGTGCCTGTGTGCGTGTGCTGTGCTAGACGCTGTTAGACGGCTGCTGTAGCGGCTCCATCCTGACGATAGGAGAAGACGGACAGTTCCATCTGGATGCTGAATCCACTGTGGTGGTGCAAGATCTCAGACTGCTTTCTGAAATATTGCTGGACTGGAAGATATGGGCCAAAGCTCAGGTAAGCGTACGGTACATGTGTGTTGTGCTTTATATAGTGATCTTCATAATGACTGTGCTGTGTGTGTGTTGTGATAGTGTGGTGTGTGGGAGACGCTGCTCACAGCTTTAGAGATCCTCATCCGGGTTCGTCATCCTCAGCAGATGTTCAACATTCGACAGCTTCTGAAAGCTCAGGTGGTTCATCGCTTTCTGCTCGCCTGCCAGGTGCTTCAGGTGAGAACGTTACTTCACAGACTAACTCTTGAGGTTAATTACATCAGAAAGGATGCATCACATCAATCAACCAATGGAGAAGTATTATGAAAAAACAACCAATTCAGAATGCTGTTAAACATATTTAACACTGGAACTACCAGAATTCTGATCGCTCTCATATAAGACGTCTTATTGACTCCCAATATTTACATTCAAAGCTTCTATAGACCATTTTGAGGGATGTAGACAACGTATTTCCTTTTTTACATGTTTAATTTGTATAGCTTCCGAGAATCCACATATTGATAAATTATGTTATGACAGCTGTTTGAACATTAAGTTCTGACTGAGGCCCCGTTTACACTAATGCGCTTTCGTTTTAAAACGCATAAGTTTTGCTACGGTTACACCAGGGGTCTCAAACTCAATTTACCTGGGGGCCAAAGTCTGGGTGAGGCTGGGCCGCATAAGGGATTTCACAAAAAAAAGTCCTCAAATGTCATTATTAACAGTTTTAATTATTTCTTCTGAACATGAAGTGTCCTGAACATTAATAGAACATTGAGTGAAGATTATGAACAGTTCTTCTGAACATGGCATCTTTTGCCTACTCCTTGCTGCCAGAGACTTGGCAGCGCTTCTTCTCACAAATCTGAACCACATCTGGCTTTAGAGCGGAAGCAGTTGAGACCCTCAGTATGGCTTGAAGATGATCATCATTAAGTCTAGACCTGTACTTTGACTTATTGAAGTCCTAGGGAAAAAAGTGGGGGAACTCACTCAAAACTTCCATTCCCTCACCTAAAAAAAAGGCGTATATATGTATAAATAAAACACCCCCACCCCACTCCAGTCACATCAGTCTGTACCAGTCTGTATCTACCTATAATATCAACACAATCTCACGGCAATTCGTAACTTTTTCATTTAGTGGCTAATTCGTATGAATTCGTACGATCTAATTCGTACAATTTAGTACGATTTGCTTATCCCCCAATGACGGTTGGGGTTAGGGGTGGTGTCTGGTGCCACGCCTCCTTTTAAAAATCGTACCATGTCGTACGACTGAACTCGTACGAATTCGTACGAATTAGCCACTAAACTGGCAAAACGTAAAATACTTACGTTTTCTCGTGAGATCAGACTGATAATATATATAAGATGCATGCGCACATAGGGCTCAACCTGTGCAGTGCACATGCCCTTTTTAGTCTTGCATAGAAAGTGCCCTTCCAAAATGATCAAAAGTGCCCCCGCGATGCGACACACCCTCGGTCCCGCCCTTCAGTAAGCGCGCGATAACACCGCTGATCAGAACGCGCGCGACAACGCACATTGAGTGACAAGTGCGCTGTGTACGGATAGAATCAGCGGAGCGGGGAGCGCTCTCTCTCCCCGCTCCGCTGATTCTGTCAGTGTACAGCGGTCGGCGCGGGCCACAAAATATTGCACTGAGGGCCGCAAATGGCCCGCGGGCCGCGAGTTTGAGACCCCTGGGTTACACCATCCGTCCACACTATGTCGGAGTTCTCGAGCTCCGAAAACAGAGCATTTTGAAAATGCTGAAGAGGCCGTTTTCATTCTGAAACGCTGCTGCTCCGTTTCAGTGTGGATGAGGGAAACGAAGACATCTGAAAACGGAGGTTGGGCTGCTGAGATTCGCTACCTGATTGGGGCTTTTGTGTCATTGCGTATCCTTCCCTTATTCGTCAAGTCCCTATCAGATGACTCTAACACATGGCTTTAACGCTACCGGAAGACAGTACTGTAAACAACAACATGGACACAGAAATGGGAGCGTTGTTTGCACTATTGTCTGTTTTAGGCGCCATTGTGCAGTTATTCATTTGGTATGTTTAGTAACACCTCGACCTCATCATCTGTCCACAAAAATACCTCTCTTGCTTTCTTTGCCATCGTGTTTAATGTTCAACCGGCGTTTGTTGACTAACAATAACTAAATGCTGAGCGAGACGCATGCTTCCTGTTTATTCTAGAACGCGCATGCCCAGAGTGCGCGAATGGTCACGTGATATATGGTTTTGGTGGCGTAGTGTGGACAGAGATATGTTCAGAGACGCTAGGTGAAACGCTAGTGTGGACGCGGATCGTTTTTACTAACGATCTAAAACGCACTAGTGTAAACGGGGCCTGAATCGCCTTGTTACAGTTATGAAATAGTTTGATAACAAGCAGGAAATGTTCATGGGCCAATGACATGACCACATTGAAATGGTCTATAAAGATATTAAAGGGCCATGAAACCCCCTTGTTTCAGCAGGGTGTTTTCACACCTCTTCTTTGAAAAAAGTCAGGAAAGTGGGCGTGTCCAGCTCTGTTTAGGGGGGAGTGTCGTAGGAGCAAAAGAGGGATGATATGGGAGTGTCGATTTAGGCACATGCTGATTTTCAGAGTCAAAACACACACACACAGGGGAGAAAGTGACTGTGTTTACATGGACATCAGTTATCAAATTATTTGCCTAATTATTAAATGGTGGACTTTGACTGCAGTTTGGCTCTTTCATTCAGGAATTTCATTCATGTCCCTTGTGACAAACGAGATATTTGATTCGAGGAGCTGCTCTAAGCGTGTATTTTTCATGCAATGTTTGATACCGCACGGCGAATGAGAGAAAAAAACTTCAGCATTTCCCGGAAACTTAGATGCACACGGCAGGTAGCGTCAGAAAGTAGCGGTGAAAATCCTACACAACAGTAAGTTTGGTTCTGGTGCTAACATGTTTACACTCGGTGTAATAGTTGAATAAACATCTGAATAAACAAAGAGCACTGGTCGCTCAGTTACCAAATCTGTAGAGACAGAACAATGGACAGCAACTAGAGCCGCGTCTTTATTAAGAGAAGTAGAGCAGCAAATCCGGATCTCACCATTTCCAGATGAGAAAAGCTCTCGGGTAAACAATGTTCCTTAGACACGTATTGTTGTCGATCGTCGCGTGCACTGTAATCCACACATGAGTCCAGCTGCGCTCTCATAGAGAGAAAATGAAAACAAAACCTTCACCTCAGCAAATTATTAAAGAAACACTTCACGCTTGTTTTGCCAACACAACGTGGCGTCTCTCTGCCGACTGAACACTGTAACATTAATGAATATTAATGCGCAATAGAACACGCTGATTGGTTTGAACTAAGTCCTACTCATGCATTAATGCAGCACACTTGGAGACGTAATACGGTACTATCAGGTAAAGATGTCCAGTCTACACGCTGGAAATCACGATCTCTTGGCCGTGACGCAGCTTCAAAAAATCGTTTCAAACCGGAAGTACGAATTCTGAATTCCTTACCCAATCGGTTGAGCAAAATCCCTTCAATTCAATTGTCTTGTATTTGCATTTAAATAAGAATAAATGGCTTCCCCCATTTGCAGATTATTTTGCTTGTTTTAAGTAAAACATCACTAAATTTTAACATTATTTCTGAAAACAAAACAATGTTTTTTACTTGTTTAGAAAATGCTTCTTTATTTAACAATTTTATTCGGACTAGAAGCAAGACACCAACTTTTTTGCAGTCTAAGTGCTAATAAACAGTTAATATCTTAATAACAGGCAGGTAATAAAGCCTGTGAATTGTTACTTCAACTAAGGTTTTACCCACAGCTGAAAACAAAAGAAAACAGAAAGATTGCACTTAATGCAGGGAAGAAGAGTTCAGCATGTGTGTGGTTTTCTAAACTCGTCTTTATTTATTCTGATAGGAGCATCGGGACGAGTACCTGACCTCCATCCCACAGGAGGTCTGCCTCTCCTTCGTCAAAATCATCCAGGAGGTTTTGGGGTCTCCTCCAGATATGGATCTGCTGCGGCTGGTTTATAATTTCCTGTTAGCCGTTCACCCCCCGACCAACACTTACGTGTGCCACACGCCGACCAGCTTTTACTTCTCTCTGCACATCGGTGAGCAAACATGTTCAAAACTAATCTCTGAGCACAAAAGCAGATGATTAGCAGAATGTTTAACTGTCCATCCATCCGTTCATCCATCCGTCCATCTATCTATCATCTATCCATCCATCCATCGTTCTATTGTTCTATCTATCGTTCCATCCATCCATCCATTTATCATCTATCCATCCATCCATCCATCTATCTATCCTCTATCCATCCATCCATCCATCCATCCATCCATCCATCCATCCATCTATCCATCCATCCATCCATCCATCTATCCATCGTTCTATTGTGCTATCTATCGTTCTATCATTCTATCCATCCATCTATCTATCCATCTATCCATCATCTATCTATCTATCTATCTATCTATCTATCTATCTATCTATCTATCTATCTATCTATCTATCTATCTATCTATCTATCTATCTATCTATCTATCTATCTATCTATCCGTCTGTATGTCTGTCTGTCTGTCTGTCTGTCTATCCATCTATCCATCTGTCTGTCTGTCTGTCTATCTATCTATCTATCTATCCATCTATTCATCTGTCTGTCTGTCTGTCCGTCTGTCTGTCCGTCCATCCGTCCGTCCATGCATCCGTCCATGCATCCATCCATGCATCCATGCATCTATCCATCCATCCATGCATCCATCCATCTATCTGTCTGTCTGTCTGTCTGTTTGTCTGTCTATCTATCTATTTATCAGTTTGTCTGTCTGTCTGCTCGTCCATCCATCCATGCATCTATCCATCCATCTATCTATCTATTCATTTATTTATCCGTCCGTCTGTCCATCCATCCATCCATCCATCCTTCCATCCATCGTTCTATCTATCTATCTATCTATTGTTCTATCTGTCTATATCTGCGTATGGTCACATTGTATTTTAAGGTGCGATTCTCGCTAGAGGCTTTTAACTTAACAAACAACTAGTTTTTGCTTATTAATAACTTTAACTAAATATATGTACTGTTTATATTAGTATTTGTTGCAGTACTAATGTTATTCTGACAAAAGCGTAGCTAATATTAAACATTTCAGAAAAGCAAGCAGGTTGTTGACATGGCGTTAAACAATAACATTTAAATGATCACAATTTTTCTATGTTCTTCAATGAGATGGTAAGCTGTACCAGGAGAAGGTCCAGTCCATGATGTACCTGCGACACTCCAGCAGTGGAGGGAAATCCGCCTGCAGCTCAGTGGTCTCACTGTCTCCCACTGTCTTCACTGAGATGCCTGCTGAAGGTACAGTAATGCAACACGCAAACCTCAGCGCCACAACAGCATTAAAACAGCAGACTCTAAATCAGGGGTCACCAACCCTGTTCCTGGTCACCAACCCCTTCCTGCAGAATTCAGTCCCAACCTTGATCAAACACACCTGAACCAATTAATAGTACCTAAAGCAGCACTTGATAATTACAAACAGGTGTGTTTGATGAGGGCTGGGACTGAAATGTGCAGCAAGGTAGCTCTCCAGGAACAGCGTTGGTGACCCCTGCTCTAAATCATCAACTCCAAGCCGTTCTCTGATGATAATGCAGCTATTCAAGAGAAGGTCAAAATCAGAAAAATGTTCCTGCTCACTCATTCTGACGTATAACTAGTGTTATTCAGAGAAAATGTCCTTGTGTGGCTCTACAGCACTGATGATGTTAATCTCTGAAATGCATGACGAGAGCAGATCAATTACAACACATACTTTTTGTCTGTAATATCATAATGTCATCATGGCTTGAAGTAGCACTTAGCATATTAGAGCTGAATAATAATGCAGTTATTGTGCTATAAACAATCCTGGAGTTGAGATTTGAAAGATTCAGTAATGTGTTTCACCCTATGTCCACTACCTGACAGAAGTCTTGTCATGGACCCAGTTGTAAGAGCAACAAATAATAACTTGACTTCTTGTTGTGAAAGTGTCAGAAGGTGGATTTTTCCCATGAATCATCTGTTGATCTGCATCTCAATCATCACAAATACTGCAGAAGACCTTCTGGAACCAGCATAGAGCCAAGATGTTCACAGAAATCAGTCAAGTTTGGTGAAGGAAACAATGGTTTGGGGTCATTCAGTATGGGGTGTGCGAGAGATCTGCAGAGTGGATGATCAACATCAACAGCCTGAGGTATCAAGACATTTGTGCTGCTCATTACATTACAAACCACAGGAGAGGGACAATTCTCCAGCAGGATAGCGCTCCTGCTCATACTTCAGCCTCCACATCAAAGCTCCTGAAAGCAGAGAAGGTCAAGCTGCTCCAGGATTGGCCAGCCCAGTCACCAGACATGAACATTATTGAGCATGACTGAGCTAAAATGAAGGAGGAGGCATTGAAGATGAACACAAAGAGTCTTGATGAGCTCTGGGAGTCCTGCAGGAACGCTTTCTTCTTCATTCCAGATGACTTTATTAATCAGTGATGTGAGTCATGTCAGAGATGTATGGATGCAGTCCTCCAAGCTCATGATGGAGTCAGACACAATATTCATTCTGTCTCCACTGCAGCAGGACTTTATATTCTATACTGGACATTATTTCTGTTCAGTGATGACACTTTAGTCTAAGCAGAGTCAGACCTTACTGTCCTAATCAAATCAGTCAAAATCAAGACATGATCAGATTTTATTGTGCTCAAATAAGCAAAATCTAGAGGCCTTTACCTTTCATATGAGCCACTTCTGATACCAAATGATCAACAAGAAGTCAACTTATTGTTTGTGTTCCTAAAAGCGGCAATACTTTTTTGTCAGGTTGTGTAAATATTATGGAAGGATTTGATTTTGAATGCAGTGCTATTAGAGTAAACTAAAATATTTGTTCCCCCCCCACACAGTACGCCATACGTCCTCTATAGAGCATGAAGACGATTTGTCCCTGCGGCCCCGAAGCACTGGCCCATCACCACACTCCTCTCCAGCCCTGACGCCCCGTGTTACCCATGGACGTGTGACGGGAACCACAGAACCTGAAGGAGGAGCATCTCTCAGTACCCAGCAGGCCCTGGGCAGCACAGAGACCCTGAAGCGGGCTGGAGACGAGCAGCTCCTCAGCAGCTGCGAATCAGCAAAGACCATTTGTGATTCTCCCATCGCAGGCGCTGATGAAGAGGGGAGCATTATGGGAAACCGAACACCTTCTATCAGTGTAGAGGAGGAGCAGGACGGGCCCGCGGGAAGCCCAGTGGAGTCAGAAGAGCATTTCGACTGGACCAGCGAAGAAGCCCCACGCCGACCAGACAGCCTGAAAGGAATCCAGTCTTTCCAGAGGAGCCACAGTAATCTGGCCAGTCTGGGTTTGGCTTTTCCTGCGCAGAACGGCTCTCTGACTATTGCACGCTGGCCCACCGTTGCTGACCGCGCCGCTCCACCTGACGACTGGGAGAGCTACACATACTCACCCGGCTACGACCGACACAGCAAAGCAGACTCCAGTAATGACAGGTAGGATTTCATGTTGTCGTACAGTAGCAACAGATCTTTTCTTCAATATTGAATCCCAAAAAATACATGATTTGATTAACCCTTTGTGTCTCCATTTGGCCACGTCTTTCTCTGTGTTTAACCTGTTAGCCAGCACTCAATTTTGGGGATTTACACCTACCTAAATTTAATTAGTAACAGTTCCTGACTCCAGTATGCTACAAACACAAATTAGGCATCATTGGAAAGAAGACACTTTGAGCTTTACTGTGGTAAAACGGGAAGTTACATGTTAAAAATATAAAAAGCTATACATTATGAAGTCATGAGGAAAAAAACTGTATTGTGTTCAATATTTGTATTTCCATATACAAACACAGGAGAACACTAATGTGATGTCCTAGAAAAAATATGACTTAAAATTCAAGTGTCTTATGAGTTTATATTTCAAATTTGATGAAGGTGCAAAATGAGATTCCTGTAAAAAGTTTTCCGAGACTATATCGGTGTCCTTCTTTCCCTCACGGTCAGAGACACTTTCTCAAAAATGACCTTCTCAAACTAGAATTATTCAGTTGCTGAATAATTTGGTCTACATTCACAGTTTATGTATCTTTAGAAAGAAGACACTCTGGGCTTTATTATCCATCATCTAGAGTTTATAATGCTCAAAGTGAAAAAAGTTATAGATGCTTAAGTAATGTATAAAAAATTGCACCGCACTAAACTTTTTATTATTTCATAAAAAAATATGTGAAATTTGTCCTAGAGCAGCACAGAAAAGCAATGGGTCAAAAGCTACACTTCTCCTGAGGAAATGTTTTGAATTTGATGCTAATATCATGCAAAATGAAACTTCTGGAATTATTTTTCTGAAACAATGTCTTGTGATTTTCTTCCTCTCCTTGTTTGTGGGGAAGCAGTCTGATGAAGGTTTCTAACAACTGTTTTAGTTATTTTACATACCACTAATAACTGTAAAATAATAGGCAGAAACGTACTGTATAGTACGAATGATTTATTTGAGCACAAAAAAAGTCCAGTGCATATGCAACAAAATAGTCTCACACAAGCTGTTGTTGTTTTGCTCCCTCACTCACTGGCAGAAAGAGCATGAACATCTTTTCATAAGAGTTCACTGCTGGCGTTTCATGAAATCTACTCCACAGCAGAGATTCGGCTACATGACAAAAATACTACATTGGAGTTCTATTGTAAACAATAGTGTTTCCTCCCTTGAGTAGCAAACACGATTTACTCTGATGCTTATATATGCATATGTTAATGTTACAGGAAGCTTAGCTAACAAATGGAATGATCATTGCGGACAAATCTTATTTGGACACGTATTTTAGGAAACTACCTCGAAAATTCAATCAAACACTCTGGGAGAATTTACAAATTAGAAATTTTTTACAAAATTACCATTTGTACCTCTTCCCAACAGGGAAAACCAGCAGCAATCAAGAATGCATGATTATATGCTGTCATGGCTTTGCAATCAGAAAATGTGATTATGATGGAAGTCAATGGGGCAAAACAGCCACCAATGTAATGAGTCAATTTGAACCGTACACGAGGGTTAAAGCTGCCTTGAAATCAACATTTATTCTTCTTATTTTTATATGTACAGTGCATCCGGAATGTGTTTATAGCGATTCACTTTTTTCACATTTTTCATCATACAGCCTTATTCCAATGTGAATTAAATTCATTTATTTGCTCAAAATTCTACACGCAATACCCCATAAAGACAATGTGAAATATTTTTTTGAAATTATTCTTTGTTTATTAAAAAAAAAAAACAACCTAAAAAATCATAGTGACTTTAAAAACACCATTTGTTGATTGGTTGTGAAGATATAAAGAAATAAAAGATATAATTTAAGAAGGAAGGAAAGCTACTTTGATTAAGGTTATTAAATATATGAATTTTAAAAGAGTATATTTTTGTCTCCAGTAGGGATGCTCATAATAACCGATTCACTGTTAACCGAAAGTGTGCGCTTTTAACCGATTGATGATATCAGTTAAACAATAAACAAAGTATTTTTTTGAAAGTTTGGCTGCATAAATGCAACACATATTTGTTAACTTGGGGGAAGGTAACATGTGCAACACCTACAGACATATTTTGCCAAAGAAGCAAAATGAAAGAAGAATATTGCTGGTCACAGTTTGACAGACGAGTTGATGCCAAACCAGTGCTGATGCTAATTGCTGTTTTTAACATCTAAAAATGAATGGAAATGAAAAAGACCGGAAGCCAAAAAGATTCAAACGGCTGTGCCAACTCGTACACGGAGAATACGGTGAATAATAGACTTTACTTTACAAAAAATTAACATATGAGCCTCGCCATTATCTTTCATCAAAGGAAGCGCGCGCATATGAACCAAGAGTGAAAGAGGAAATAAAAGCACACAAGCTCTAAGGTAAAATCAGAAGCTCAAGACATAATCTTTAAAATAAGGACTTCTATTAAAATGTTGACAGAGGTTTGTGATATAAGATTAACAGTGGAGCAGTAATTAAATGCATGTTTTCCCTGGAGCGATTGATTTGAGGTAGCCTGATATGTTTATTTGACGGAAGAAAGAAACATATGATTGGACAAGCAGCCTATGCGGGTTCTTAAAAAGCATTCAGTCAGTGTTTTCATTTTGTGATCTAAATTTGTCATTTAAGTGAAACATATCTAGGGCAGGACTACTTATTTTATTCTTTTTATTTCGTTTTCTTTGCTGTTAGAAACACTGCAGCTGTGTGAAGATGTTCTGTTGTTAATATGTTTGCATTTTAACATAAATCAGTATGTTAAAATGCATATTTAAAGTGTCACATAAAATAAACATGTCAATTTTTTTTTTTTTTTTTTTTTTTTATGAAATAGTAATTTAATATTATTCTGACCAGTTAACGCTTAATATTCGGTCAATGTCTGTTGGCAAAATTAACCAAAATAAGCATCCCTAGTCTCCAGCACAAAAATATGACAGATGCTATGCAGTGACTAGCTAGTGTGCTTACTAATAAAGAAGTGAGCAGAGTGAATCACGTATTCAGCATTCATCAGACATGATGTGTTTAGTTGTTCTAGATGTGTGTGATTTTTCCAGGCAGCTCTTTTAAATTCCCTGTGATGAATAAACTTTTTAATTATGCTAATTTCTGCCACTGAATTTTGGAGATGAATGTAATATTAGCCTTCATTTTAAGCTTGCTTCATCTCTTTAATGTCTCCTTCAGTCCTCAGTTAATGGCTGATTGCTTCCCGTTTTCATCATTGCTGTTCCTGCACTAAAGATATATCCCGTCTCTAATCTTTCAACTGCTTCATTCTGACCAATCACAGATGTTTCTGCTGAGCTCCTGAACACACAGGCATTCAGCTCGTGCTGATCTGCTCTCTCATTGGCTGTAGCTCGTCACTACATCTGACCACACGTGGGGTTGAGTCGGCCGACTGCTCTGGAATATTTAGCATGCTGAATGTTGGATTTCCGTCTGCGAAGTGTCGGCGACGCGTCAGCGAGCCTCGTTGATGCGTTGTTCAGTAGTTCACACTTAAAGAGCAGCGAGCGCCGAGCACACGCAGATTTCTTCCCGATCACAGCCCGATCTGTCGGCGAGCTCGTTAACTTCCAAATCGGGCTCAAATCAGGCTTAAAATCCTCTAGTGTGAACTAGGCTACACAGGTCATAACGTGAGCTCTGCTACCAATGGAGGAGACGAAGCCACGACGTCAAAGCAAATAACACTTGATTTTTCTCCAGCACAAACACTTCTTACTCAGACCAAATTAATCACAATAACATCTAGATATACAGACATTAAATTACATTAACATTAAAATAGTGTAGATTAGTGGACAATGTTTTCCCTTGAGACCTAAACGTGAGTGTTTTGGTTGTCAGACTGGTAGTTTCTCAGAGTTGATCGATGTGTGTTTGGTGAATGCTTCAGGTCCAGTGCGGAGGACTGTCTGGTGCTGATCTGCTGTGGTCTGTATGATCTACTGAGAGGAGTTCTGCTTCTGCTGCCGGACCTCCTGCTGGAGGAAGTGATGGACAAACTCATCCAGCCTGACGCTCTTCTCGTTCTGGTCAACCACCCGTCTCCCCTCATCCAGCAGGGCGTCATGAAGGTCTGCACACTTTCACTTGTCTTCATTCATTCTTTTTTCTTTCCTTCAGTCCCTTTATTCATCAGGGGTTCGCCCCAGCGGAGTGAACCACTTCCACCTGCAACCCAGTACTGGGAAACATCCATACACACTCATTCACACACACATCCTCATGCACTACGGCCAATTTAGTTCATCTATTCCCCTATAGCGCATGTGTTTGGACTGTGGGGGAAAGCAGAGCACCTGAAAGAAACCCACGCCAACACAGGGAAAACATGCAAACTCCACACAGAAATGACAACTGGCCCAACCGGGACTCGAACCAGCAACGTTCTTGCTGTGAGGCCACAGTGCTAACTACTGATCCACCATGTCACCCCATACGCGTTACTTTAAAATTAAAAATCTGTGAATTATCCACACATGGATTTTCTTAATATAAAAGATTCATCAGTGCAGGTTATTTCACAAAAAAAATGTATTGTCTTGCTAATCTTTAATCAGAATCCGCACATCTACTTGCGTCTTTCCCTGGTGACATTGGTTTGATGGATTGGGCGAAATATGCTTAGCCACGCCCCTCTAACGCTTAGTTTGAAAGATGAGAGGAGCACAAAAAATAAACCCCGCCCATTACTCGATATTAATAATAATAATAATACATTTTATTTATAATGCGCTTTTCTAAAACCCAAAGCGCTTACAAGAAAGTAAAAATAACAAAGCATATAATAAAATAATAAAAATAATACTGTAAAAAACACAGTAAGAATAAAAGATATCACAAATTAAAAACAGTCCTAAAACGATGAGTTTTAAGTAGCTTCTTAAAACCATCCAAAGAACCAGCATTCCTAATGTTTGTGGGAAGAGCATTCCACAGTTTGGGGACACGGAAAGAGAACGCCCTGCCTCCCGTGGTGCGGAGTTTGCAGCGAGGCTGAAACAGTGTAGAACCAGAGGCAGAGCGTAGACAGCGAGAGGCAGAGGAAATGGATAACAAGTCACAAATGTAACCTGGAGCAGAACCATGAACCCCTTTATATGTTAAAATCAATGTCTTAAAACCAATACGAGACTTGACAGGCAGCCAGTGAGCAGCCCCTGTTGGAGTATAGGAGTGATGTGAGACTGACATGATATATGCGTCAACACACCTGCAGCAGAATTTGGGATGTATTATAAAAACTTGAGAGAATTAGCTGGTAACCCTCCGAACAGAGAGTTGCAAGATGTGATAAAAGCTTGGACTAGTCTTTCAGCATCAGGCCTCGAGAGGAAAAGACGTAAGCGGGCTATATTTCCAAGATGATAAAAGGCCGTTTTAGATAAATGTTTAAAATGAGGCTTCAGACTAAGCTGGGAGTCCAGGAGAACACCAAGATTACGCACCTGCAGAGATGGTGATAAGACTGACCCATTAACTCAAATTCACTACACCTCTTGATGTTAAGCCGCCTTTCCACTGCACACAACATTTGGACAGGACTGTCGGAATACGCTCCCTTGTGGCAGCCGCACAGTATTTTCAGTGTCCACGTGCACCACAGGGGAAAAGCTGATTCTCACGGTGTCTGAAATTAATGGATGAATAATTACTAGAAACTCATAGACCGCTAAAATATGGGAGGGAATGTGGAGACAACATTTAAATATATATATTTTTATTACTTTCTCACATTTATGAACAGAAAAGTTTTATATATATATATATATATATATATATATATATATATATATATATATATATAAATATAGACTTTTTTTAATTCCAAAACCAAATAAACTCCTATTTCTCATCTCGCGCGCACGGATCTGCGTGGACAACACTGGAATACATCATATCCGGTCGGCAGGTCGCCTACGGTCTAGTTGCAGGAGTTCAAATATTTAAACGGATCCGCAGCTCAATTTGGATCTGAATTTTCCGCATACGGAGATGATCGGAACTCAACGCAGCTCCCGGACTGCTCTCCATTGGAAAGAATGACTTCCGCTTGTCGTTTGTCGTGTGCAGTGGAAAGGAGGCTTTAGAAGGAATGCCAACCAATAAAATCTAAGAATATGGTGTTAGCTACAGTATATTCTGTTTCAGCTGTAAATGCTCAGCTTAAAGTCTTCTGCTTCTTGCTGACGTTTTTACTTCACTATTTCATTTCAAAGGCATTATAGTGTGAGATTTTCAAAAACATGAATATGACACAAAGGAGAGTGTGGTAAAATGAAGATTGATTACTGACAGTCTCTGTCTGCGTATCTCATCTGATATGATGAACCCCTGCTTTGACTAATAATCCCCTTTATATGCTGCTCTGATCCATTGATATTAGCTTTATTTTAATGTCTTCTCTCGGTCATGCTTGGATACACAAACCTGTCCATGTATTCCCGTAGCTCCTGGACGCCTACTTCAGCCGCGCTCAGAAAGAGCAGAAGGAGAAGTTCCTGAAGAACCACGGCTTCTCACTGCTGGCCAATCAGCTGTACCAGCACCAGGGTTCACAGGGGCTGCTGGAGTGCTTCCTGGAGATGCTGTTCGGACGACCGGTCGGTCTCGAGGAAGAGTGAGTATGAAAACTAGGGATGCACTGTATTTTCACCGTATACATATAAAGTAGACCAATGTAATGAGAAAATATCAGTTTGCAACATTAACAAGCCATTTTTACCGTCTGAAAATCAATGAAAGTGTAAGTCTGGAGCCAAAAAGATTCTAATGGCTGTCAATAAGGTCAATAAATTAGCTTGAGTATATGTATGTCATTGAGTGACGAGCAGTATTTTCTATTCCCTCAGTCTGGATCTGGAGGATATGGAGAACATCTCTCCATTCAGGAAGCGCTGTATCATCCCAGTGCTGGGTCTGCTGGAGAACTCTCTGTATGAGAACTCACTGGTGCACAATGGCCTGTGTCTGCTGCTGCAGCTCCTCAACGCCTGCCCGAAGCTGGCCGACATCCTGCTGGACCACGGCTTACTCTACGTGCTCTTCAACACACTCTCCACCCTCAACGGCCTGGAGAACGGGTAATGCTCCCTAGATAGAGTAGATCAAACTTCTGTTTCTCAGCCTGCATGAGCAGACCTCTCTCAGAGCTTAGTGACTCATTATATAACTTTTAATTAATTAATTGAAGTAGGTGTGAAGTATTGAAGCAAGTAATTATTAATTTAACAAAAACTCTTTTTAGAGCAGAAACTGTGTGTGTAATTTCACCTGATAAATGTTTTCTGGGTTGTTATTACTGGTTAATTTAACACATTTCATATTCTCACATATTAAAGATGAATCTGAGGGATGTTTTGTCTGTATGTTGGCTGTGTAGGATTCCTCCGAATGACTACAGGCTGGTGGTGTGTGACATTCAGCAGCTGCTGGTGGCCGTCACCATACACTCATGCAGCTCTTCTGGATCTCAGTACTTCCGCATCATTGAAGACTTGATCACACTGTTGGGCTACATGCAAACCAGCAAAGTTCGCCGCACACAGGGTAAACGGAAACTAAAGCTTTTGTATCATATACATTACAATATACAGTTAAAGGCACAATTATTAGCCCCCCTGAATTATTAGCCCTCCTGTATATTCTCCCCAATTTCTGTTTAGCGGAGAGAAGATTTGTTCTGCACATAATAGCTTTAATAACTCATCTCTAATAACTGATTTATTTTATCTTTGTCATGATGACAGTAAATAATATTAGACTAGATATTCTTCAAGACACTTCTACACAGCCATTTAAAGGTTTAACTAGAGTAATTAGGGTAAAGTTAGGGTAATTTGGCAAGTCATTGTATAACAGTGGTTTGTTCTGGAGTCAATCCAAAACTAATATTGCTTAAGGGGGCTAATAATATTGACCTTAAAATGACTTTAAAACAATTAAAAGCTGCTTTTATTCTACATTAAAAAAAAACGTAAATTTTTTTTAAAAATGTAGATAATCTGTAAAAATCTGTCATTTCTTGTTCCATTATTACAAGTTATTACTGTCATTTAACAGATCTTAACTGCAATTACACATTATTACTGTCATTTTACAAATTATTATTGTAAATATATAATTTATCAATGTAATTATACAGATAGTTAATGTGAATATAAGGATGATTACTGTAATTATGTAGGTTATTAATGTTATTATACAGATTAATTTATGTAATTATGCATGAAATCCAAATATTCCATCAAATTTTTCACTTTTAACATGCCTTTAAAACTGGAAGAATTGTTTTTTTTTTAAAGAATGATTGAAAAAAAGTTTAGGTACAAAATAATTGCTGTTGTCATGAAACACTGTAAATATAACTATAATATAATTTAGCAAATATTTTAAAGATCAGTAGGTTAAACTCCAAAACAATTTTCTTAAGAAAATACAAAACTGTTATCTATCTAATTATTTATTTCTTTTTTACAAATAACACATTTGGTCATCTTTTAACAACAGAAACAAGGTTAGTGTCATGTGAGACGGCTGCACAACAAAGTTGAGGATTAAATAGGGGTTTATTAACAGAATCATCTTGCAATTAAAGGTTGAAACAAACAAACAGAAGCATACAGATAATCCCAAGCGTAAAGGCGAAAAAAATAAAGGGGTCAAACACGGCAAGGGAAGGAAAACCGCGTCGTAGTGCTCACTAAACAGTTTTAGACTCAGATACGATGTGTCTGTGTGTGCTGAGTTTAAAATCCTTGAAATCAGGCCATAACAATCTTCTGACTGTGTGTGTAATCAGTAAGAATTAGGAACCCGGATGTGTGAGGTGCATGCTGGGAGTTGTAGTTCGTTAAAGTAACGTGTGTACTGTGTAGTTTTCCAGCAATCCGCAGCTGCTAGATCACTGGTGATCGTCACAGATCGCAGCAACATTGTTAGAGTAGTAAAATAAACATTTCATAGTTTACAATGCATGCATTATATGCAGCCTACAAACAATAGGCTAATGTTTCACTTTATTAACCTCATGATAATCTTGATATGTTTACTATCTTCACTAAAAAACAATTTGACTAAATTTTTGTTTCTCTATTTTTACAGGAATAATCTGTAAATATTAACGTAAAATTAAGTGTTACTCTTTAAAAATACATAAAATTTCCTTTAAAAAGCAGAGAAATAACGTAATACAAATTACAAGCAATAACTGTAAATTTAATGTGAGAATTTTTTTATTACACAAAATATCTGTAAAACTACAGCTATTTCACTGTATAATGAAAAAAAACTGGAAAATTATGTAAAAAAAACAATAATACAGACAATTACCTGTAAAATAACGTTTATTTTTTTACCGCATAGCCGAAATAAAACAAATAAAACTTTCTCCAAAAGAAAAAAATGTATAGGAAATACTGTGAAATATTCCTGAATCTGTTCAACATAATGTCACAGGATTAGATTGATATGTTCTGTTGTGATTTGCTTCTTCAGAAATGGCCCTGGCCTTGCAGTTTCGCGTGATTCAAGCAGCGATTGATTTCATTAAGACCACAGCCAATCAGGACCCTCAGAAGTCCGGCAGTTATGTGCATGTGCCCACATCACCACACCACGCTCTGCAGCAGAAACGCAAAAGCATCGCAGGTGAGACACTTTATGGCTTGAATTGTTTTTGGTGGGTTAGGTTTACTGAAGTGATTTACGAGATTAAAGGTGACCTATTATGCAAAAAAAAAATTTAGAAGGGGTTTAAACACCGTGTGTGAATATAACCAGCATCTAATCATGAAAATTAATTAATTCAGTTTCTTCATCATCAGACTTGATCGAAGCAGAAACACTTTGATTGACGTTCTCCCTTTGTACGTGTCATCAGAGGGGTAAAGCCCCGCCCACTTGTGCCCATATCTCCCTCATTAGCATAAATAGCAGCCCTGAGTGAGAAGCAGCTGTCCGTCCATTAGCCACTAGAGTGTTTGAGCTGCTGAAGATAATGTCAGCATAGACTAAGAGGATTATAGATGTGGAGTTTTAGATGAAGCACAAATGAACAGCGACAGGAGTCTCCATAGACTGACAGAAGCATGAAGCGCACATGCACACCTGACTTGCACTGAATCTGCCACTATGCTGACACACAGGCATTTGTAGCTCCGCCCTCTTTTGAAAAGAGCACAATCTCATTTGAATTTAAAGTGACAGTCACCAAAACGCCACAATTAGGGTCAAAGCCTGAAAGGGTCAGTTTTAGAGAGTTAGACAACATTATTTGTGTGGTATTTTTAGCTGAAACTACACACAAACACACACACACTCTCGGGACACATTTTACATCTAGTAAAAAGCGCCATTCTAGGTCCCCTTTATATAAAAATGAAATTCAACTTGAATATTGTGATTTATAGTTATGTTATAATTTTAGTATGATAATATAATATTATAGTTTTTATTACAATTAATTAAACATTATAGTGTCCACTTAAATTTATAAATTTAATACGTTTCATCATTTAACATTGGGACAAATATGGACAAACCCAACTTTAGGTGAAAAATGGCATTTAAAAAAAATTTTGGGCTCTTTTCTTATGATCTAGGCACAAAGTCTAAAGCTCATGGTGCAATAGCATTAGGAGAGTGTCCGAATCCACTTTTGCTATTTTAAGGGAAAATGCTCTGCACCCCAGGCGCATGGTCTAACAGGGTGGTGCTTATTCTCCTAATGAGTTCTGGGTGTGTTTTGAGTGTAACCTGCATTAAACCAATCAAAGTCTCATCTCACATTCCCTTTAAGTGTCTGTTGCGTCACGTCATGGTGCATTTGCTGTTTACATGGCAACTTTGTAAGTGTAAAAACTGAACGCTTCACTAGCGAGAAAACAGTTAAAAAGAGCATCTGCAGCACGAGGATAAAGAATGAGCCTCCTCCATTCAGCCTCTTTACTTTCTCTTTACTTTACTCCTTTACTTTACTGGAGTGAGGAAACGGTGGGAACTCACTCCACTGAACACATCCATTAGCCTACATGTTTAATTTTGTTTGTTAAGCGCAAAGATTTGCTTCAAAACTATTTCCAAATTCAGTTCTAATCTCCAGCAAAGGAATAAGTGAACAATAAAAATGAAGTGTGGTCAGAAAACTGAGTTCTATCCGAACACACGTCCTGTTTTTATGCCCCATATTGTGATGCAGACGTCTCCAAAACACCAAGGGTGGACAAATCTACACTTGTGTTTATTAAAACAAATATAAATCTGCATATAATGAGTAACACTGCTAATAATAATAACATTATACAGATGCAGATTGTCATGAATGAACTGAAAAAGCCCCCCGAGGTTATGAAGGCATGGAGGCAGTGCTGTTTATATTGATGCAGAAAATCATAATTTCTGGATCATTTTAATCCTTTAATTGTTTTCATCTGTAAAGATATTTGTGTGTTGCTGTTCATCCTGTGTGTATTCAGTAATGTGTAAGAGTTTAGACCTGCATTGGCGCATAACTGGTTGGTCATTGGTGCGGTCTATTTCAGTTCCTCAAAATAGCAACGAGCCAGCAATGCACCTTAACACACTTCCTGTTCAGACCAGCACACCCACGAGTCCACAAAGTGGCCAAATGGATTTGCTGTTTAAACAATGTGGTGCAAAACGTGAAAATTACTGTTGCACTGGTCTGAAAATAGCAAGAAATCACGCCAAACACGTCTTGCACCTTATTGCGCCGGGTGTATGATAGGGGATGATATTTTAATTATTGGGTTTGTTTGTATACTTTATATACAAACAAACAAACCCAACACTTTCCATATTAAAACAGCCCATCATTTTTTGAGTGCACTCATTTGTTAGTAATTGAGTTTTTCTTGTTCTCATTATCACGATTGGACTTGATTTTGCATCTGAGTGTTTGTATGACTTGCTCATGTTCATGTGTTTGGTCTTCATTGCTCTTGTCTAATCATCAGCTGTGTGTGTGTCATGATCATGTGTTTGTGTTGTATGTTCACCTCCCCTCACGCTCCTCCCAAGGTTCAATGGGGCTGAAAGACTCCATAATCCCCCGTATCCCCCGGCAGCACTACTGCTCGTACGGCCTGATCCCTCTGCCCTCTCCGTTCAGCTTCCTGTCCCAGGATTCCCCTCTCCCTTCCCCTACCGGGTCAAACTCCTACACGTTCCCCTCAGACGCAGGTAGCCGGCGAGCGCTTCTGCACACACACCACAACATCCTGCTGCAGACGCAGATGATGAGTGTGTGCAGAACTGATACAAGCATGTGTGTGCTGCTCATCTGCCCGGTGTCCTGGAGAACCGGTGCCTCTGTCTGTCTGTCTGTCTGTCTGTCTGTCTGTCTGTCTGTCTGTCTATCTATCTGTCTGTATGTCTGTGTGTGTGTGCGTGCGCGCGTGTGTGTGTGTGTGTGTGTGTGTGTGTGTGTGTGTATGTGTGTGTGTGTGTGTGTGTGTGTGTGTGTGTGTGTGTGTGTGTGTGTGTGTGTGTGTGTGTGTGTGTGTGTGTGTGTGTGTGTGTGTGTGTGTGTGTGTGTGTGTGTGTGTGTGTGTGTCTGTGTGTGTGTGTGTGTGTGTGTGTGTGTGGGTGGGTGTGCACGCATAACGGAGAGAGAGGGTGTGTAAACGTGATTGAGAGGGAGAGTGTGAGTGAGTGTGTGTGTGTGTGTGTGTGTGTTTGTGTGTGTGTGTGTGTGTGTCTGTGTGTGTGTGTGTGTGTGTGTGTGTGTGTGGGTGGGTGTGCACGCATAACGGAGAGAGAGGGTGTGTAAACGTGATTGAGAGGGAGAGTGTGAGTGAGTGTGTGTGTGTGTGTGTGTGTGTGTGTGTGTGTGTGTGTGTGTGTGTGTGTGTGTGTGTGTGTGTGTGTGTGTGTGGGTGTGTGTGCACGCATAACGGAGAGAGAGGGTGTGTAAACGTGATTGAGAGAGAGAGGGAGAGTGTGAGTGAGTGAGTGTGTGTGTGTGTGGGGGGGAGAGAGTGTGTTAGAAGTGTGTGTGAGAAGTCTGAACATGCAAGAGTGTGTTTGCATGCAAGCAAATATGTAGCATGTGTGAGAGTGTTTGCATGTGCCATAGAGTGTGTGTGCACGAGAGAGCGTGTGCACACGAGAGAGGGAATGTAAGTTTGTGTGCGTAAGAGAGAGAGTGTGTTAGAAGTGTGTGTGAGAAGTCTGAACATGCAAGAGTGTGTTTGCATGCAAGCATGTATGTGCGTGTGTGCGTGTGTGTGTGTGTGTGTGTGTGTGTGTGTGTGTGTGTGTGTGTGTGTGTGTGTGTGTGTGTGTGTGTGTGTGTGTGTGTGTGTGTGTGTGTGTGTGTGTGTGTGTGTGTGTGTGTGTGTGTGTGTGTGTGTGTGTGTGTGTGTAAGAGAAAGAGTGTGTTTTTTTGTGTAAGGGAGAGTATGTGCGAGAGTTAGAGTGTGTGAGCTTGCGTCTGCGTGAAAGAGTGTTTTAGGAGTGTGTGTGAGGGGTCTGGGTGTGCAAGAGTGTTTGCATGCATGAGTGTGTGTGAGAGTTTGTGTGAGTGTTTCTGTGTGAGATAGAGTGTGTGTATGTGAGTGTGTGTGAGAGAGAGTTTGTGTGCGCGTGAGAGAGAGTGTGTTAGGAGTGTGAGTGAGGAGTCTGCGCATGCGAGAGTGTGTTTGCATGCATAATTGTGCGTGCGTGCGTGCGTGCGTGCGTGCGTGCGTGTGTGAGAGAGAGAGAGAGAGTTTGTGTGTGTGAGAGTGTGTGCTTGTGCATGCCAGATAGTGTGTTAGGAGTGTGTTTGAGGAGTCTGTGTGTGCGAGAGTGTGTGTATGTCTGAGAGTGTGTGTGGTTCAACACAAGTGAGCTGAGACTGATCAGTACAGTGGAGTGTGTTGTGAGTTGCAGCAGCTCTTGTTGTGTAACTCTGTTCATCATCTGAATCTCTCTCATTTACACCTGACATTAACCTCCATCTGCTGATCATCAGTTTACTGCATTCCTGAAGGAAACTGTCTCTGATTAGTCCGGGATGCATTACATTGATCAAAACCCAACACTTTAAGTGATGTTGCAGATCATTTGTGTTCTAAACGGCACGTTCTGCTGAATTCATTACAGTACGCTTTGCTGTCAGAGAATCAAATTTATCAGGGTCTTTACAAAATGATGTACTATGATTATGATAATAAATGTGCCATGATCATCAGATCATCATATTATAAGGATTTCTGAAGGATCACAAAGCATCCAGCTTTACAGAACAAATGACGTTTTAAATATAATTCCAGTAATAAAAAAACATCATTACTAAAAAACTTTTACCCCTAATATTACGGTTTTATTGTATTTTTGATCAAATAAAGCATCCTTGGCGACATCAGTACCTATTGCAAACTTTGAATGGTAGTGTTTATTTAATTACAGCATCAACTATTATATCTTAATGAGTTTTAACAGGAACGCTCCCTAAACCAGGGGTTCTCAACTGGTTTGGCCATGGGACCCACATGTTTACATGGTCATCAAGCCGCGGCCCAAATTTTTAGGAATTTTAATACAACTTTAGGAGTTATACTTTATTTGTATTCATTTGTTAACATAAACATGTAGTGACAGATACATCATAAGAAATTCACCAAGACTTACAAATAAATAATGTTTTATTGCTGTAATTTAACAAAATGGATCAAATTATAGAAATATTACAAAGTAAAAACGACAAATACTGTTAATAATAAACTGTTAACAAAACATGTTTTCTCGTTTCTAAATGTCGTCTATATATATATATATATAAATATCCATACTTTACATATTGGGGGTCGTACTTGCGCTTCGACATATTTGTTGCAATAATTAAATGAAATTTCACGTCAAACGGTAGGGTTGTCACGCACGCATTTCAAAATAAGAGTCCGGTATAAGCAAAATAAGTACAAATTTTAACTTTTGTTGTTGTTTTTTTTCCACACAATCCGCGACCCACTAAAAAAAGTGTTCCTGCGACCCACTTTTGGGTCGTGACCCACCAGTTGAGAAACACTGCCCTAAACAACACTGAAAGCTTACCAGTTCTCATAATATATACTGTTTATCTGTATTATAGCCATTTATTTTTGTATACAGTATGTTTAATTACTCATTGTCGTGTTTTATTGACATATTGGGCTTTATTTTACGGTCCATGCGCAAAACGCAGGGCGCAAATGCTTTCAGGGCGTGTCAGGACGCCTTTTTGCTAATTTAAGGACGGGAAATCAGCCTTGCGCTTCGGTGCATGGTCTAAAAGGGTTGAGTTTATTTTCTTAATAAATAAATACTTTTGTTTGTTAAGCACAAATATTCGTTTCAAAACTGTTTCTAAATTCAGTTCTAATTTCCAGCAAACGAATAAATGAGCAATAATAACAAAATGTGCTCATAAACCTGAGTTATATCCTAAAACACATGCTGTGCCCCATATGGTCTAAAACCTGACAGGTGGACAAATCTAAGCTTGTTTTTAATAAAACAAATATAAATATGGATATAATAAATAATACTGCTAATAATAATAACTTTATACAAAAGCAAATTGTTATGAATGAACTGAAAAAGCCTCCCGAGATGAAGAAGACATAAAAGCAGTGATTTTTCATATTTATGTAGGCTAGAAAATAATATGTTTTGTAATATTTTAATCCTTTATATTTATATCCTATATCTATTCTTATTATATCCTATATATATCCTTAATATTTACATTTTTCATATGTAAAGATATTTGCCTATTGCTCTCTTGTGCATATTTAGCAGTGTGTAAGCGAGGCGCAACTCTGCGCCGGAGTTTAGACCGGGTTAGTTTTGGTCTAATGAAAAATCTATTATAGTTTCTCAAAATAGCAACGTGCCAGCGGTCCGCCTCAGAACGCCTTCCTTTTTAGACCAGATGGGCGCAAAAATGAGCGCTAATGCATTTGCTATTTAAACAGCGCAGCGCAGCGCAACGCCACTCTTGCACACAAAACCACTCTTGCGCCAAGCTGAAACTACCAAAAGACTACTGCACCACGCCTTGCGCCACACTGCGCTGGGTGTATGATAGGGCCCATTGTCTTGTTTTCAAAAAGTAATATGCCACAATTCAGCCAAATATTTGCCATTAATATGCTAAATTTTCCTAAAAACAAATCAAATAATCTTCCAATGGGGTCAGCAAAATAGTCAAAAGGAAAAGCAAGGTTATTTTGCTCACCCCTTCAGTAGATTATTTGACTTGTTTTAAGGAAAAACTTACTTCGTTTTGTCTCATTTCTGAAAACTAGACAATAATTTTGCTTGTCTAGAAAAAACTTCTTAATTTAAGAATGTCTCTACATTTAGACTAGAAACTAGACTAAATATCAAAGTAAGCAAAGTTTTATTTGCTGTGTGCTGTATTTATTATATTATAACAAAAAGGATGCATGTTTAATCCTGAGTGTAAATGCTGATCAGACGACTCTAACCTCTTCTCATGTTAATATCTGCATGTGTGTGTCTTTCTGTGTGTGTGGTGGGATGATGCGAGTTAAAGCTCAGCTCTTCACGGTTTCTTTAGTCCAGTCTGCATGATGTTCTCTGTGTGTTTCTCAGGTCGTAGACGCTTCACACTGGCCCAGTCGGACTCTCTGCTGACCCGCATGCGTTCTGTAGCCAGTGATGAGCTGACACAGATGATGCAGCGCAGGATGAGTCAAGAAAACCCCATCAGAGCCAGCGAGACCGAGCTCATCCAGAGAATGCAGAGACTGGTGGTTCTGGCTGTCAACAGACTCATTTATCAAGGTATAGGAAATCTGCCACAACATTACCATCAGGGTGCCAATTATAAGGGGGGTTTGGGGGGTCAAATTAACAAAGAACGTCAAAACAAGATGTATGGGTGGGTCAGCCCTTTAGTGAGAAATAATTTTCCCTGATCTGTATCTTACATAATAATATTATTAATGAAAATAATAGATAACTGCTGGGATGAGAATCAGCAACTCCATAGTGCTCAATCGGAAAAAGGGGGCTTGGAGGTTGGAGGAAAGTCCTTATCCCAGGTGGAGTTCAAGTATCTTGAGGTTTTTGTTTACGAGTGAGGAATGGATGGAGCAGGAGGTTGACAGACGGATTGGTGCAGCAGTAATGCGGTCGATGTACTGGTCTGTTGAGGTAAAGAAGGAGCTGAGCTGAAATGCAGAGCTCTCGATTTACTGGTCAATCTACATTCCTACTCTCACCTATGGTCCTGAGCTTTGGGTCATCACCGAAAGGACAAGATCTCTGATACAAGCAGCAGAAATAAGTCTCCTTCACAGGGTGGCAGGCAGCCTTTATGTATAGAGTGAGGAGCTCTGACACCCGGGAGGAGCTCGGAGTAAAGCAGCTGCTCCTCCACATCCAGAGAAGTCAGCTGAGGTGGCTCGGCATCTGTTAGATGCCTACCTAGCGGGCATGTCCCACTGACAGGAGGCCTCGGGGAAGGCCCAGAACACTGGTGGGAACACTGTCTCTCAGCTGGCCTGGGAACGCCTCGGGATCCCTCCAGAGGAGCTTGAGGAAGTGTTTGGGTAGAGGGAAGTTTGTGGTTCCCTCCTAAGACTGCTGCCCCTCAACCCGGCCCCAGAAAAGTGGATGAAAATGACATGAATGAATAGCCGATGACATAATTGTAGATTTGACCACCCCTACAATGATTCATAACATTGTCAATGCATAATCACGCCAATCAGCCTATGTGGGAATAAACCATTCACAGTCTGAAACCGACAGATGTAGAGCGCCGATGGAAAATATTCACAAGACACTTTTCTTGTAAAATAGATGTTTGTTTCTGCACAGAGCTGAAAAGTAAAGTCAAGTGAGATAGATAATATAGTTTGATCCACAGTGTGCTCTGACAAAGCTAATCAGATGTTATTGTAGATCAGAATACACTATATATCCCTCAATACATAAATACACTTTATTATTAAAGGAACTTCATTCACTGAAGCATGTTTTACACAATCTAACATTACAGAATAGTTGACCCTCCCGATTGTTATTGTATAATTCACACCCTTATTATCAACCACATTAATACAGCCTACTATAATATCATGGTACTACCATGTTACACACTGGCTTTTCTGGTTTCTACTCCTAATTTCTTTTTAAATCAAGAAGCTTTTTCTAGACAATAAGATAAGTTGTCTTGTTTTCAGAAATAATAAGAAAATAGTTCCTTTAATACAAGCTAAATAATCTGCCAATGCATTTATTTCAAAGCAAACAAGATTATTTTGCTCACCCCATTGGCAGATTCTTTTGCTTAATATTTCTTAAAACAAGACAAAAATTTTTATTACTTGTCTGGAAAATGCATCTTGATTTAATAATGTTTTAGATATTTGGACTAGAGCAAGGCTGTCATTTTTCAGTTTTTGTGTATAAATTGTCTTATGAGTAAATACAACAATATTCACCAAGTTAAATATAGTATTTACATTAATAACCATGAAATGAAATGCATTTTGTAACTTTAAATAAACTTAATTTTAACTGAAATAATTGAAAATACATAGAAAACTTTAAGAAAATGTAAATATTTAGGAAAATGACATAATTCTCAATTTTATTTAGTTTATTTTTTCAGCTTATGTGCTAAAAAGGGTGAAAATACTATTAGTTTTACCATTTAAAAAATAAATAAATGACAAAAATGATGTGCAAAATTACATATAGTTTCAAATATTTCTCAAATGATATTTAACAGAGCAAGGACATTTTTCCGCAATATTTCCAATTATATTTTTTCTCCTTGACAGCAGTTTATAAATTTTTTTTTTTGTAATTTGATAACTTTTTAAAATAATTTTCAGGTCAATATTATTCTTAGATTTAATTTAATTATTATTATTTTTCTGGATTAGCTGGAGAACAAACCGCTGTTGTTCAATAACTTGCCCAGTTCATCTAATTATGCTAATTAAACCTTTAAATGTCATTTAAATACTAGAATCTTGCTGAACTATTTGTACACTTTTATATACTGTCTTTATGGCAAAGATTAAAAATAATGAGGAACTGTTTAAAAAACTGTTGAAAAATCTTCTCTCTGTTAAAAATCACTCTAGAATTATTTGAAAAGAAATTAAATCACATATAGTAGGGCAGATAATTTTGACTATAAACCATAAATTTAACTGAAGAATGTTAAATACTGCCTTGAGATTTTACACAAATTCACATGACTTGAAGATGAAACATCCGTACTATTCCAAGAAGCACTAACATCTCCATCTTAATGCTGCGGTTTTATTTTCCAGACATCAGCCATGATTTCTTTGACCTGCTGAACTTCCCTGAGTCTCCTGATCACTCGATGTCCATGCCAACAGCAGGAGATCAGACATCTGATGAGAACGGCTCCACTCCGTCTACCCCGATCCCAGCCGGAAACATCAAGAGCTTCCGGAAGGACATTCTCAGACTGATGATGGAGGGCATAAAGATCGGCCTGGTTAGTCACTCTTATTTGTCAGTGTTTAGGCATGGGCTGGTATAGGATAATCATGGATAAACATATCATGGTATTGTGATCACTGCTATTTAATATAGTCTTTTTTTAAATGTCTGGGTAAAAACAACAACTTTCATCCATCAATGACCACAAAGTATATTTTATTTTAAGAAACATGTCAGATATTTTGGAGCAGTAAACATGTCAGGCTAAATAATTAAAATAATTATTGACTTCTGCTGTCTTGATTAGCGTCAAAAGCACGGGTTTCTTTACAGCTTGTAAAGGCATTTTTGCAGATGATTGGGATCTGTCTTTTCTTTGGACACTGCACTGTTCGATCCAGAGCAGGCTTGGATGTTGGTGGATAAGCCATTTGTTACTTGGTTGTTTGCTGAATCGTGAGCTGACCGGTAGCTTTAGGTTTGAAGGCTCCTTTTGTGCTGGAGATACTGCTGCCCTAAAAAACCTAAAGAAATTTGTCATAAAATACACATAAAAAACCCAGACTGTTGCCAAACAACTGTTTAAACCTCTTGTAAAAGTGATTTTTGTATAATAGGTCCCCTTTAACCAATCAAAAATTAAACTGAATGATCATATCATGTTTTTTAATGTGAAGTTTTGTCATTTGTATCTATTTTGTATGATTCTTATTAAAATATGAAGTTGTTATTGAAGTTATTATTATGTGATATGTTTTATCTATATTGATCTCGCCATGAAATAGCCATGAGTTGCCAATATATAAATAAACAAGCAAGCAAAGAAACAAACAGCAGTGCATTGATGCGTCTATATGCTGGTGTGTTTTCTCAGGGCAACACTGGTCGTGGCGGCGCTCCTCGTCAGCAGTGGCGGCGAATCCTCTGGTCCTGCCGAGACACGTTCAGAGTGCAGATCGGCCGCATGCTGGTGCACACCCTCAGTCCTGAACTTCCTCTGGAGGACAGGAAGGAGGCGCTAGAGTTCGTCCATGAGCAGAACTACTCAGAGATCCTCAGAGAAAGCCTCAGCCCTGGCCTCGAGGTCAGACACACACACACACACACACACACACAAATGGCTTTTTTGTTTTTACACGCTGAGCGGAGACACCGTGACATTTTGCTTTGCTTATTTGCTGACACTTATCAGATTTGTGTTTCCAATCAAAGGACAGCATACATGCACGCTTCCTCTGTTGGGAGGAAGACGACTGTGACATTTCGCTGGGCTTGTTTTGCCTCTGTAAATAAAGCAGAGAAGCATCTTGACGATACTGTTTCCATAGCAGCAGTGCTCTCTGTTTCACTGCTGCTCTCTCCATTATACTCCACGCTGACAATAAAAAGATCATTAACCCTCAGAGACGCACTGTAGAGACGTGTGCACTAAACAATCCGCTGCTAATTCTCAGTAAATGTGGATAAACACTGCCTGAAACACCGTTTCAGAGGGAAAAGAGAACATTAATTGACTCCTCTTGCAGTTTGTTGAAATGGCAGCGCTTTCGGAACAAAAACTCTTCCTTAAAGTATTTGACATCTAATTTCATTTATTACATTTTATTTCTGCATGTTTTGGGATAGTTTCCCAGTACTGGATTGCAGCTAGAAGGGCATCCGCTGTGTAAAACATATGCCGGCAGTTCATTTCTCTGTGGCGAGCCCTGATAAATAAAGGGACTAAGGCGAAGGAAAATAAATGAGTGAGTGAATTGGGATAGGATTTTTTTTTCAGAAATGCAGTGCTGGATATTAAGGCTGACTTTCATTCATTCATTCATTAATTTTCGGCTTAGTCCCTGAATGAACCGCCAACTTATCCGGCATATGTTTACGCAGCGGATGCCCTTCCAGCCACAACCCATCACTGGGAAATCCTAACACACTCATTCACACACACACATACACTATGGACAATTTAGACTACCCAATTCACCTGTACCGCATGTCTTCGGACTGAGGGGAAACCGGAGCACCCGGAGGAAACCCACGCGAATGCAGGGAGACTATGCAAACTCCACACAGCAATGCCAACTGACCCAGCCGAGGCTCAAACCAGCAACCTTCTTGTTGTGAGGTGACAGCACTACCTACTGCGTCACTGCGTTGCCCTGATATAGAACATATACAGTGAATTTTGCAGAGAATTATCGCATTGTCAGTTTTTCCAATATCGTGCAGCCCTAACTGTACTGGATTTCTTTCTGTATCTGCAAACGTAAAAGAATTTGCAGTGATTTTCAAAATTCCTAAATGCAAATGTTTACTTGATGAAGTTTTTTATTACCAATCTCTCTTTTTTGTTATTGTTTTTTGATCACAACTACAATATGCTTTGTCAAAAAAAAAAAAAGATTCAGATCATCAGGATTTTTTCTGGCCCAATATAAGGAATCCGTATCCTGAAAATTAAACATTTGCTACAGGAAACAAACATGTTTTGTATAATTCTTGTAATCTTACCAAGTAAAACATTATCGAGATATAAGTATCTAGGAGTGCACATAGATAAGTCTCTTACATGGGACACAAATTGGATCTGTGAAGCTCTGCAGAGGAGAAATGGTCGTGCCCAGCTGAGCCTGCTTTCTCTCAAGGTTTTTTAATTCTCCACTTTCGCCAATTGGTGATGTTTGTTATTCCGCTGTGGTTCGGGATCTGTAGAGCTGCGCATCGATGGATTTGCTCTTCAGTGTTTGAACTCTCAGTAGTGATTACCACACTGAACTGAATTAAACTGAACTTCTACACTGAAAACTGAACTACACTGTTTCAATTTACTATAATCTTCTATGTGAAGCTGCTTTGACACAATCTACATTGTAAAAGCACTACAGAAAGAAAGCTGAATTGAATTGAAAAACTCCATCAACGGCTTTATTTTTTTGCTTAGATTATGGTTTTATGGTGTTGATAAGAATTGTTTTTATCTTTTTTATCAGTCTGTATTTGAGAGTGTCATCAGGTATGGTTTATCCTCATGGTGTGGAAATCCTTCTGCAAATTTGAAATCAAAACTTATAGGACTAACAACCTTAAGCAGCACTCAGACTCTGTACAAGCTTTGAACTTTGAATGAAGCGAAAAGCTTTCTGAGCGATCTTTCTCATGTACTCTTCCCATGTTATAATCTCTTACTCTCCGGTAGAAGATACAGAATCCCTCGATGCAAGCGGAATAGGCTCAAAGACTCAGTGTCAATCAGAACACTAATCAGTAATGCCAAAGTCTCTTTAAGGCAAGTCATTTCACTCGGCGGCCATCTTTGAAACACCTCTCGGGCAGTATGCTTGGGCATTCTGTTTGAATGAGAAAACATCAAATTCTCCAAAACTGCTTGCCAACCTTACGATTAAATTCCATATTACAAATAACCAATAAAATTAAACAACGACTGTCTATTTAGGTTCATTTCTAAATATTCGTATCGCTCAAAATTTGCAGAAAGTCACGTCTGGTGTGAGCCCCTCTCCCGGAGAGTTGTTTTTCTAAAGCATTCTGGTGCTCTGATTGGCTCCTGTATTAGAAGGCAGACTTTATTCGCCATATAGCGATCACTGATTGGCTCCTGTACTAGAAGGCGGGGCTTCATTCACCATATTGAATGTTACACTTTTCCCCATTCAAAAATATACGAGTGACGTGTTTGTGCATGTTTTTAATTCTGTTCTCTATCAGGCTATGCTGAAATACTCATGAGTCCACAAAAAATAAAGACAAAGTATAAAAACAAAAATTTTATTTAAATAGGTTAACATTAAATGTAATGAAATACATGAGCAGTGCTTGAGCATCAGTTGAGGACTGTCGATATCCGTGACTGTCTGCAAAATTTAATGTAGGTGACCGTCTCGTAATTCTCTATGCAGGAAAACCCCTGCCTATTATAATAGCACGTATTACAATTCCTCAGGGGAAAGCTTCTGCTAATGATTGGTGTTTGTGTTGTGTTTGTTAATAGCATGGGCCCAAGCTGGCTCTGTATCTGTACGAGCTGCTGCACGATCACAAAGACGCCCTGAGTAGAGAAGAGCAGGCGGCAGGAAACACCTTCATGACGGCTCTGAAACTCTGCGGACACCGCTGCATCCCACCCAGCGCTCCAGCCAAACCTGACCTCCTGAAAGCCATCAAAGAGGTGCCAGATCCAAACACACACCACCACCAGCTTTTTAACATTAGCCCTGTTTGAATCTGCCACTATGCTGACACACAGGCATTTGTAGCTCCGCCCTCTTTTGAAAAAGAGCACAATCTCATTTGCATTTAAAGCGACAGTCACCAAAACACCACAATTAGGATCAAAGCCCAAAAGGGTCAGTTTCAGAGAGTTGGACAAGATTATTTGTGTGGTATTTTGAGCTGAAACTGCTCACACACACACACACACTCTCTAGATATCTTGTCATAATACAGTCCCCTTTAATGTTCAACTAAAGCTGTTGTACTCTTCTTAAAGGAGCAACTGAAGTATGAATCAGAGGCAAGAACCAGCAAAGGAGCCTGGGAAAAGAAGCTGTCCAACACACAGAGGAGGTGAGCAGACTGTCAGAATGAAACCCAAACATGCACACACACACACACTGGGTTATTTTCCTGAGCTCTCCTGTTCTGTGCTTCAGCCTGTTGCAGAGGCTGGACGGCAAGTCGAAGGACATCTCAAAGATTGCGGCGGACATCACTCAGAACGTGTCTCTCAGGCAGGGCATGGAGAGGAAGAAGGTCATGCAGCACATCAGAGGCCTGTATAAGACTGACCTGAGCGCTAGTAGACACTGGCAGGAGCTCGTCCAGCAGCTCACACACGACCGGTCAGTACAGCTTACAGCAGCACTATGGACTCTTTACATTTGTGTGGGTGGTTTTTTTAGAAGTCGTCATAGTTGGTCAACTTAAAGCGCAGTGAATTGGAGACACAATTGGAGTACAATCCTACTAGCTGAAATAATGACAGAAAAACTCCACGATGGTGTTATCAAGAATTTTAAAACAAGGAAAAAGAAAACGGCAGCCAGAAGAGAGAATAATGTCACAGCCTGTAGTAAAGGAGGGTTCGGGTGGTTTGAAACCCCTGACAAAGGTCCAGAATTTGTCTCATACATGAGCTCATTTGCCCTATTTTGACTGCTATTTCATCTTCATTAGTGAAAATAACTCATCAATAAAGGCTTTAAGACCAAGTGGGATCCTCTGTTGGCTGTCGTGACTTCAGCTAATCGGTTTTGGCCAATGCTAACAATTATTTTTCATGAGTACAACATCCAGCTGCTTGAAAACACATAATCTGACATAATTGAAGTCATCTTTCACTACTGTAATGTTTTTAAATAGAGAAAACATTTAACAAGTAACTTTTATTGTAAATCTTGGATCTTGTTGTTCTTGAAACAAAAAAACAAACAAAAAATTGACCAATAAAATATGTGAAACACCAAAACTGGCCCGTATTAAAATGAATTTGAAGACGATTATGGCTTTTGTTGTTATCCATGAATATTCAATGTACTTTTTTACAGCAGAGGCTAGAAAAATTGTGAAGCTCGACATTATTATTATTATTATCATTATTATTATTGTTATTATTATTATTGTTACTATTTTTATTATTATTGTTATTATTATTATTATTATTATTGTTATTATTGTTATTATTATTATTGTTGTTATTATGATGATTATTATTATTATTATTATTATTATTGTTATTATTATTATTATTGTTACTATTTTTATTATTATTGTTATTATTATTATTATTATTGTTATTATTATTATTATTATTGTTACTATTTTTATTATTATTGTTATTGTTATTATTATTATTGTTATTATTGTTATTATTATTATTATTGTTGTTATTATGATTATTATTATTATTATTATTATTATTATTATTTTGAGTTAGATTTTTTTATCATTCAAATGGCCAAATTCAGACTGAAGAAAAGTTGAATGTACTGGCCAGTTTGTTATTTACCCCAATAAATGACAATAGGTTTTCAATAAGCCACAATTTTTAATTTAAAACATTTAACAGATTCTTATTTTTTGTTTTGATATATGATGTAATTCATTTGTATTTTAAAATCCTTTCATTTTAAAGTAATTTTAAATTCCATATGTCTTTATTGTAAATCTTTAGGAAAAGTGTTGGTACATTAAAAGGTGTGGTTACGATGACCATCCGACAAGGTATTTAAACAGAAAAGTGCTTAATGTCATTAAAATGCAGCATTTAAATCTCATAATTAAATAGAAACAAGGCGTATAACTGCAAAAAGGTCCTGTGTCTGATTTTCTGTGCTGTCCACTTAGACACGGCATTACAAACACCTCACACAACCGGTAATTTATTATTATTATTATTATTTTGTAATTTTAATGCAAAAATTATATAATACGTATGTAAATACAGATAAATGTTCATATGTTTTAAAAAAAAAAAAATCAAATATCAAAATATCAAAAACTTTCAAGTGTTCAAGATGCAGATGACCATTAAACGCATCATAAGAGTGTTGTGAAAAGGGTGCATTAGACTTCTGCTTCTGAATTTCAGACATCTGGGTTCAAGGCCTGGACACTACTTAAAAACTACCACAGACCCTTGAAAGTGCATGAATTAAATTTGAAATGAAATTCGTTTATGATGTTATTTTAACAATTGTATTTATTGTGTTGTGTTGTATTTCAGTTAGCTCGTCAGCAACTGTTAGTTTTAGTTTTTCATTATTGTGAATTTTTTAATTTATTTTTTCTGTTAGCGAAAATTATTTTGATCAATAGTTTTAGTTTTTTTCAGTTAATAAAGTTTCTTGCAAACCCATCTGATGTGCTGTCTTTCTCACTGAACAGGGCGGTGTGGTACGATCAGTCCTCTTATCCCACTTCCTGGCAGCTGGACCCCACCGAGGGCCCGAACCGAGAGCGGAGACGCCTCCAGCGCTGCTACCTGACCATCCCCAACAAATATCTGCTCAAAGACCGTCGCAAACTAGACGGTGCGTATCTGCCACTCTGAATGAGCTGAAAAATAACAACACATTTTTATAGCAGCAGCAGCAGCTCATTTTATTCTGCTTTTCTAGATTAACTGGATTTTTTTTTTTTTTTTTTTTTTTTTGTATTTCTATGCTGCAGTGTTTGTTTGGTTTGGTTTTGCTTTGTCTTATTGTTTTGTTTTGTTTTTTGTTTGTTTGTTTTTTTTTTGTTATGTTTTTGTTTGGTTTGGTTTTGTCCTCGTTTTGTTTTTTGTTTTTATTTGTAAATAAGAAGGAGTAGAAAATCAAGCAAACAATTAGAAACTTAAGTGGTGTCCCATTTCATAGGAGTAAATTTTGAAGCCCTTCCCCTTCACGCTCGGTTTTAAGGACCATGGGGAGGGGATATGGGTACAAAAATAGAATTAGGATTGAGCCTAAATAAATGTGCAGTAATTAAAGTTAATAAATAAATTACCCAATAATGTGCAGTATAATAATGAGCTAATATAAAAGTAAAATCTACAAATATGTAGATTTGAAAGTAAATAATTGAAGTCAGAATTATTCGCCCCCTTTGAATTTTTTTTTTCTTTTTTAAATATTTCCCAAATTATGTTTAATAGAGCAGGGAAATTTTCACAGTATGTCTGATAATATTTTTTCCTCTGGGGAAAGTCTTATTTGTTTGATTTCTGCTAGAATAAAAGCAGTTTTTTAATTTTTTTAAAATCATTTTAGGGATAAAATTATTAGCCCCTTTAAGCTAACTTTTTTTTCGATAGTCTACAGAACAAACCATTATTATACAATAACTTGCCCAATTACCCTAACCTGCCTAGTTAACCTAATTAACCTAGTTAAGCCTTTAAATGTCACTTTAAGCTGTATAGAAGTGTCTTGAAGAATATCCAGTAAAATATTATTTACTGTCATCATGGCAAAGATAAAATAAATCAGCTATTATAAATGAGTTATTAAAACTATTATGTTCAGAAATGTGTTGAAAAAATCTGCTCTCCATTAAACAGAAATTGGGGAAAAAAAATAAACAGAGGTGCTAATAATTCAACTGTAAATTAATAGAAAAGTAAGGTTACAAAAAGGAAAGTGTGTAAATAGGCAAGTAAATAATCAACTTGAATAAATTACACTTTTTCATAATTGTAATTTTTTTTTTTTTTTTGAGATGACCAGATAAGAAGAAAGAATAATATAATGACATGAAATACATTGACTTATCACAATAGTATATGACTATGTAAATCACACAGTAACTTGATTTTCTGATACCATCACTTTACCATGGTTCCCCTTTAGGTGATTTGTCAAAATGAAGAAACGTTGATTAGGTGTAATTAATGCTTCTTGATTGCAATGAGCTTTTGATTGTGATTTTATTTTGACAGATTCCATTAAGGCTCCTCTGGCCTTCCTGTTTGAGGACAAGACTCACTCCTCTTCATCTATAGTGAAGGATAAAGCCACCAGTGAGCCCATCAGGTGCTCACAAAACATTATTCAAAGTACAGAAACAATATCAGATATGTCTAACTTCTGGAATTAATCAAAAACATATCTTCTATTTACTTAGGTTCACAAGAAGGTGCGTAAGTGTGGCTCCCTCCAGAGAGACAGCAGGGGAGCTCTTACTGGGTAAGATGGAAAAACCAAAGTCTGAACCCGACTCTTGTGTTGTCTTCGTGACCAATAACCTGATCTGTTTTGGTTATGGCTCTGCAGGAAAATCTGGGATGTATTTTGTGGAGGAAAATGTTCCTGAGACTCACGATAACCAGGTAATTTCTTTGAGTTTGGTTATGACAGCCTCATCTATTGTGTTATAACCAGAATATATTTATAATATGCTATTATATATATTACTTTGATATTCTGATATATAATAATATCAGGGTGTCTGCTGGGTCTTAAAACGTCTTAAATTTCAAAAACTATTTTTTTAGGCCTTAAAAAGTCTTAAATTGACTGAAATATTGTGTTGTAGGTCTTATATCATTTTAAACGGGTCAGCCCGATTGAGTAGCTTTACTTGGAAAAAGCTAAATTATGACATATGTCCAACCACCACCAATGCATCTTAATAAAATCTTACTTTTTATATTTGTATATATTATTTATTACAATTGACAACAGCAGTTAGACATTTTTACAGAAAATTCCCCTTTAAATTGCATATTCAGTGGAGGAAAACTAAAAATCATTATATTATTCCTAATACTGCGTCATTTTTAGTGTTAAATACGTCTAAAATTTCATTCTTAACGGTCTTAAAAGGGTCTTGGAAAATCTTCAATTTGACTTGATGAAACCTGCAGAAACCGTGAATTTGCTTTTTGGGTGTAGATTACAGACTTTCGCAAATTGATTTTAAGACCTGAAGGAAGTTCAGAAGTGTGTAACAAAGAGTAAAAACTTTAGAAAATATGATTGATTTCTTTTGGGTTATTAACTAATGTTTGATTCAATTCCCTTATCTGAGAAATGATACAGGGGGTAATTTGACGTTTCAGCTGATGAGCTAAGAGCCGACTTGATTTGTCACCATATTCATAGTAGAGACCCTGTGCTTTATTGATGGATTGATTGATTGATACTGTATTTTGTTATCAAGTACAAATTAAAACTCAAAACTAACCATGTTGATGTTGTTAGCTCGCATTCCTTTGCGCTGAACAATTCATCTGTGCACGTCATTAAGACAAATAAAGTAGTTTGACGTTGTCATTTATAATAGAAATCTGACAATGCACTTCCTGTTTGTTTTCAGTTAAACTCTCAGATTAGATCTTTCTGAGGTAGTAGGCGTGGCTAACATACTTAACCACGCCCCTCCAGCTGTCAGTTTTGGCAACAAACAGAAATGGTGATCGGGAGACGTCTGTTCGGTTGTAATAACTTTCTGAATGAAACACCTACTTAACTACATCCAATCAGTTCGCTGTAGAAAAAAGCCACGCCCACTGTTTTCTCATCTAATATTCAGTTTAAATAATAAATAAAAAAAATGGATGCAGCTTCCGCTTCATGTGGACTTTAAGAATCATTAAACTGTAAATCGGTAATAATGTGTTTTTCCCCTCAGAGTCCTCATGGAGAGACGGAGCCGGCCTCTTTCTCCTGGACGTATGAGGAGATAAAGGAGGTTCACAAGCGCTGGTGGCAGCTCAGAGACAACGCCATGGAGATCTTCCTGACCAATGGAAGGACACTGCTGCTGGCCTTTGACAACACAAAGGTAAAAACAGCGCATGAGCTTCAGCTGTGGAGCCACACTGGGCTTGTGGGTTTTCTGCTGATCAGAAAGCCCACACAAAATCAACACAAAACCTATGAAAATGTCTTTAAATACAGTTGAAGTCAAAATGTGTCGCCCTCCTGTAATGTTTTTATTTATTTATTTATTTTTATATTTTCCAATTTATGTTTAACAGATTTAGAAATTTTTCAGTGTTTCCTGTCATATTTTTTCTTCTGGAGAAAGTCTTATTTGTTTTATTCCGGCTAGAATTAAAGCAGTTTTAATATTAAAATATTTTAAGGTCAATATTATTTGTCCCCTTTAGCAATATTTTTTTTAATTGTCTTTGAAAAAAACACTGTTGTCTAGTTATTTGCCTAATCAACCTAGTTACGCCTTTAAATGTCACTTCAAGCTGAATACTAGAATCTTGAGGAATATCTAGTCAAATATTATTTACTGTCACCATGACAGAAATAAAAGAAAACTTTATAACTACACACTATGAACCATTTATTAAGCATTAGCAAATAGGGAATTAATTATCTGTTAAGCATTAACTCTACATTAATAAATGTTAGTAAGCGGTTTATAACTGCTGTATTCTTGACTTATAACCACATTTATAATGTGCTTAATAATTGTTCAATCATACTTTGTTAATGATTTATTTTTCTTTACTAAATTAAGTATTGCATTATTTACAAACCAGTTATTTAAGCATCGTTAGTTTTTTTAAATCATTCAGAATGAGTTAGTAAATGATTTATAAACTATTCAAATTAACGTTTATATCTCTTATTATTCAGGCATATACTAATAGTTAATTTGTATGTTAAGAAATGCTTTATTAACTCAACTTGATCTAGTTTTGTGACCTAATCTAAAGTGAGGACTATTCATGCTTTTTAAATCCCTTATAAATGACAATTAAAGGCTCAGTTAAATTCTAAACAGGGAAAAATGACATAAATGACTTTATTCAATCCTATTCGTTTAAAGATATGCAAATGAAACTGTACTTCAAATGAAAAATAAATCTTTGCAAACTTTTCTGAAATAAAATTACTGTACAGTTTAAACATTGCTCCTTATTGTATTGTTAAATGATTATATTGATGTTGTTTAATCCAGTTTTATGTTGTATTTTGACACCTGTTATTGGCAATGTTTGAACTTTACAGTAATTTTATTTTTTAGATAAGATTGCAAATATTATTGTTAATTTGATACTGAGCCTTTAATTGTCATTTATAAGGGATTTATAAAGCATCAATAGTCCTCACTTTAGATTAGGTCACAAAACTGCATGAAGTTGAGTTAATAAAGTATTCATTAACATATATAGTAACCATTAATATATGCCTGAATAATATGATATATAAGCGTTGATTTCAATAGTTTATTAATCATTTACTAACTCATTCTGAAAAATCTTAATAACCACCAACTACTCTTGAATACAAATGGTTTGTAAAAATTGCAATACTTCATTTAGTAATGAAAAATAAATCATTAGCAAAGTATGAAAATACTATTATTAAGGACATTATAAGTGTGGCTGGAAGTCAAGAGTACAGCATTTGTAGCTGCAGTTATAAACTGCTTATTATTAATGTAGTTAAAACCCAACAGATAATGGATTCACTAGAAGCTAATGCGTAGTAAATGATTGATAGTGTGTAGTTATTATAAAGTGTTCCCAAATTTTCTCTCAGGAAATATTTTTTAAAAAGAATAAAACATTCCAAAGAAATGTTGTCTTCAGCTATTTATTTTTATTTTATATTTGATGTATGTTTTTATCTCCTGCACTCTCTAAAGCATTACACATAAATCTGCAGATTTTATAATCATTTTTTGTTACAAAATTCTGCACAGAAATAGCAAAATAAAAAAGTCCCAGGATTTGGTACATTTATAAATGAAAAAAAAATCTTCCCTTTTAGTTTCGTGATGACGTCTACCACAACATCCTGACCTCAGATCTGCCCAACCTGCTGGAGTATGGAAACATCAGCGCCCTCACGCACCTCTGGAGCTCAGGACAGATCACCAACTTTGAGTACCTGACGCATCTCAACAAGCACGCGGGACGCTCCTTCAATGACCTCATGCAGTATCCCGTCTTCCCCTTCATCCTCAAAGATTACACCAATGAGACGCTCGACCTGCAGGAGGCCTCTATTTACAGGTCACCCAATCAGCATGATTCCTGATGAGTTTTAAAACAGCCTGATGTGTCAGATGGTTGCTTTAAAGAGACAGTTCACCCAAAATGGACAGTTCTGTCATCATTTCTTCATCCTGTTTGAGTTTCTTTCTTCTGTTCAACACAAAGGAAGAGATATAAAGAATGCTGGAATGCCTACTATGGGCTGCTTTTATCCAACATTCTTCAAGATTGCAAGCACTTGAGTGTGGTTAAATGGAGAGGAAATGTTCATTTTTGGGTGAATTATATTTTACATGCATACTAATAAATAATAGTAACTTTGTTGAAGAAATTAGACTTGTCATTAAGGTTTCTTTATGAATGGAAAATTTAAAAATCTGCATTTATTATGTTTATATTTATTTAGTTTGTTTAATTTATCATGTCTTTACTGTCACTTTTGATCAATTTAATTTATCATGCTTAGACTTTTTAATAGCAGCAGATCAGATTTTCAACTAAAAATGAAGCAGCTAACTCTTTTTAACATTGGCAATTTAACTCACAGGCCACTTTATTAGGTACACCTTACTAGTACCGGGTTCGACCTCCTTTTGCCTTCAGATCTGCCTTAATCCTTTGTGGCATAGATTCAACAAGCTACTGGAAATATTCCTCAGAGATTTTTCTCCATATTGACATGAATACATCATACAGCTGCTGCAGATTTGTCGGCTGCACATCCATGATGCCAATCTCCCATTCCACCACATCCCAAAAGTGCTCTATTGGATTGAGCTCTGGTGACTGTGGAGGCCATTTGAGTACAGTGAACACATCGTCATGTTCAAGAAACCAGTCTGAGATGATTGAGCTTTATGACATGGTGTGTTATCATGCTGGAAGGAGCCATCAGAAGATGGAGACACTGTGCTCATAAAGGGATGGACATGGTCAGCAACAATACTCAGGTAGGCTGTGACGTTGACACGATGCTCAATTGATACTAATGAGCCCAAAGTGTGCAAGAAAATCTCCCCCACACCATTACACCACCACCACCAGCCTGAACCGCTGATACAAGGCAGGAAGGATCCATGCTTTAATGTTGTTGATGCCAAATTCTGACCCGACCATCTGAATGTGGCAGCAGAAATGGAGACTCATCAGAGCAGGCAACGTTTTTGGTGAGCCTGTACGAACTGTAGCTTCAGTTTCCTGTTCTTAGCTGACAGGAGCGGCACCCGGTGTGGTCTTCTGCTGCTGTAGCCCATCCGCCTCAAGGTTGGACGTGTTGTGTGTTCAGAGATGCTCTTCTGCAGACCTCAGTTGTAGCGAGTGCTTATTTGAGGTACTGTTGCCTTTCTATCAGCTGGAACCAGTCTGGCCATTCTTCTCTGACCTCTGGCATCAACAAGGCATTTGTGCTCACTGGATATTTTCACTTTTTCAGACCATTCTCTGTAAACCCTAGAGATGGTTGTGCTTGAAAATCCCAGTAGATCAGCAGTTTCTGAAATACTCAGACCAGCCCGTCTGGCACCAACAACCATGCCACGTTCAAAGTCACTTAAATCCCCTTTCTTCCCCATTCTGATGCTCACTTTGAACTGCATCAGATCGTCTTGACCATGCCTACATGCCTAAATGCATTGAGCTGCTGCCATGGCTAATTAGAAATTTGTGTTAACGAGCAGTTGGACAGGTGTACCTAATAAAGTGGCCGGTGAGTGTAAGTGAAATGTTTCTTGATTATCAGATCATCATATACTGATTTCTGAAGGGTCCTATGAGATTGATAACAGAGGGAATAAATTACTTTACATTTATAAAAAAAAATACATTTAAAATGGATTCCCATAGAATTTTCATTTCCCATTTATTTTTATGTCATATTATTTCTATAATATTTCACAATTATAATGTTGTATCAAATGCAGATTTGGCGAACTGAAGAGACTTAAGTACCACTTTAGTTAAGGTCAACGCTCATGCTATTTACTATTGGTTATTACCTGCCTATTAATAAGATATTAACTGCTCTTTAGTAGTTAGCAAGTATAATCTCAATCTGCAACTCTAATCCTAAACCCAAGTTCAGCCTGACTAACTAGTCGGGTTAAACTAGTAGTGTTAGTTATTGGTTTGTTAATATTGTGAATTGTGAGCTTCATTAAAGTGTTACAGAAACTTCTTAGCATATTTTTACTCTGTAGTGTATGTAAAATAAACTGAAGATGCTCTCTTTGTGTTTTTGTTGTAACAGGAACCTCAGCAAGCCCATTGCAGTGCAGTCTAAAGAGAAGGAAGACCGTTATGTGGACAATTACAGGGTACTGCAGCTCTGCGGGCTCTAATTCCTGTTTACACCCCTGCCTGTTAACCAATCACACTGTGGCTCTGTTCCAAAGCCTGCAGAACTGCCTACATAGGCAGCATTTGTAGGCTTCATAGACACAAACCCAAAAGAAAGGTCCCCTCTAGAAGATCATTTTTTACCAGCGATTTCATATAAAGAATGGTAGATTTTTTGGGTCATTAGAGAAAAATGTTTTCAAGTTATTTTTAGTTACTCTTTAGTTTAAGTAACAACTCACGCCATTTACTACTGCCTCATTACCTGTCTGTTATTCAGATATGAACTGTTTATTAGCTCTTATAAATTATGATTTTATTTTATATCTCCAATCCGACCCAATAACTAAACACAACTACTAGCTTACTAACTATTAATAATCAGCTAATTAATAGTTTATTAAGCTAAAAGTCTTGGTTAATGGTGTGTTAATAGTGTGAATTGTATATTAAAATACAGCGTGACCATTTTTTTATTGATGCATTATTTTCTGAACAAAAAAGTAACAGGCAGCTGACTCTAACTAAAATATAATTTAGTGTAACAATTGATTATATGTTTAATAACTCCTGTCAGGTGTATTTAGAACAAGAATAATGTGATGACATACTCTATGACTCGGTTAAAGGTGTAATGATAACAATAATCATTATTAGTAAATTCTAATATTAGTCAGTTATCATCTGATATGTTTATATCTTGCCATTATTTTTTCATATATATATATATATATATATATATATATATATATAAATTTCAGTAATATTATTGAATAATAGGCAAATGATTATATGATATATGTACAATACAGTTTTGTAAAGTAATATTTTCTATCTATATGTTCTGTGTGCATGCGTGCGTGCGTGCGTGCGTGCGTGCGTGCGTGCGTGCGTGTGTGTGTGTGTGTGTGTGTGTGTGTGTGTGTGTGTGTATATATATATATATATATATATATATATCGGTCAAAAGTTTGAGCTCAGTTTTTTTTGTTATTAATTTTATTTAATAATTTAAATTATTCTGTTCATCCAGGTTGCATTTATTTAATCTAAAAAAAATTAAACTGTTAAATATTTATTTATCACTTATCTTATGTAGTTTCAATTGAAGTTATAATTTATAATTTATTAGTAATAATAATAATAATTAATATTAGAGTGATTTTTGAAGGATCATGTGACTCTGACGAGTGGCGTAATGAAGATGAAAAATCATCTTTGAAATCACTGGAATAAATTATTAAATTAAATTATAAATCGCTTTTAAACAGTTTTTTTTATAGCGCAATAACATTTCACAAGTTTTTCAATGTCTACTGTATTTTTTGTTTAAATAAATGCAGCCTTGGTGAGCAGGAGGAGCTTATTTTAAAACATTTACAAATCCTTCTGACCACAAACTTTTGACCTCTCGTATATATAAATATTCCTGATATGCTGTTTTAATTTTTGGGACGCAGCCAGTTTCATTCTCCATATTTATAAACATTCTGATCAACATCTGTCAACATCTGATCAACATCTGTCAACATCAGTAATACTCTGCATTGTTGAGTTATGATCTGTGATTATCTGAGCGTAAATGTGTCTGGCATTGATTTGTCTGCAGTATCTGGAGGAGGAGTATAAGAAAGGCAAGAGAGAGGACGACCCTATGCCCCCTGTCCAGCCTTATCACTACGGCTCTCATTACTCCAACAGCGGCACCGTCCTGCACTTCCTGGTCCGACTGCCTCCTTTTACCAAAATGTTTCTGGCATATCAAGGTCAGTTTGATATCAAAATGTGCAGTTGAAGTACCTCCTGAATTATTAACCCCCCTGTAAATTTATTTCCCCAATTTCTGTTTAACAAAGAAGTCTTTTTCAACACATTTCTAATCATAATAATTTTAATATCTTATCTCTGATAACTGAGTTATTTCATATTTGCCATGATGACCGTACATAATGTTTTACTGGATATTTTCATGATACTAGTATTCAGCTTAAAGTGACATTTAAAGGCTTAACTTGGTTATTTAGGGTAAAGTTAGGGTAATTAGGCAAGTCATTATATAACAGTGGTTTGTTCTAGAGACAATCCACAACTAATATTGCTTAAGCGGGCTAATAATATTGACCTTAAAATGGGTTTTAAAAAATTAAAAACTGCTTTTATTCTAGCCGAAATAAAACAAGTAAGACTTTCTCTAGAAGAAAAAATATTATAAGAGATACTGTGAAAAAGTCCTGAATCTGTTCAACATCATTTGCGAAATATTTAAAAAATAACTTCACAGGAAGGCGAATGATTCTGACTTCAACTGTATATCTCAGAACCAAATTCACTGTATGAAGTGTAAGAATCAGCTCTTCGGTTCTGAAAGGATCTGTTGACTCCCTACAGATTCACGCAAAAGTAGTTTGAATCAACTTAAAATAGTTCCACACTGCTTTTCACTTAACAAACATTTAATTATATGAGTTTATATCAACCCACCATTTCCACAAGTGCTGTTACAATCCGTGCTTTACAGATTGTTCTGACTTTTTATAACCGAAGTAACAGAGTTGACCAGAGCATAAAGACTTATTTTTTATCACTGAAATTACAAAAAAAATATGTTTCATGCTAATGTTTATTTAACTTAGTACAGTAAACACACTAAAAATGATGGATTAGGCCTTTTTATTATAATTGATGCTGAATATGTAATTCAACAGGCGGAGATAAATAGGTATAGTGGGAGTCTCATAGTCATATTTTCAGGACAAAATGTGTCTAAATAAATATAAAAATATTTCTTTTAGAGATAACTAGATCCAATTTGTTGTTATTCAAAATAAAGTTTATCTTAAAGACAGAAAGACTGAGTCTGAAGTGGCATATGGTCCATCAAAAACAGTATGCCAGCCAAGTAGTATGTCCGAGTATTGTAAAAATAGTATGCGAGAAGTACCCGGATGATCTACTACTTCTGGCAAGATTCTGAAGTGCGCATCCGATAGACGCTATGCTATATTCATGAACAGAAGTGAATCGACGCAGTTGATATTGTAGGTTACATGTTCACGGCAAATGACGGATGTAGTATGTCCAGTTTACATTCATACTACTCACAATCATACAATAGAGAGCCAGTGCTTCCCACATCATAAATAGTTAACTATATGCGACGAACAAAGCATAATTTAATTTTTAACAATAATTTTATGTATTATGACACTGTTATACGCTGTTTCTTTTGAAATAAAAAAGACATCCACTATTTCTCTTACTTTTATGCTGTTCAAGAGCCATGTGCATCCACTGACAGGTCAAATCTGCTGCTCTCTCTCTCTCTCTCTCTCTCTCTCTCTCTCTCTCTCTCTCTCTCTCTCTCCCTCAAGTTCTAGGCAACCTTGAATGCCAAAGGATTTTAGATATGTATATAAATGTGCTATATATGGAATATAGCCTAATGACATCATAAATTAATAAAATATACAGCAAATGAGAAATAAATGATAGAAAAAGGAATAAAAACAGACAATATCTCTTAAAATATCATAATTACAAGACTAAAACGTGTAGATTTAAAAAAGGCAAATGCATTGATTAGCTAATGGTGTACATATATTGTGCAGCCAGTTTAGAGCAGTCATCTTGTCCTCTCAGAGAATATAGTTTTAAAGTTTTTCTGAATCGTTTAGATTTAATTCTGTTTACCTTTATTTGTATAGTGCTTTTACAAAGTAGATTGTGTCAAAGCAGCTTAACAGAGAAGTTTATAGTAAATTGAAACAGTGTTGTTCAGTTTTCAGTGTTAAAGTTCAGTTCAGTTTAGCTCAGTTCAGTGTGGTTTAATAATCACTACTGAGAGTCCAAACACTGGAAAGCAAATCCATCGATGCGCAGCTCTACAGATCCCAAACTAAGCAAGCCAGTGGCAACAGCGAAGGAACAAACTTCACCAATTGGCGAAAGTGGAGAATTAAAAAACCTCGAGAGAAACCAGGCTCAGTTGGGCACGACCATTTCTCCTATGGCCAAACGTCTTGTGCAGAGCTGCAGTGTAGGCGCCGGAGGCTGGAGAATGCTGGAATCAGCGAAGACTCATCTGTCCCGGGAGGGTTACAGGAATCAGTCTCATGCTCTCCCCTCCTCCATGACCACCACAGCAGCTGCTCAGGATACGGCCTGGTCCAGGATTATGGAACCTTGGGATCATCTCGTTGCTGGTCTTGGATTGAATGTGTGGCAATGCATAGTCTGAAGACCTCGGAATGAGGATCCCCAGGTGGAAATACAGAATAAAGACAATCATAGTGTATATAAACAACATGCAGAAACCAGCATAGAGCACATTCATGTACCATACCGCTAAGTGATGCACTGAGTGTGTGCTTTACTAAAAAGATAGGTCTTCAATCTAAATTCAAGTATGAATTACTGAATTTTTGAAGTAAAAAGGTAGTGCAAAAAACAATTAATGAACGACATTTTAGGAAATTTAGACACCCAGGCCGGACTAATTTTTTTAAGTGCCAAAAAAGAGCTCCTCTGTGGGTCTGCAGTGCACATGAGACTGTCTGTGGGAGTGTTGACAGTTCACACGCGCACTGAATGAAACGGGTAAATGAGAGAGGATTTTCCACTTCCTGATCGATCACGGTTGTATTAGGCGGATACAAAATAGTGTAAAAGGATGATAATAATAGTAAAAAGGCTGTTAATATACCTGGGCGACCCGCCCAAGTAAAGTCTATGTGTGGGAAACACTGTAGGCGATTTCGGATGCAGATGTACCTGCAATTCTAGAATGACCCACATATGCAAATGTGTATTGTTTTATTTAGTTTAAAGGTTCCACTTTTTTTATAAGATCCTCTCTACATCATTGTTTATCCCTGAATAATTACATGATCTTGAATGAGTTTTCATGTGTTCCTAATTTGCATAATCACAGGAAGATTTCTGGAATCAAATCCTCCAAACCTAATGCAAGTAAAGCTTTAAAAAGGCTGAATGGCTGCTCCTCACACAGCTGCAGCTCGTTCAGCTTGTTCACCATCAATTACGGCTCGGCAGCGCTACTTTTTTAATATTTAACAGCACCTGCGTTTGCGGCCAGGTCTTCAAACATGCTAGCGTGATGCTTTTAAAGGCTGTCATTGAAAAGAGTCTGTCTGAAGTCTCACGCTACACACATTAGCCTCAGAAAGACGATCAGCCTTTCATCCAGCCTCCTTCCTTCTCGCTCTATTTTTAGTTCAGCTGCTTCATCCATTTCAGCTTACACAAGAAACTAATGAAAGGTTTTGTGCGTCTGGCAGACCAGAGCTTTGATATTCCTGACCGAACCTTCCACTCCATGAACACCACGTGGCGTCTGTCGTCCTACGAGTCCATGACTGATGTCAAAGAGCTCATCCCAGAGTTCTTCTACCTGCCCGAGTTCCTGGTCAACAGAGAAGGTCAGCGCTCTTTTACACCTGCTTTTGCAGAAATCTGATTTCTCAGTCTCATGAAGAGTATGTGTGACACTATGAAATCTTCAATCAATCAGTTACATAAATAATGCATGTATTTATGTATTTTTCGTCTTTTCAAAATTGATACAATATACAATCATTTTGAATCTATAGAGTCTGTTTGTTTCCTTCCTTTATTATTTTATTTTTACATTTTTTAACTAAAATTGTGTCTAATCAGTTTCATTCATACTCCTTCTGAATTTTTCCCTATAAATTGTGTTTTTCATTTATTTCCAGGATTTATGATCTAATACATCATTACATCACTAGAATGTTTTATTTAATATTTTATAATCTAATCAAATAAACATTTCACTGTTTCTTTTTTGGAAATTAAAAATGGATAAAATATGTGCAATTTATACATAATAGTAACAATAAAATGTTAACATTATTTAAATCGTTTTTATTTTATATAAGAGCTGTACTGTGCAGCTTTTATTTTGATGTGTAGTTGTTGTAAAGACTTTCCTTGTGTGTTTTGTTGTTTCCTGTTAAAATGAAAACACAGATAACATAATTTTTTTATAATCTGTGAAACAAGTTTTATTATGTATACATTTTTAAATCATTTTAAAAGCCCCATTATGCACTTATAAGATCATATTTTTGGTTTTGGGGTCTCCAACAGCAGGCTGATATGCATGCAGAGTCAAAAAACACTTTCATTGTCTTATAATATGCATTTATTTTGACCTAATTATCCCAACGAGAGATTCATTTGTTCACAAAACCCACCTTAATGCATTGCTAATCTGCGCTGATTGGTCCGATGACCCAGTCTGTTGCAATTGGTCGACTGCATTCAGAGCGAGACAGAGAAATGCCCACCCTGGCTTATCAACATTGTTGAAGTAGTCAGAGCGCAGAGTTTATGTGTGAGCCCAATGCAGGAGTGCGTTAAAGCAATGCAGTTAAACATCAGCGTATTGCTCTACTCATAACCATAAGTAAAAACAGCGACACACATTCAGTATTAATCTACCCAGTGGCAAAAGCTAAACAATTTTGAAACTTGACCGCCACGTGTGTAGGAACAGCTGATGGTGTGGCCATAACACCATAGCAATGACAAACGGCAGAGGATCGCGAGCTCACAAACACATTTGAATTGGTAGAGAAAGCAGCACACGTTACGTTTTCAACATGGTTTTAGACGCGATATGTGAATATAAAGTTAACCAGATACAGTACAAAACGCATGGAGCGGTTACAATTAACAAAACACAATTAAATACATAATTTGCAATATAGAGAAAACAATGAGGCAACCAATTTAATCACACTTACACTTGTGAAATGGAGGAAGAAACCGATCTCTGAACTGTGAACTGATAAAGTTCCTGTCAAGCTCTGACAAAGTCCTATACATCAATAGTCTTTTCTGATCCTTTGTTTAACAAACGACCGACGAATCGCCCTTTGCAGGGTAGATTATCGCACTAATCACCAAAATGTTCATTCATTAATGTTCACTCCTCTTCAGTGCTTCCTCTGTTTCTGTATTTGGGCTTCCAAATGACACGACACAACACAACACAAACGGAGAAGTGCGTACAGTTTAATTTAATTACGATCCACAGAATTTTAAAAAGTATATAGTTAACATTTAACAAAGGACAGCTTCCAGAATCTCTCAAAGTTCAGTGCTGGATTTGGCTAAAAACTTCTTCAATAGATAAAGCTGTGGATTGTGAGCCACAACCTATAAGTGTTTTTATTTGTTAAAATTGATCAACTACATGCACAATTACTAGCGTTAATGATATGTTGTAGCGAGGATGTAAACAAGGGTGTAAATAACAGTAAATGCTGTTTGGCACCGCTAACAATTTAGCTATAAATTCATATTTATTCATCAAACCCCTGTAAACACAAACAATCTGCAGCAGTCAGAGCCTATTGAGGGCGGGCCTTTTGGAGGAACTAGGAAATATGACAGTGGTGTACAATCAAAGTAAGATATCTGAACAAAAAAAAACATATTTTCTAGGAATGAATCATGCTTTGCAGTGTCTCTTTATTCGGCTGTATTTCTTACGTTCTAATCTCAAATAACAAACTCGCAAAAGATATAAGAACGTTTTATATTACCTACACATGCGTATAACACAAATATGTGTGAAAGACACTTGTCAGATGTTATTTTAGAAAGCAAGCATGAAGTTCAGCTGTGTGCCCTTCATATTTCTGTCTGATTCAGGCATTCTGGTTTACACAGTGCAAAAGTGGTTGCTTGTAGGGGCGTGACATGGAGCCGATCCGCAAACCACTGACCAATATATATGTTAGCTGACCAATCAGAGCCTCTTAATGGCGGGCCTTTTGGAGGAACTAGGAAATATGACAGTGATGTTCATGTTAGCTGAGTAGCTGGATATAATCATATAAGATATATGAACAAATAACCTGATTTTCGACAAGTCGAGCATGAGCAAACATTGCTCTGCCTCTTATAAACACAACCAAGCCTAAAAAATACTGGACCACTCCTTTAAATATGATTGTTTTTGAGAAGTGTTATATAATGTGTTGTCATAAAGACATTTTTTAGACTTTTTTCTTTCTTTCTTGAATATCAAATACTAATTGTGGGATGCTGATGAATCATAAGCCCTAAAAATGTCAAAACCGAACCCGAAAATAACCTTTTGGTAACCTAGTTTTTGAAGGATAACTGCTGAATATTCATGTTCAAGCATTCTCGTTCAGCACATTAGGGTGGTATAATTTAAAGCCATCTTCCCTCTTCTAATGTTAGCGTGGTATTTCCCGCTTTCCCCTCTGGCAGGTTTTGACTTTGGCGTGCGGCAGAACAGCGAGCGGGTCAACCATGTGAATCTGCCGCCGTGGGCCAGAAATGACCCGCGACTCTTCATCCTCATCCACAGACAGGCTCTGGAGTCCGATCAAGTCTCGCAGACGCTCTGCCAGTGGATCGACCTGGTGTTTGGACTCAAGCAGAAAGGCAAAGCTGCGGTCCAGGCCATCAACGTCTTTCATCCTGCAGTACGTACCCTTACAGCACACTTTAACACTGATATTGTTTGCCAAATTTCTGGACGCAGGGTTTGTACGGGCGCTGGAAATCCTTGAAAATGTGTGGATTTTAATCTACGTTCCTTCGTGCTTCGATTTTGGATGAAGTACTGCTTCATTTAGAGTGTGTATGTTAAGTTTCAACTCAAAATACCACACAAATATGTTTTCTAACTCTCTGAAACTGACTCTTTTGATCTTAATTGTGGCATTTTGGTGACTGTCCCTTTAAATTCAAATGAGATTGAGCTCTTTTCAAAAGAGGGCGGAGCCACAAATGCCTGTGTGTCAGCATAGTGGCAGATTCAAAAATAAGACTAACATCCGATGCTAAGGAGGGAGAGATGGTCACTAGTGGGCGGGGCTTTCCTCCTCTGATGACACGTACAAAGAGAAAATATCAATCAAAGTGTTTCTGCAGACTGTTTTTATCAAGTCTGATTATAATAAATACAATTAACACATTTTTATCATAAGAAGCCGGCTAAATTCACAGACCTCTTATGTTTAAACCCTTTATAAAAGTGATTTGAATAGGTACCCTAATTATTTATCTTGCTAAAGAAGTAATAATACTATTTAAATATATAAATAAAGATAGTAAATAAGAGTAATTCAACCTTTGGCTTGGGGGAAAAAATAAAACATGCCATCAAAAATTGTCATCAGATTTCTGTAATAAATAGCATCAGATGTACAGTGATGAATTATGTGCATATATCTAAATATATGATTTGCCAAAACTAAACTGCTTAAAGGACCCTTTCCACATAACTGTTATGATGCGTTTAATGGACATCATAATCTTAAATCCTTTAACATTTTTAATATTTAGTTGTTGTTTTTTAAACAAATAAACATTTATATGTATTTATGCTTGTATTTTATTTTCTTTGCATCAAATTACTAAAAGCTAATGACCGCTTGTGTGGGGTGTGTGTAATGCAGTGTGTATGGGGGCAGGACAGTAAATCTGACATTATTCTCTCTTCTGGCTGCCGTCATCCATTTTCTGAAAGTCTTAATAACATCATCCTGGAATTTTTCTTTTATTATTTCAGCAAATAAGAATGTTAAATAATGATTTGTTGTTCTCTCCCATTCACTGTGATCAGAATTTACCAACTATGATGCCTTCCGCCACTCAGAAACCCAGAAATGTGGGTCTAATGAGATTTTAGAAAAGGTGTAAGAACCATGTGGATAGATCCAAGCCTGTCTAAAAGTATTCATGTGCCATATTTTATCTCACAAGTCTACAAAAACAATATAAGAAATTTCATGTTGCCCTAAAAGAAATGTTTGTGTTTGATTAAATTGTGAAATATTGCAACTTTAAGTAACTGTTTCCTATATTAAAAACATTAACCTGTCATTTAGTACAGTAAGTTAAAGCTGAATTGTCAGCATTATTTTCACAAGTAAAAAATGTTAAATGTGATCCTTTAGAAATCATTGGATATATGATCTATATATATTACTTCATTTTTTGTGGAAACTATGAAGATGATGCACATGAGAATTTGAGTTTTGTAGCATTATAAAAGTATTTTTATCAGCAGAAGACGCTCATTGCTGAATATTTTAAATCTTTCACTGCAAAAATGCTTTTCCTACTTTGACTTTTTGTCTTGTTTTAGTCCAAATATCTAATAAAAATCTTAAATCAAGAATCATTTTCTAGACAAGCAAAAATATTGTCTTGTTTTTAGAAATATTTCATCAAAATGAAATGAGTTTTTCCTTAAAACAAGCTAAATAATCTGCCAATGGGTTCAGCAACATAAACATGTTTTCACTTTGAAATGACATTATTTTGTCTGCACCATTGATTTATTCATTCATTTTCCTTCGCCTTAGTCCCTTATTTATCAGGGGAATGAACCGCCAACTATTCCAGCATATGTTTTACACTGCGGATGCCCTTTCAGCCGCAACCCAGTACTGGAAAACATACACACTCATTCACACACACACACACACACACACATACACTACGTCCAATTTAGTTTGTTCAATTCCCCTATAGCACATGTGTTTGGACTGTGGGGGACACTGGAGGAAACCCATGCCAACAGGGGAAGAACATGCAAACTCCACACAGAAACGCTGACTGACCCAGCCCGGACTCTAACCTTTTTGCTGTGAGGCGACAGTGCTTACCACTGAGCCTCTGTGCCACCTCTTTGCCTAGACCATTGGCAGATTATTTTTCTTGGATTAAGGAAAAACTTAATTTTGACTTTGCTTCTTAAAAATGCTTCTTGATGTAAGGACTTTTAAATATTTGGCCCAAAAGAAAAGCAGTTTTTCAGTGTTCTTACTGATTTTTCTTCAGATATCAAAAATTTCCCTTTTATATCTTGAATGCACTGTTTTTTCTCTTCCTCTCTCTTCAGACGTACTTTGGTATGGACGTGTCTGCAGTTGAAGACCCTGTGCAGCGGCGGGCTCTAGAAACCATGATCAAGACGTACGGACAAACACCCAGGCAGCTGTTCAGCGCTTCTCACATCAGCAGAGCCGGAACCAAACTGCTGTCAGAGGCTGAGCTGCCCGCCGCCATGGGTCTGCTGGTGCAGCTGGCCTTCAGAGAGAGCCGAGAACAGCCCCGGGACAGCGGCTACCCGGTACACACACACACACACACACAGCATGAGCTAAATATGACACTGTGTTAGAGCTAAACAATATATCGTTTGAGCATCAATATCACAATGTGCATATTCCCAATAGTCACATCACAGGATCTCTAGAGGTTTCAAGCTAATTTACACCATTTGGACTCAAGACATTTTAGGTTTTCTGCCATTGGGTTTATATATTAATTTATTACAATGAAGACACTGTTAATTTACACTTGTTCATTGAATTTCTACATCTCAATACTGTTAGACTCTAATGAAAAACGTTCTGTTGTTTACTTAATTTTTATATTTGTTCTATTGGTTTCATCATCAATTTAAATGATATCATTTTGTGTATTTTTGTGTTTAAAATAGTTATTTTCCTAATAGTAATCTTGTGATATTATATATACAGTTGAAGTCAGAATTATTAGCCCCCTTCGAATTTTTTTATTCTTTTTTTAAATATTTCCCTAATGATGTTTAACAGAGCAAGGAAATTTTCACAGTGCGTCTGATAATATTTTTTCTTCTGGAGAAAGTCTTATTTGTTTTATTTTTGCTAAAATAAAAGCAGTTAATACATTTTTAAACACCATTTTAAGGACAAAATTATTAGTCCCTTTTAACTATATTTTTTATGATAGTCTACAGAACAAACCATCATTATAACTTATACCAACCAACATAATAACTTGCCTAATTACCCTAACCTGCCTAGTTAACCTAATTAACATAGTTAAGCCTTTAAATGTCACTTTAAGCTGTATAGAAGTGTCTTAAAAATATCAGGTAAAATATTATTTACTGTCATCATGGAAAGATAAAATAAATCAGCTATTAGATATGAGTTACTAAAACTATTATGATTAGAAATGTGTTGAAAAAATCTGCTCTCCATTAAATAGAAATTGGGGGAAAAAATAAACAGGGAGTCTAATAATTCAGGGGGGCTAATAATTCTGACTTCAACTGTGTGTATGTATGTATGTATGTATGTGTGTGTGTGTGTGTATATATATATATATATATATATATATATATATATATATATATATTATACTCAATTAATTTCTTTCCAATATCCTGCAGCCCTGATTTACACATATATTGTTAGGTACTGTAATGATATAAAATCTAGAGTGATTAAACAAATTTAATTCAAACTAACCTACATTTCATTAAAAGTTAAACGGTAAAGATAATAATTAATATATTCATACATTGATTTTCTTTTTGGCTTAGTCTCTTTATTAATCAGGGGTCGCCACAGCGGAATGAACCACCAACTTATTTAACATATATTTTACACAGAGGATGCCCATCCAGCCACAACCTATCACTGGGAAACACCCATACAGTCTTATTCACACACATACACTATAGACAATTTATTTCATCAATTCCCCTATAGCGCATGTGTTTGGACTGTGGGGGAAACTGGAGCACCCGGAGAAAACCCATGCAAACACAAGGAGAACATGCAAACTCCACACAGAAATGCCAACTGGCACAGCTGTGACTCAAACCAGCGTGTTACGATAACCATGATATTTTGATTGCTTATTTTCTGTATTTTGACTCTGGAGAAAACCATAGCACTGTTTATTTCACTTTTATTTTTGCTTAGTTTTATTTATACATGTTTGGAATTGATTATATCTTAAGCAGATGCACTGCATAGAAAAAGACTTGATCATCCCAGTCAATCTAAACAGAGCTAAAACCGATGTGAGTTGGTGGATTCAGTAAATCTCAGGTCAGAATAATATAATAATATTAATTGTTTACATTTATATAGCGCTTTTCTGGACACTCAAAGCTCTTTACACATTGGGGGAATCTCCTCATCCACCACCAGTGTGCAGCATCCACCGCCAGACCGTACACCACACACCAGCTGATTGGTGGAGAGGAGACAGAGTGATGAAGCCAATTATGATATGGGGATGGTTAGGAGGCCATGATGGACAGAGGCCAGTGGGCAGATTTGGTCAGGATGCCGGGGTTAAACCCCTACTCTTTTTCGAAGGACATCCTGGAATTTTTCATGACCACAGAGAGTCGGGACTTCGGTTTAACATCTCATCCAAAAGACTAATATGAATAATATGTCTTCACCTGATGGTGTTACTCTTATTTTTAGGACTTTATAATGCACAGAAAATCAGCATCAGGAATGTAAATATTTATTTCCCAGAGATGGGTTGTGGCTGGAAGGGCATCCGCTGCGTAAAAACTAGCTGGATAAGTTGGTGGTTCATTCCGCTGTGGCGACCCCGGATTAATAAAGGGACTAAGCCGACAAGAAAATGAATGAATGAATGTAAATATTTAAAAATAATAATAATAATAATAATAATAATAATAATAATTACAGGTGTTATGTAAGAAAACAGTTAATCAAATAAAAATCTACATTTGAATATAGCTTAATTTGCCAACAATTAATGTTTCTGCTCTCTGTCTGCAATTGATATGACACAATAGAGATTCACTACACAGTTCATTTTTTATTATTATTATATTAGTTTTTTTGTTAGTTTGAGTTAAATTTGTCAAATAAATTTTGTTTAATTAACTGCTCGT